TTACTCAAGTTCTTATCCTGAAATCCTATATGAATTTTATCAATTGCATCCTAGAGTCATTCTAATTTATCTTACATCTTTCTTCACTGACTTTCATCTGGGGATTGATCCCATTTCAAGTGGCCAGTTATTCATTTTAATTTCTCAATTGCTGTCACAGAGATACTATTGTACATTCTCCTGGGAGATTTTCTGTAGATTTGTATGGGTTTGTTGAGAAGCAATCAGCAAAAACAATTATTGGAGGTCTATCATTGGGATGATGGATCTGCCTTTCTGCATCTTTATAAAGTGGAAGCTCTAAAACAAAGAGGTCCCTATGGCCCAGTTTATGAATATTATTTCTTTCAATTGAATTCTTCCTATTAGGGGCTTTTGCTATTTTTACCATTTACATGAAATAGATTTTCTCTATACTCTCTCAATAAGAGATATAAAGCTTTTATTAGGCATAGAATTTAAATCAGAGTATAATGTGTATTGTGTGGAAATCATGACATTGCACGTTTTGCCCACAGTTGACTTTCATTTCACATTCAATGCCAATACAAGGCAATAAAAGATCAATTTGAGATTATTAAGATCTTAAGATCAGCGTAAGTAAATACTAAAATTATCTTTAATAGTCAGAGGTAACTGTACCGAGCTGGAATCAACCTTCCTCCCATTGGGCCTTCTGCCATTGATGTCTTCAAGCAGACCACTGGAATTTAGGAATTTTCTCTCATTAGCTTCTCGCATCCTGTGTTAGTGTGAACTACTACTAACATGCTAGCTTGAAGCTTACCTCATAAGTCTTGTTAAAAAGAGCTTCTGGGATAAGTTTGAAGAGATAATTAGAGATATTTGACAGATGTAATTGCTTGATGAATCCTGTTGACCTCCAGCGCAGCTGTTTAAAGTGTATGTCCTGTACTGGTTAGGTGAATTTGTTAATAGCACATGTGCTTTATAATTTTATACCAGTGCATATGCTAGACAATTTTTTTGTTACAACCACTGCTTTTGGTGATGGGGATTCAGAATTGACCATTTGTGTCCATAATAAATAGCTACATTTTTGTAACCATTTGGATAACTTACCAGATGGTGACATTCTGTCCTATTACAAATTGGCTATACTGGGTGAGGAAATAAATTGCATAGACCAGTATCATCACTCTAAAAGTGCAAGAATGTGCAATGTCTCTGACATTCAATTACTTGGAGTATAGTATTATATAATAACAATGGGACATGTTAGGTTGAATGAGTCTCTAATAAAATATATATGCTATTCATAAAAAAATTATTCACTATTCATCCACAAATTGATTGCTTTATTCTTGGAGTTAGGTAGGAACAAATAGTTCTATTTTGTATTTAAAGTTAACTTGTTGCTAATGGCATTATTGAATTGTTTTCATAAATCTGTATTCTTTGCATGTCTTTTACTGTCTAACTTTAACTGCCTCCCTGTCTATTCATCTTTCTATTGTTCATTTGTTTGTTTGTCTGGATGATAACTCAAATACTTGTTATTAGATTTTTCTCAAAGTGCATTCATTGCTATTGTACATTTGATATGATCCAAGTTTTATACTGAATTGTTTTGCTGACAAGTTTGTGATCATATTTCTCATTTAATCTAAATCCCAAATGACAGGTTTCATTGCAAGTCATTTATTCATTGGATTTATACACGTAAAAGGTTTATAAAACCTGTTACCACATTTGGCATTTACATCTAGTCTTCAACACAGATACAAAGAGAGATATTGGCACTTGGCTTTTCCCACTACACATTGGGTAAACAGCACATTGATAGGCCTATGTCAGTCTGTGTTACCATACCCTATACTAGTGGTGATAGCTAATTCACCACAAAGCAGGGAAACTGTCTGATTGTGCATGATTTCTCACCAGAAAAAACACTAAATTCTTGAGGTTTTATATTGTTTAGACAGATATGAAATGATTTGTATGGGAAAATTGAAACAGCCATGTTGTATTTCAATTTTTGAGTCTACCATGGTGCAAATGACAGGTGCTATGTATTTAGGAAGTAATAGGTTTTATTGTTATATGTCTGATTAGAGACAAAACTAAAGAATATTTTTGACTCTCATCATTTATTTCATGGCTTGTTTCTTCAAAGTTTTCTTTATATCCAAAATTAGAAAGAGAATTGTGGTAAATCACAGGGGGGGTATGATGCAAGAGTAGCCAAAGAGTATTTGTTTATTTTCTGTAACCCATCAGTTCTATATATAAAGGGGGAGGAGACGGATAAGCAACTCCATTTACCTGCTAGTCCAGGTATATGAGATCAGGGGGTTATTCTCAAAAATTGTTTTGTAAGAAACTTTCCTGTCGTTGAACTTTGAAGCACAGATTCTTCTCTTTGAACCTTATTGAGTTGATGATATGTAAACTAAACAAAAAATTCTTCAATTTATTTGTTATTGAAAAAAGTAATTAGAAGGGAAATTCATCTGGACAAGTGTAGTTTAAAATAAAGAAATAACAAATGACATGTATTGTATAATTGTAATTGTGATATGGCCCCTTGTTTCCATGGTTATAAAAGGTTGGAAAAGATGAGAGTTAGCTATGATAATACTGCATAACTACCATGTGTTACCTGCATAGATACAGAGATACGTCTGGTCTGGTTTGTTTTTCCTTTCAACTCTATTTGTAAGTAAAGTAAGATGCTACCAGATAATTAAGACATTTCCTCTCACTTACCTTAAGTTAACCTTTACTCTACAAAAATCTCAAGTTCAGGAAATGAATTAGATTTTTGATGAATATATGGATTTGTTTAAGCTTCAAACAAAAAAGTGCAATTTCCTCTGGAGTACTTTACTTTGAAAATGTGGATATGAAAACATTTGTCCTTTAAAGAAAGCTTGAGTATTGGTGAGCCATTATACGTCATTGTGGTATCTACAGCTCATACTCTTTCTGGTAGCTATGATAGATCAAAATGAGTAGCTAGTTAGGTAAAGAAAACTATTTAAACTTTTTATTTGAATCAATCACAAATTAAAGTGCTCCCCCTCCCCAACTTGCACATTTCTACACATTTGTGAGAAGATGAAAGAGAGACACAGACTTTTTGATTTTGTAACTATCGGCAGGTCCAGCTGGGTACTTTCATTATTGTTGTCTGATATTTAGTTGAATATAATGGATTACCTTTAATGATGTTAGCTAAAAGCCATATTTAGAAAGTGTCGCAAAAATAACAAAAAAACATCTGATCATATTACATATTGTTGTGAGTATCAATAGAAAATAGAAAATCTAATTACAGTAAACATGCTCATCAATCATTGCGTTTGAGACAAGTTAGCAGGGAACTATCTGATTCATTGTTCCTCTCATCATCTGATAGTGTTAATGGATGAGACAGCACGTAGATGAGGGGTAAGGGTGAGATGTATTCTCTAGAAAATCATCTTATAACATAAATACATACAGGAGCTATCGATGTATTTATATATTTACATTTATAAAGTGTGATATGATATATAAAACTTGCATGGAGTCAATTTAAACCACAGAAGTTAAAATACATGTACGTGTATCATTATTTAAACTCTCAAGCATTAATTGAAGTAAATGAATCCCAAAATGTTGAATCCCAAAAATGTCAGTAACCCTACATCATACCAGTTCAAAGTCCATTCTATCCAGTTGGGAATTAGGAAAATCATGAAAACTTTTGAAGTTTTTACTTTACCAGTTTTTTATGTCTCCACCAAAAAGTTTTGACATATTGTTATTGTCTCAGTTTTTTGGGCAATCGGTGGTCGATGGTTGGGGATCTGCAGTTGGTGTCTGTAACGAATGGTGGTGACGGTTTGCATGTTAATGCCTTGTTTTAAATTGTCAAAATTGGTGCAATTAAAGAAAAATTGTACTTAGAACACTTCTTGACATGTCAACCTCCAATGATGATTTATTTGTTCAATTATACAAACAAAATTGACAGTTTTCTGGCTCAACTAGTGAAAGTAGCCACTGGTTCAAATTTCAATCTCCTCAATTTAACAAGATAAATACATATGTTTGTTATATTTTTTCAATTTTAGCCAATAATTTCTCACTTGAACATATATTTCACATACTTCAGATGATGTTATTTTTGACAAAAGTGAAATATTTGAAATTGATAATTTTTAGCTAAACAAGACAAGTTTATGGTTACATGTTAGTATAAGATTCATATAAAGCAACACTAAAAAGAATAACCTTCAAGTCAAGCGCAGACAAATATTTTGTGTATTAATGTTGTAAGTATGTAAGTTTTGGCTATATTTCAGAAAAAAGACATTTTGTAAATTGTAAAATAACAGATATAAACTGATATTAAATCTTCTATTTTTTACAAAGTGAAGTTTATCCATAAGATTGATTATAGCATTTGGCTTGCTATTGATTTCAAATAAGATCATGCTCAGCTATCAAATAAATTCCAGAAGTATGGATTATATGATTAGGATTACAACAGGCTGTATTGACATTGAGCATCATCCTACTTGATATTACAAATTCTTGAATGTATCATCAATGATGAAAAGGTTAAGTTGAGTTCATAATAACCTTAAAAATGTTATGTTATGTGACTAAGTAAAATTCTCTATATGGCACTATAACAGTAGCAGCTGAATAAATTATTCCAAAATTGTATGAGTTCATTCATTCAATATACATGTATATATACAGTATTTTTTGGAATTTGAAACAGATTTCTGTAGTTGTATCCCCAATCAACTTAATAATAGAATGCATTTATATTTGATAAAAAATTCAGAAAATTGTCAATTAATTAAGATTTCTTCTCATAGAAATAATCAGAATTCTATATTATTTTCTTAAAACTTATACAGGATGATACTGGGCCTAATATTTTGAATAATGTTGTATAATACTATTATCAGTTTGTATATGGATTATAGGTGTGTTATTAGAGTTTGCCTAATGTTGCCCTTTGTGCTTCCTTATTGCAGGTATGACTCATTGAAGAGGCTGGAAGCTGAGGGTCTGATAGACTGTAATACACTTCAGCAAGCAGCATGGTACCAGGCAGGCATACCCAGGTATGTGCACATTATACAGGAAAACCTTTATAATGGAACTGTCCTGTAAGTGGAATAGAACACATCCACAAGTGGAACACTTTAGAGTTCCATAACCATTAATGTTAATGTTAAATAAATCTATGAAAGTTAGTGGAGCTCCTCTCAAGTGTAACTATATAGCTTTCACTGTAAAGGAATCAATCAAAGCTGATCAAGTTAAATGAGTGGATCTGTTTAGGTGTGAAGCCCATTTTGCCAGTAGTTAAAGACTACCTCTAAAAAACAGTCTAGTGTGGTAGTCTTCTCAAAGGCTATTCTGGCAACTACATGTATACAACATGTCCACAGCTAATGTTCATTAAGGATGGTTAAATGAATAATTGTTTTTTTGTAGGGAGATAGCACTGGAGGTATTGTCAACGGAAGATATTGGTGCGTTTATAGTGCGAGAGAGTAGCACCCATCCCAACTGCTTTGCTCTGTCTGTCAAGGTACCTAAATACGATAACCCACATGGCATCAACCATTACCTAATACAGAGAACCCCTAAAGGTGTGAGGTTAAAGGTAAGCAATATTTGGAAGCTTTTTTGTTCATGTATATTGTATTTTGGGCTAAATATATGTCTTGATGTAACATAAAAAAAATTTAAAGGCTATGAGAAAATACATCCTTACTTTTAAAGATTTAAAATGAATGCCAAGCAACAGGGTCACATTACTGATACAGAAAATGAGGCAAAATAAAAAAGAACTTTTACTGCAGTATATTGCTCTGCATACTTAATGGGTACATGCATTGAAAAATTCAGTACATTTGTACACATAAAACTCATGAAATATGTACGTATCAACTTATTAAATGTCTTTCAGGGTCTGGATAAAGAGTGGCCAAGCTTGACATCTCTAGTCATCCACCTGACAGTCATGGCAGAGATCCTCCCATGTACACTTAAGCTGGCCAGGAATGCGCGCAACCCAGCCTTTCGGGACTATGAGGGAGAGGGTGGAGCTGATGCAGAAAATGATGGTGATGAGGACTACCAGAGATTGACTGATTTCTCCTCAATGATGAAGGATATGAAGTAGTGATAGATGATGATGCAAAAGATGTGGGATGCATCGTTAGGATTATAGACCTACTGGTCAAAGTCACAAAAATTATATTCCTATGCTTGTTATCACAGGAAAAATCAACTGGACCTGATGGAAACTATCTTGCTCTGGGCTATTGCTTACGCCACACCTGATACGGATGTGACTTTATGCTGTGTGCTTCGAGAGTAAATAAGCTTATTATCATGCCTAGATGCCCTGTACATATGTCACTGAGTGTTTGCAGATTGGCATGTCTTTCCACTCTTGGGATAATTCCTTTCCATTGGTACACTTTCCTTGTGTATCAGTATAATAATCTTGTTTATATTTCATGGATGGTGTGGATGTGAAATGATTAAGGAATGCAATTGAGAGAGATTTAAAATTGAAAGTATCAGAAAATATATTGTTGAGTAAGTTGCTGTCCCCTCTCTTTATCAATGTTAACCACTAATTGTGTGCTACATATCTCATCAAATAAATATATCAGGCATATAATGGACAATATACCCAAGCAGAATCCTATTTGTTAGTGTATTGGTATACTGTTTGCAGTATTATATAGTTGCAATTGTGGGTGAATATTAAAGAGATGTGCACATTTACCAAAGATTATACTCTCTTATTGCTAAATGTACTTATGGATCTCGAGCTGGACTTTTTCCCAACAAGGGGGACATCTATTAATGAAAATATCAATAATTATAATCAATTTCCATGAAAACCAAACTTAGCTTCTGTTTGTGAATGCAAACAACGGCTACCAGAAAACTCATTTAAGTATGAATAATACCGCCATACTTCCCGTTAGCTACCATCTCTCACTTCACACCCAGTCGCTGGCCTAAATAACTGGTTCACTTGCCTATTTAGCAGCATGCAACAATGACCTATGTTCTGTTTGGCAATTCGACCGAGCGGTTTAATTATAATCGATCCTTTCATTGGCATAAAAAATCATGTGATCACTGTTGTTAGTACTTACAACTTCAAAATGACGGTTTAATCTATGAATATTAATAGGTTATTCAGGTAGCTGCTTGCCATTATTTGCATTCGCGAATTCAAGCTTGAATAGGCAAGTAATGTACTGATGATTAAACAGAAAAACTACTTCCATTCAGAAGTATATTGAGCAATTCAGTGCTTTGAAATGAATGAATATGTTGTGGCTGAACGATAGCAAGTTTGAAAACCCCTATGTATGTTATAGTGCGGTGTATCATATGACTTATTGCATGACAAAATGCTTCTTCGATATTATATGGGAAACTGGCTGGTTCTGTTGTTCATATTCAATGGTATGTAGAATTGTTGTTATAGGGTAATATCAATTGTTTATATCTTCACTTGTTAAATTTGTCTTACATTGATATATTGAAAATATATAACTGAATCCATTTGTGAAATGTATTTTAATTTAATACAATAGCAATGTATTTTATTAGAGACATTGTATTCTCTAATGATATATTACAACCAAAATATGTAAATGTAATATTAAAATGTATTTTTTACATATTGAGTTACCATTAAAACTATGGTATTATCAGTATGTACAATATACATGTACCATTTGCCCTATATATTATAAGCTACTCTCATGCCATGATAGAACTTAGGGTGATTGGGTAAGAGTCATGTTTGTCATTGGATGTACTGAATGCTACACATGGAGCAGAGTCTGATTGTCAACTTAGTAGGATAAACTTAAAAGCTTGTAAAAGTGTAATGACTAGGAATATGAACAATGATCTTCCAAAATAGTCAAATATCTCAACATTTCATAATTTTGACTGGGTTGAAACAGATCTTCAACTAGATAGCATGTCATTTTCCAAATTTTCAATAAGGGGGCGGCACCCAGTTGCGTCAATGTTCATGAGATCACTGGAGTTGATATTGATTTTGTCTGGTGAAAACATTCAAACCCTCTCCTCTATTTAAATCAGTTTAGTTTGCAATCCAACATTGAGCATTATGTTCTGTCAGTTATGAAAAACATATTTGATTAGTCTATTGTTATTTTTCTATGTACAAATATTACAAAATATTTAAATGTTTCAGAACAGTGTTATGAATCTACTACATGTTGACTGATATTGTTGATATCATATAATAATATTTTCCAAAATTACCTAGAATTACCACTTCTCGTTATCTCCTACCAAGACCATATCTCCAATTTGAAGATATGGTCTTGGTACGGGATAACACTTCTAGTGCTATGTGTTTCATGTAAGGTTATTAGAATGGTGCTTGTATACGTACTGTATCAATATGCTAGCTATTTAGCATATACAAGTTCTGAAAAAACAAAAAATGGCACCATTGTTCCACCACTTTCATATTAAGAACATTTCAAGTATCATTTTCAATTTGATTTGTTTCTTTTAAGATTTGAGGGCTGTCTTGAGTTCAACTTTTCATGATTACTTTGTCATTTTAAGACAAGCAGTTTCCCAACTTCAAACAATGTAAAGATCTCTGGGATATTGGTACAAGTACAGTGAAAGGGAGTTGTCACCTTGACATCATGCAAACTAACCTCTTTCTTCCTTCCTATTAGGAAACAGTTGAAATATAAGCTGAACATTTTGTATTGTAAAAAAGGGAATATTAGGCCAGTTGAAATATAAGCTGAACATTTTGTATAATAAAAATGTAATAGTAATACAAGTTTTATTTTAATTAAAAGTAAACAAAATGTTAAATGCATTATGTTAATAGTACATGACTACATGTACAGTATGTTATATTGGGAATTAAATTATTTACATTTATGTGCAGTATTTTGTAAATAGTAATGGTGCTTTTAGGTACAGCATAATTTCTTGAATTCATAGTTTTGTTTCTTTTCACTTTTTATGTAGTGCTTAGGAAATAAAGGTTCATTTTAGTCCATGTACAGTTTAATGTCAGGCTAATTTGGGGTTACGGAAAACCAAAATGTCTAAATACATACAAAGCATAATAGGTTTTTGTTAGAAATCTGAAAATGTGTCCAGACTATCACAGGTTTTGTTGTACATGTACTGTATGTATATATTATATCACTTCTTGAAATTATACAGGGGGACACAAAAATGCCACCCACCAATTTTGGAATAACTCTCTCAATAAATAAGGAATCTTCATGATAGAGTGTTCAATGTAGAAAAGATCGCTATGCTTGCAAAGCATCAACATCTTATCAATTAAGAGAGGCGTGCTCCAAAGCTAAATCACTCAAAATTGTAAATTAAAAAAGCTGTCTTTCTTAGACCTAATAAGCCAGTCAGTTCATCAAATTAAGATTATTTTTTAAAAAATGGATAGACGTGACATGTTATTGATATGTGTGAAAGAAATCCAAAAATGACTCAAATAATGACTCAATTTCAGAAAATTATCTTTTTGAACATTTTTTGATGATTTCATTGAGATTTCACCTGGACGGAAAATGTGATATCTCTAAATCTGAAGGTTGTTGATGCTATCCAAGTACAACAATCTTTGTTCCATTGAATACTCTATCTTACCACTTTCTAAATTTTATTAATACCTAGTATACGGGATTGGCTTCGAGTGATTCTCAAAATGAGAAGAGATGATGGAATATTTTGCCCATTTGATAGGGTGTCATCAGTTAATAATATTTAAGTCAAATTTTGATTTTAATGAGTTTCACTATTAAGGTTCAACATATTACCACTATCAAAATGTATGCTATTACCACTATCAAAATGTATGATATTATCACTGTCAAATGTATGATATTACCGTACAATGTATATGTATTATATATTTTCATTTATGAATAAATGGTAAGATATTAATGTTAGAAAGTGTATAATTGTGCTGTCATTAATATTGGATTTTGTAGTAAGGCCAGTGAATTTAAATTCATTGTTTCTCATCAGATGAACATTAGAACTGGTCTTGCAAGCAAACAACAAGTGACATCATTTTGTAATCTACTACATGCTGTAAGGATGAGTGAGGGAAAAGTCTCTTTTATACTGCATGAATCAAGAGAGGATTCACTTCATGTACTTATGTAATAAAGGACCCAAAGTCACTGTGCTCAAACATTGAACTGTTACCAATATCTGACTTTTTGACATCAAGATTTCCAATTTCTTGAAAACCAAGAAAACTAGAATAAAAATCTCAAACATGTAGTCCAAATCAATGATTAAATGTCAAGCAGTTATTCATGAGGCTATGAGTTTTTTGAATTCGTTATTTATGCCTATAGCATATTGTGATGGTTCTATACAACATACTTTTGACAATGGAGCTCTGTGAAGATAGATATCCATGTTTTGACATATTAATTCAAATGTGACTTTCTTTTGAACGTTAAAATCACATTTTTCAATAGTGGGGATAACTTAAGATATTGCAATTGAAAGACAAAAATGGTCACGGGTGAACATAACGTGATATTTACTCGTAAAACCTCTCATTGACTTTGTATTTGTTTAATTAATATAAATACAAAAATCCATAACTAGGATTCTAGCAAGAATCAGAAAAACAACACCATAATTGTGAGCTACTCCAAAATGCCTTCAATTTGAGCATAATATAGTTACTGTATACTTTGGAGAGATCAGGAAATTATTGCGAAATCCCACATTAAGTGGCCATTTTGAATTTATTGAGGCCTGAATCAGAAAAACGATGCAATATTTGCAATCTACTCTAAATTGACTTTCATTTGAGTATAATACAGCTATACTTCAGAAAGATCTCAAGATTAACAAAAATTCCTGTTTTCCTAACCCCTATTAAGGGCCCCTGGGGGTCAGGCTGAAAAAATCGGAATATTTGTGAAATAGGTAGATGTGAATATACTATCAAAATTTCAAACAATAATATTCAATACTATGGTTTAAAATGAAAAATTTCAGATTTTCCCCAAATATTCCCACCATTTCTAAAGTGGTGCCCATCTTGAATTTTTTTGCATAAAACTATTCACCAATATACATCTTTCCACCAAATATGAACAAATCCATCTACTAGTATTCAAGTTATCTTCCGGATGGATGGACTGACAGACAGACTGACTGACTGATGGATGGAGGGCTTCACTATATCCCTACCGAACTTTGTTCATTGGGATAATTACTAGAGCTTTGAAATTCTGTGGACATATGTTGCACCTATAGCAACTAAGCCTTACTTGATACTTCTACATAGTCAAGGGCAGATCCAGGATTTTGTGTTAGGGGGGGGGTGTTTGATAATAACTGTGAGCGAAGTAGCGAACAAGAGCATGAATAGGGGAGTCTGGGGCGTTTTTCCCCAAGAAAATTTCGAAAATTGAATATCATTTGGTGCATTCTGACCAATTTCAGAGAGTGCACCCCTCCACGCCCCCTCAAGATCCGCTGGTGATAATATATTGTCTGATGAATTAACAATTTTTATTAAGTGAAGATGGATATAAAATGTACATACACATAGGAATAGCAGTTTTTTTAAATTTCCCACCAATGTTGATGGAACAGATATAAAAATGACTAAATTCTGTGGAATTTTGTGTTCAATACTTTTTGAAATGTGGCTTTCCTCTTGGGGAAACAATCAGTGGTGGAGGTATTTGGTCTAAAAAGAATGTCCTCTGTCTTATTCAACAAAATTTCAGTATGCTGTTAAAAATTAGATAATGCTTGCTTTGTCTTAAAATATCTAGAGAGATTACACCAGACAAGATAATCTGTAGCCGATTTTTGTTTTTTTAATTCACACAAAATGATGACAATTTATTTTTGCTTCAACCCGTGTGAGTTTTATTTGTATGGAATCAAAGTTTGTGGTATTAAACATGGACACATTGACACTTATGTCATGCCATAGACACATTTGTTCTATTGTGGCAAGGAACACATATAATGCATAATTGTATCATGGAACACTTTACACATATCATGAATAGAAATATTGAGGAACAGATGAAAAGAATAACATTACATTCCACTTCAGTACATTTCATTTTATTACTATGATATCTAGAATTGTTTTTGACAACATTCTCAACTGAGTTGCACATTATTTGATAGTATTGAACATATCTAGAATATTGTACCATTAGTCTTCAAAACTTGAAATCTAAAAATAATCTAAAAGTGTGCATTAATAAAAGACACACAATTGTAAAAATGTAGTAAAAATGTAGTAGTACGTATAATAATTCATTCATTTGGTTAAAGAAATCTTAAAAATTCTCATATTTCTTTATTGGTGTTATTGCTACAGAAGCACATTTCACGAGCTTCAAGTTACAATTAAAACTTTATTGCACATTTCAAAAAATTACCTCACCTAGGAACCTTCAAACTTCTGTAAAGTATCGTAAAATATCACAACAACACTGAAATATTTACTATATTTTTACACGTGCAATAACAATTTTGTCTCCACTTTCAATGAGAATTAAACTCAGTAAAACTGAAGTGGAACACTTTTGAGGAACAATTTTGATTCCACTTGGGAGGTGTTCCACTTAACTTACTTAATTTCATATTTAGCAAATGACTGGCAGGTCTTAAAGTGTTAAACTTAAGGTCCCACTTTCAGAGGTGTTCCACATTACAAGTTTTACTATACATTTAATGCAATTGCAATATTGCAAAATATATCCTGAAGATAAAATGCAACATATTCAAAACAACAATTTATCATCTATTGGTAACAATGACTATAGTGAAGACAACAGGAAATATCAACTCAAACAAGTGACATCAAAGTGACATAAATTGGAAATCATTTTCAGAGCTTGTTGTAAGAGGTTTGCACCAAATAATACAATGTACCTTTCTTTCTGTTGTATTAAATGTGATATGGGACAAACTGACAATATTCTTATTTGTGACAAAGTGGAATTAAGATTAACCCATTGGGACCCCGTATATTCACAGAACACAACTAATAGAGAATGGGGCTGGATTAAAATATCAATTTTTTGCAAGGCTAATTTAATAAAGGCTCAGACCTCCTTTATCTAATATAAATTATATTATTGTAACAATAGCTGTTTTTGTCTTTCCCAACTGTATGAACAGTTTTTAAACAAGGCATTAACGTGATAAAATGTCACCACCAGGTATGTTATTACCTGACTGTAAATTACTACAAAAGTGTAACAACTTGTTACAAATGCTTACACTAAAAGCCATTCACATAAGATGATGACTATTACAACTTGTCACCCTTTCTTGGTAGTGACATAACATTCTAAATGTAACCACCTACCATTTGTTACAGACACCAAATGCCAATCACCAACTGGCCGAACATCAACTGCCAAATGCTGTCCACAAAAAGTTGGAGACTATAACAATATGTCACCACTTTTTGGTGGTGACATAAAAAGGAATATTGATACATGACCTGGTTTCTTGTAACCATGACATTTTTCTTCTCAATCAAGTGTATTGTGGACTTTTTCCCGATGTTTCTTCAGCCATCTCTTATGAAATTTTTTATGACAGATATCACATTCAACATCTTTTTCCGCTCTATTGCCATGTTGTTCTTCTGTATGAGTCTTTAGAAAATATACAGTTTTGAAAGATTTACCACAGATTTCACATGTCACTCTATCCGAGTCACCAGCCTTGCTTCTCGATTTACCTTTACTTGCCCAAAATGACCAACTCTGATTGATATGCTGAAGTCTGTTTTGTCCAATCATATCATGTTCATCATCCTCATTACCAGTAGCCCCATCTATACTCTCCTCAGATTTTAAACTATCAATGGATAGAGCTTTGAGGTTGTCAGTGGGTTTAATATGATCAAGGGGTACACTTAAGTCACTTATGGTACGCAGGTCAACAGCTTGAACAGTTTGGTGCACAACTGTGTAGTTTGCACTTGATTCTTGGACACTCTCAATTTGCGATGTCTTAGTGCAGTGTGGATAATACTGTTTTGGCGACCGTTTACCTCCAAGTATGCTTCTCATTGGCACTTTGGGAATTCTTAAAGTTGCTGAAGAAAAATTAGAAATCATCAAATATATATTAATGCAGGGCTTAATCTGTACTACATTTCACTCTACAAGACAAAATTTTTTCATAAGTTTTCATATAATATATTTCTTATTTCATACTATATCATATTATCTACATTTATTAGAATACAAGTGAAGTATGTCAAATAGCATTAACTATCTAAATAGTGTAAACAAATATCAGTGTATATATTGTATATTCTATTGCAACTGTATAACAAGGCTATATGAAAGCATGAAATACCTAATGAATAATAATGAAAAAGATTGCACAGTGAAACATAATGGCACAATGAGAAATATAAATGATCCAATATTGAAATCAATGTAACGTAAGCCATGAGTATAAAATTATGGAATAAATTCCTCTTAAAATATATAATAAATTTCATATGGATATGATGTATATTACAATGTACTAGTTATGTACAGCACATACAGTTCTGTAGTGTAAATTATCATAGAGCTGTAGACCTACACTGTGTCTCAAATTGATCATAATGCTCAATATAAATAGAACTAAATAACAAAGAATTAATTCACAAATGTACACAGAGACAAATCACAAATAATATGTACTTTTTATGTGTCTCTGATGTACACAATATCAGTGCATTTGACAATTTCAAAAAAGCTTTTTATCTTCAGAAATTCAACAATATGATACACATTACAAGGACCAAACACATTAGCTTATTGCTCAGATTTCTTTGACTATCTGTGTCAGAGCATAATGATGACATTACAATTCCCTTGTGTTTAATGGCTTACATGGCTGAACACTATTGAGTTTTCCAAATCTCTCTATTTTCAACTTTGTTTCGAAAACATCATTTTAACATAAACTGATCCAAATGAATGAATAAAAAAGTGTTGCTTGGCAGAAACTCCTACGAGGTGAATTCCATTTTCGCGAGAGAGATTGGCAGGTGGATACCATTTCATGAGAGGTATTAGGAGGGATAATATGTTTTTTTCAATATCAAAAATATTGCCTGGCATTATTCACTGGGAAGAAGTAGAATCCTTGGACAAGACGATATAAACATGTATATTGAATGGGCTTCATTTATAAATTGGAACATTAAGAACAGAGTATATGAAATATTCAATATAGCAAGGTTCTTGTGTCTGCAAATAGAAAGTAAACATTACAGGAAATACCATGCCATATTCTTTGTCATGTGAACTGTCTTCAACCAATCGCATGAGAAACATGACAGCGAGATAACAAAATATCTTTTCTTTTTTCCCCAAGCCAGATTTCATATTATGAAGAATCTTTCTTTAATCTAAAATAACTGCAGCATTTGGAAAAATACCTTATATCTTCAGTGATACATTCGGTATAGTAAAGAAAACATTGGTCAATTAATTACAAATATTACAATTGTTCTTCCCTTCCATAACTGATTCATCATAAATGTGTACAATTAGCCCAATAAAACTGTTTGAATTAGCTACATCTTATCACCATCGGATTGTGTAATACCATGCTTGTTTGCTTTATGTAATGGTAATGCCCTTTTATGAATCTTTTTACCACAAATATTACATGTGGCAAACTTCTTATCTGGCTCTAAATGTATCTCACTTTCATGACGATATTTATGAGACCTTGTGGTGAACGATTTCGAACAAATACTACATTTGAATTGCTTCAGTTTTCTTGGAGAAACTTTTGAATTTGACAGCAGCTTAAAATGTGAGAAGATTGGTTTGGATTGTGTTTTCAGTGGATTGGCCATATTGTCTACTACATTGTTCATTTCATTGTCTACTGTCTGTTTAGCTGTGTAGTCTATTACACTGGTATCAGTATCAGGGTTTAATTTAACAGTATCTTCCCATGATTGGTGAACATAAAACGCGTCTCCATCAAGTTGTGAGAATCTGTTCGAAGCGCTCTCTGTTGGTGACGTTCCCTCTACCATGCACTGATTGGGAAATACTGCAAAAATAATCAAACACCAAGGTCAGTGCATCGCAAAGGGAATGTCACAGTGAGAGACTATATATTACAAAAGTGTCAATTTCGTAATGAATGTAACACATCCATGTGATTTGAAATTGCAGTAGATTTGTAAATTCAACATGTAATACATTAAACCTATACATCTCTCCAAAACGCAATATGTGAACATAAATTATTTTTCCATTTTCATAAGACTGAAGAGATAATAAATGCTTAAATATAAATTTGACGTAGATATAAACGTTTTTTAAGCGTAAAATCAAAGCATAACCATTAACTTAAAAAATAAAAAAAGGCTGTGCCGGGATTCGAACCCGGACCGTCAAAGTGCAGGCGAGGATTCTGCCACTGTACTAACCAGACATTGGTTATATGAGTATGTGATTTAAGGGGCCTTCTTTTTAGTTAGTCATGTGACATTCTAAATTTAGAAATCTTCGAAGAAATTTGTTTACCGGCGAACCTCTGAGCAATTGAATGAACAATTGTCAAAATAACATCTTTATCGTGAGTATTTCTTCACAGTATTTGCTCCATTTGTTCATTATTATAAATTTTCTCATTAAAGCACAAAATATTACCAGGGACCCCGGGAACAACCTAAGATTGCGTTTCGGAGAGATGCCCGACTTTAAGTATCCATCCATGCATTGGCTGAATTATCAAGTTATACAATTGCTTTAAAAATCATTTAGATTTCTTTAAAAATTTGAAATAAACACCATGTAGGAAACCGAAGGGGAGTGATTAATATTAAAACAATAATACTATGACCTCTCTTAAATAAAGTATTCAAAACTCAAAAGTAATCATAACCTCAATAGTGGCTGTGCCAAAATGTATGTCTCATTTTGCAGCTATTTAAATAGTCATGACACACGACAAAAGATCATATCATGTAATGGAGACTACACAATATGTATGGTGATTTCAGGCTATATGTAATTATTTTTGTGTGCCAAGACTTTCTCATTTTGACTCAGCTCCTCAATGACTTTCATTACACTGACTGAATGATAGGCTCAATGTGCATTGAGTTAAAATAGATCCATACCTGCCATGTTGTTTGATTGCTGAGTCTCTTGAACCTCTTCATCACTAACAGAGGGTTGTTCTTGTTTCACATACTTCATGGCTGGCCCATCATTATATTCCACCCTTTCTCTAATATCTTCAGCACCTATAGGAAATGTTTTTAGATCTTAATGTAATTCATGTATTTTCCCAATTGGATTACACTTGACAGTAACGTCCCTCTCTTTTTGCACTTATTTCTACATGTAATATTTTTGTTTCTTGTGTAAGTGGTGAAGCGATGTTTTGTTTACCGAAAATCACTTTAGATTACCATTACCCTTAATTTTAAAGTTTTTATAAAAAAATGTGTTTTGAAACATATGTTGAGGTGGACTAGCAGTCATTGAAATACTCATATTATGTTGAATTAAGTGCAAATCTTTTGATATGATCCCTTATTGATAAATAGTGTGAGAGTGATAGTGTGAACTTATACTTTCCCATCTCTCAATCAACAAATTTGATCAATATGGTAATGGTAATGGTAATGGCCCCCATTATGAGTGGATGGTAGTTCAGTAGCCCCCATCAAGTTTATGTTATGACTGAGATCTAGGAATATGGACACTGTCACATTATTGTAACTGTAAATAGATTTATTATTGTAATGTAATGTTGGATTTTTATTTCACTTCAAAAAAATGAATAATTCCACTAAATGTTTATTAAATATGACTATTGATTTAACTGTAAACATTCACAATACAAAAATCACCTTCTTGTTTAATTGGCATTGTTTGTTCCAACTGATGATGTTCCTCTTCAGTGGCTAGTTCATTTGCAGGAGTGGCATGCTCTTCTGGTTGTAGTTTAGCAGCTGAATCTTCACCATATTCTTTGTCAGTATGTTCACCTGTTACAAGACTTAGATCGTCTTCTGTTACATTCATATCTGGTTTGGTTATAGTCTCAATCATTGGGTTATAGTTTTTTCTGATAGACGATGGCCTGGATTTTCTTTGTCGTGTAATTCCTGTTATTGGCCATTTATGTGTGCCTAGTGTACTCTGATTGGTTGGTTCAAAATCCTGGTCTCCATGTGACCATTCAGTAGCACCAGCTGTAGATATATCGCTATAGTAGTTTGGGTATTTGTAGCCCAGGTCTCTGTCATTATTTTTTGGTTTGACCACTGTTCTATGTATTTTGATCACGATCTCTGGTAAACTGTCCCCAGGAGATATACATATAATGCCATCTATCTCTAAAGAGGCACCAAAGTGGAGTTTTTGAGTACATAGTTTGAGAATGACATCCTGGACTTCTCGCATGATCTCACTCTTCACTTCACTTCCCATGGCATCGCCGGTTTACACTACCTTTAGAGAATGCTGTATGGTTCACTCCTGCAAATAAAAAGAACTGTTTTAAACAAACCAGGAAAAACACTTTTGTTATAATCTTACATAACTCAGATTAGCATAATAGCAAAACTTCTAATACAAATGCTCACAATTAAATTTATGTATAAAAACTGTCTTGACTTGATATGCAATTGTATTGTAATAACTTAGTCTGAAGGAAATATCCATGGTCTTGGTATTGCGATATTGGTACTTGAATGGCAGAGGGAACTGGACAATTTCTTTTCATATTGGAATATGATTTGAGATTTTTTTAACTTTTTTTTATCAGTCATCAATATCTAGTTGGGATAGTTGGGGTTTGCTTTCCTTATGACTGGTGTACTCTGAGATGTTAGATAGAGTTGGATATTTCAAAATTCTTTAATGGCGAGGCGCCACTTCTTGTGTGAAATATCACAAAAACGAGGAAATAAGGGGTTCTGTTAGAGTACACCTAGGTGCCAACTCTTCGCTTATTCATTTTCTAACCTTCTTTGCAATAGTTTTTGACAAAAAATATTTTTAGTATATGATTAATGTCAAGCTTGATGATTGATGATTTGGAAACCAGACCAACTCTTTCGTTGATTACAGGGTGCAAGATGACTGTATAAATCCAGGTGCCCCCTGGGGACACCTAGGTGTAATTTAGCATCAGCTTGAAATGTCAATAACAGGCAGTTCCTAGCATTGTCATGTTTCATTCAGTAAATAAATTTAGGCTGATATGTCACGGTCATATCAGGCTTCAACATTACCATGGTCATGACAGGCCTTGCAACCATTGTCACGGTCATATCAGGCTTTAACATTACCACAGACCACGGTCATGTCAGGCCTTGCAGTATAGCATTTACCACGGTCATGACAGGTCATGCAATATAATATAGCATTGTTATGGTCACATCAGGCTTCCTTTAACATTACCACACGTGACAGTCATGACAGGCCATGCAATATAATATAGCATTGTCACAGTTATATCAGGCTATAACGATAACACTACCACGGTCATGGCAGGATCCTTGCGAAACTTAAAAACACTTAATAACATGGTGACAGATGTGCCAGGCGTAAGTCTTGCAACAGATAGGGTCTCTCTTGATGACAAATCATAGATCAGACTCAAGAGATCATCATCATGATTTCATCTGATGTGAAAATAATTTGGAAAATCTAGAAAAGTACAAAATCTCTCGCGATGTTGAATCTTCGGTATTTCAATCGCTACTGAGAAAAACAATATATAATCAACAACAAACCACAACGATGAAACAAATGATGCAATGCACTAACAATTCGACAAAAGGAAACATTGAAACTGGAAATAAAACATTTTCTCACCGATTGCAGCGCCATCTACTATATGTCAGGTGTTACACTAAACGAAAAACGACTAAATTAAATCCCGGGCAGGTAGAATTAAAGATTTTTATTCCCGGTGTGAAAGAAATGATGGTCCCTCAGGGATTATGGTCCCCTTTCTTAACGGCCCTTACTGACCCTGATTGCGTATAAGAGAATGGAGGAAAGAGTTGTATTTAGGTCACCATATGAATCAATGGAGAGTAGGACCATAATTTGATAGGACATCCTACCCCTTTACACAACATTACCCCATAGAAGGTGTACAATCAACCTCAGTGATACACAGGATGTCTCAAAAAAGGATTTAATTGCTTATTCCTCAAATGGGAATAATAATTTAGGAACATTTCACAGCTCGAGTGTCTGGGAATAATAATTTAGGAACATTTCACAGCTCGAATGTCTGATAGGTTAGGATGATGTCCTCTGCAAAGTTGTCTATTTTCCTTCACAGATGACTGAGCTTTAAGGGATTTAAGTGACCATGTCAGAAATGGGGTTGTGCCACTTTTTCTTTCATGAATGACTGGACAATGGGGGATTAAAACGGTTATGCCAGGATGGTTTTGCACCCTGTGACTTCTTCCTTTGGGGTTATCTCAAGGATAAAGTCGACGCAGCATCACCAAGAGGCGTTATGATCTAAGACCCAGGATTGTTGCAGCAGTGGAGGATCTTAGGGGACAGATAACCATCATCAGGGATGCAGTATGTGCGATGAGATCTTGGGCAGACATTTGCATTGAAAGGAATGGGGGTCATGACTCATGTTGAAGGACACTGGGTTTAAAACAACTTTGAATGGACATTCGGATTGGAAAGGGGTGTTAAATATCATTATGATATGTGTAACTTTAATTGGAATAAATGAGTAAAAGAGTAATCCTGATGTTTGTTGTTACTTATCACTATGTTATGATCGTGAATTGAGTTGGCTGAAAGTGGCACAAACCCATTTCTGACATGGTTACCTAAAGATCATATTGCTCAGTCATCTGTGGGGGAAAATAGAAAATCTTGATACCATATGAAAGAGGGCAATGACGCAAATGATGCATCCTTGCTGCAAGGGTATTTTACAAGTATATATGAATTTAAGCATAAGTGAAGTCCTTTGAAGAAGGATGCAAATGATGGTACATGCGAATGGTCCCTATCATTATTCATTTTTGAGAAATTAGAAATTCCTTTTTGTTGAGACACCCTGTATTACTAAAACATGCACAGTTTACCAAATTGCCACAAGCACTCACAGATTGATAGGACTCACTGCAGCAATATGTGGTTTGTCTAAATGTCTTCTAATAGCCTTTTGGTAAATGCGTACTACTATTAAACAGGGTGTCAAAATTACCTTTCTTTTTTGTGGGGGTGGGGGCGATCGAACCGGGGATCGAACCCCCCCCCCCCTCCCCGGCTACGCCCATGACAGTATACACTGCAATAACTAGTGCAAATATTGAAAACGTTTTAAAAAGATACAAAAAGTTTATGAACAGTTTCAAATCATAATTGAACACAATTTGTTACATTCTGGTACATTTGACCTAAAAATGTGACAATCTGATCTGATTAGCCAAAATATTGTCTTTTTTGTTGGTAATGATGAAAACCTGACCAGCCCTGAGTTATTTTATGAGGACTATATACTTTCTCAAGGAAAGAGTTGATAGTTACTGTTGATGACCTACATAGAGAGACAACTTCATTATTTATCCCGGAGCAAAACCCGTACCTGCCAACTTAGATCGAGCCTGTCACTGGGGGTACTATGGGGAATTTGGTAACCTTAAGTTCTAATATAGATGTCAGACACGTTCGATACATCTAAACGGTTAAAGAACTTTGTTTGTAGTAAAATACAGGGTGTCCCAAAAATTGTACTCGGCTAAACAAGGCATGATGATAACTACTTATTGAAAAATTAATTTTCTACGATCAACGGAAAAGTTCAGCCTAATTCGCCCTTTTCGACAAAGAAAAGTTATTTCTGTTCACGTCTCATTTGGGTACAATTTTGGGACACCCTATATCGATATATATATTTATTAGTATTATAGGTTTAAAGTTCTAGATTTGAACCGCAATGCCCATCCATGAGACACAGACAGTTATAAAAGTATCATTATCTGAGGCAAATTTTTTCCCCTGGGGTAACATGTAGGCCTATAATATGTAGTCGTTGACTTTCAAGATCGCAACTTAAGAGAGAACAGGAAAATGTCTGTTTTTACATGTTTTATTGATCAATTATTTAAGACAAATTAACATGAAGATGATGATGTCCTTCATTTTAGGTTGTGAGCTTGTGGTATTTGCGAGTCTCACTAAGTGGCAGTTCAAGTTCATAGGCCAAGAACCTGAAGAAGATTTCTTGCGCTGTCCCAACGTCACTCCTATGGAAACAGCCATACTGAAATGAGAGTCACGGAATGCATTTTATTTAATGAAAAATGAGAATAATTGAATATGTATAGTGCTAGTGTTTAAAATTACCCTTTAATAGTTCAGTTTTGACACAAATAAAGCTACGTAACGGTCGCAATCAGAATCAGATGCCCCTAAATGTAATTATATTATACTTCAAGAATTACTTCCAAGTACCTGCTATATATGATACACCTGATATCAGACAAGTGCTTGACGATCGTCTCAGAGTTGCACATGTACCAGGATGAGGGTACCAGAGGGTGCCAGAGTGTTGCAGAAACGATTAACTCTCACTTATCCGAGACGGTCTCAGTGTCACAGGGTTTGTGCCAGGACCACCACCAAGGGTCTTACCAAACCCTTCAAGCTATTCACCAGCTCACCAAATGCTAATTTTGTTCAAGGAAGATTTTCTCATGTTAGATTATTCTGAATCTAAGGCTACAACCAACGAAACTATGATTCAGATACGAAAGACGCGATTGAAAAATGCAAAGAAATCAATCTACTATATTTTCAATCCACCCAAAAAAATAAAAATGCTTCGTACTACTATTCTACCATTTCCAAAATAAATGCTTTCAGATTCTTATCAATTTAGCTATGAATCTAATTTATTAAAAACAACAAAAATTCAACCAATGACCCAGTTAAATCTTTAGACTTTGCTAGAGTAATTCCAAACAAACAAATTCATAATTTAAAACTAATATAGCTGGAATAGATGTTGTTTCGTTATACATGTAATATAGAAAAACTTCCATCTTAGATCAAATATGATCAATTATCAAGTTAACGAGATAGAAGTTTAATATAAATATATTATGTTGTTGGCTCACAGTATCGCACGCAAACATGTACTTTGAATATCATTTTATTTTCAATTGGCCTAAACGTTTTTTTCAGAAATAAAATTCGGCATTTATTTTTCATTTATTTTATTTTTAAATGATGTTTCTCAAAGTACAACCCATTCATACAAAGACGCCACATGGGACAAATCACAGACATAGAAAGACGAACATTTTTTCCAAGAATTTTTATACAGTTGATAAATATTCTTGGTTTATACATACCCTGGCCATAAGCCTGGCCAATTATGGCCAGTACGATCAAGCCAAGACACCTCATTTGCCTGAAATATTAAAAGAACTATTGCGTATTGCTAGTCTACCTTTAAGACTGTAGACCTGACATCTAATCAACATAGGGTATTGAGGCAAGATGGTGAAAGGATAACGTCATCGATTTGCAACAAATTTCAAACTTTTTGGCGTTCATTAATAGAAACCTCATTAAGTTAAGAATACTATTGTTTTCACCGTGGATAATATAAGGAGGTCAAAGTAAGAGAATAATGGACTAAAAAGTCAGAGTAAGAGAATAATGTACTTATAAATTCTTAACATTACAAAATAATAACCTCTCCGGTTAACATCTATATATTTATTACATGAAGTGAACAGATTTGGTGTGATACAATCTAGCCTTGCCCAAGTCGGTCTCTTTTACTTATCTTGATTTCTATTATGACCGGCGGTAATAATTCAAGATCAGATTAGTAAAAAATACCCACTTGGGCAAGGCTAGATACAATCGTTTTCCCACAAATCTCCCAATACGTGTATATGTTGATCATGATCAGTAGTCAGTACATAATAACAAACAACCTTTTAAAACTAGGTTTTTCACGATCTCCTTTTTTGATAAGTCATTCACGCAATTACAGGTAAGAATTTGGGAAATGGATAAAATGAAATTACCTTTTCGCTCTGATAGCAACTTTAATAGGCAGTAGTCAATCTGGAAATATAATATTTTACAATAAGTCTATCTTATACAACACAAACTGAAGCGTTGTGAATTAATGTATCGTTGTTGCCTTACCCCGAGACGAACATAAATTCCTAAAACAATTTAGAACGCGAAGTTCAGAAATCTACATGGTTCAGAAAATGAACATTGATGTAAAGTAAATACCTTTGTCTCAAACCACTATTAAATTCAAAAATACGGATTGTAATTTTAATTGCTTGTGACAATCACACAAATGAATTTATGTAATATAATTACGAAATCTTAAATTAATCATGTTACCTGATTTTAGACGTAAGACTTGCTGTCTTGCCGTGCGTCTCGAAACTGCAATATGGAGAACGATGCAACAGTTTACGTATAGACGACACGTATACGGGCAAGTCGTAAATCCATCAATCTGTCCCTTTCAGCAAGATTAGTGAGTCAAATGCAATATACCTGTTGTACATGGATTTCCAATCCGGTTCATGTTATGTCGATGTCCCTGGTACAGTCCTTGGCTATGTCAGAAATGACTGGGGTTCCCATAAGTTTATTTATACCAATGAGTTCCTTTTTTATAATCTCTGATTATAAATTGCTAAGATATACCATGCCTGAAACTGATGTGGAGTATGTTTAGAGTGAGGGACAATTTTCAAAACAAGGCATAATATGCAAAATGTCACCACTAGCCATTTGTTACAAACGCCGAACACAAACCACCGTCCATCAAAAGTTGGAGACTATAACAACATGCCACCCCTTTTTGATAATGATAGTGACACAGGAATAACACATACTAAAATATTGACTTGGGCACGAAGCGGGGATGGGTCATGAGGAGTTGATGAAGGACAAGTTCATGAATTAAAATACAAAGAAATAAGATACAGAATATGAATTCTTTAATTTACATTATAAATAATGAGATTTTTTAATATTATAAACTATTCTCATTTTAGATATTTTCAATTTATAATGATTTGCAAATACAATTATCAATAGACCTTGCAGAGAATTGGAATTAAATACTTTGATATTTTCACAAAAGAAGATTTATTTCCAGTCTTACCCATTGTGCAAGTTGCAAATCATTCATTATTAATATTTTCCACGATCATGATGGCGATGATGATGATAAGAGCTATTAGCCCTTTAAGGTATGTTAGTCTAAGCTCGTTTGATCAAACATTTATGAGCAATTAATGTCAGTCTCAGGGAATGAATTGAGCACATATTTCCCTTTTTGCTTTGATTACAAAGTTAAAACTCTTGCGACTTTATTTTATTTCATCTGGACTCCACTGTACCATTATTGTGTTGTTTTGTCTTGGAGGGCACGGGGGCTGAATTGGGTCAATCTGTGTCAGAAAGTCATTTTTCTTTATAAATTCAGAAATTCACAAAATTCTCATGAAATTCACACATCTTGAAATATTTATATTTCTATTTTAACTGTCTCCATGTTTTATACAATTACAGTAATAGAATCTTAGAAAATTGACTCACTATAACACATGTACTATAAGTAACTATCAAAATATCACCAATCACCTCCAGACTATGCAACCTATGTAAATACTAAATAATAGTAAATATAGTATAAAATAATAATAATATATAAACTGGAATATCTCTAATCAATATCAATAGATTCATTCTAATTATATAGCCTCGCCTAAGTCGGTATAATCATTTACTTATCTTGATCTTTTAGTGACAAAAAATAAAAATAAAATGGCTTATGCAAGGCTATCGCAGGTACAGTGTTCAAGAGCTCAGTAGTCTTAGCATATAATGGCAGTTCAGATAAATCACAGCATGTTATAATATATACATTAAATGACTAAATGTATGTACATTATCAGTATATCTGTAAATATAAATTCACATTCATTTATGGGAGATCGCAAATCGCAAATCATTCAATGTTAAAAATAGCCCCAAAAATAAGTTAGGTAACAAGTCCCAAAAATAAGTTAGGTAACAAGTCCCAAAAATAAGTTAGGTAACAAGTCCCAAAAATAAGTTAGGTAACAAGTCCAAAAATAAGTTAGGTAACAAGTTCCAAAAATAAGTAAGGTTACAAGTCGCAAAAATAAGTTAGGTAACAAGTCCCAATTTTTTTTAGGTAACTAGTCCCACAAATAATGTAATTAGACCTAGATTTGATATGCACCTAAATAGTCGGAGGATAGCGAAAATGTCCTAAATGCTATTTTTGAAATAATTGAATTATTTACAATTTCTTCCTCTAATTCAATTCCTTTCTTTTTATGACATTCCCTTGTCTTAAAACATCTCTTCTCAACAGCCCAATTTTCAGTGTCAAATCCTACCTTATCAAAATTTCAAAATACAATTTGAATCCAACACTTAACACTTGGATACTTTTGAAATTACAGATATCTAATTTTGATTTTCGACTTCTGAGATTTCTCAATTTTACAAAAATTATTCTGATAGGACAATGTTAAAAACTGAGTATGTGTAACTCTTATAAGCTGCATCTATGGACTGGTTTTGGAACACCAAAGAACATCTTTGGTATCATGACGCATCACATTTCATGGATTTATGATTAAGGCCATAAGAAGTAGATTCTTTGTTTTGCGTCCTGGAAAAATCCAAATCATGCAAGGGTACAAGGAAAACAAACACAAACTCAAGAAAAACACAAACTTGTTTGCGGAGAAATGTATGGGTATAGAAAGGGATGACATACCAATTTGCAGTGATTACAAACACATATCTAGGCCTATAGATTTTATACAATATATTTAAACATAGCTATTATTCATACACAATGTATGCCAAAGTAATCAACAACACTGTCAATTTTGACGCATATCAAATTACCCGCCATTTCGTCTGATTCTGATTGAAGAAATGCAATGCTACTTTCAAACCCTTGTGATTGCTATTTGGATGTGTTTGTTTTTGCTGATTTTCTCAGTGTGCAAGGAAGGGGACGCAAAACAAAGATCTACTTCTTATGGCCAAATATGTAAAATATGGCAACTTAAAATAATCTATCTGATAACAGGAAGTTTTCCAGTTCCATAAATCATAACACTTACTGTTATTGCACTTCCTTTAGCAACTTAAACAACAACAATAAAAATAGACTGTATGATTAACAAAATACTGTTCTTGGATAATCTTTCCTAAATAAACACTATACGTACATTAATACTATACATAATAATAAATTTTAAAAATGATTTATTTGATTTGGCAACAGAAATACAATGTACCCTAGATAGAATTATATTAAGTTCCATTTTAAATAACTTCTTTCATCTTTGAAATTGATAAAATTGGTCAAGTGGATTATGATTGTTAAAGAGCTAATCACTCATTCAAGGATACAACAAAGTAGTTTTTAATTTTTTAGGAATAAAATATATCAGGGTTGTGGGTTCAAATATTTTCACATTTTTACATTAACTTGAACGCTTCATGGGACAAGTTTGAAAAAATGATCCATGATATTTCTGTCCCAGGAACTAGTTTACAAGTTTTGTTCCAAGAACACAAAACTTCTAGATTACAGTAATACAGGAATACCTATATAAGCCTTTGGTTCTGCTTAGATAGGTTCATTTAACATTATATCAATAGGCCACATACTGTACAAGCTTTATAAAATGTTTGACATGCAAATGTATTCCACTTGACAGTACTTGCTGTACTTGAAGTTGATGCAGCCTCTGGTGTTGGTGCATTCTTTAAGTAAGAATAAGTATTCTACCATTGGAGTATAAACATGTATCTATGATAAATGATAAAAGAATCTGTAACTGGGGTGACTGTGTACATTTACCTAAAATATCTATGGAATGTAAAGTAGTCTAACTACACAGTATTCCTAATTAAAAAAAAAAATTACTGCATACTAGACAGAAATATACATATTTATATATATGTACATATGTTATATAATGTTGCAACATTATTATGTAATACCAAATATTTCACATACATGCACTGCACATTTGAACAATATATTACTCTATTTTGTCCTTGCCAGGATGTAGTTTGTTAACTGTAACTGCGAGACAGGGTACAGCACTTTTGATTACCATATTGCATTTACTTTGAAATATAAAACAAACTACAATATAAGACTTATATTGCATCTTATAATTACCTTATATGGCACTTCTACAATGAAACCTGTCTTTTAAATACCATATAAGGTATTGCACTTTCTTTAAAATATAAAACCAACTACAATATAGGACTTTTATTGCTTCTCATTATACCATATATGGCACTTGTACAATAAACCTGTCTTTTAAATACCATATAAGGTATTGCATCTACTTTAAAATATCAAACCGATTACAAAATAAGACCTATACTGCATCTCATAGTTACCTTATATGACAATTGTACAATAAGACCTTTCTATAGTAAACACCTCTGGGACTTGGGTTTTCACAGCAGTAGGTGTTTACATTATATTTAAAGGCACTAACAAGTGATCACATTCCAAGGTATTCACAAATGGACGGGTTTATTGTATTGTTCAAGCTGGTAAAACTTCTAAATAAGGCACTGTTTTTTATAGAAAAGACTGAATAAGGCACTGATGTATAATTCATGTTACACTGCAACACTTTTGCTAATATAACCAGTAAAACAAGGCAATATCACTGCTAAACAAGGCAATATCATTGCTAAACAAGGCAATGTCATTGCAAAATAAGGCAATGTCATTGCAAAACAAGGCAATATCATTGCTAAACAAGGCAGTATCATTGCTAAACAAGGCAATGTCATTGCAAAACCAGGCGGTGTCATTGCAAAACAAGGCAATATCATTGCAAAACAAAGCAATGTCATTGCAAAACGAGGCAATATCATTGCAAAACAAGGTAATGTCATTGCAAAACAAAGCAATGTCATTGCAAAACAATGCAATATCATTGCTTAACATGTAATAATAGGTCACTTTTCTTGCTTTACCTTAGGCAAACCCATATGTAATGTCGAGTTGATTGTTAAATATACATAGTCAGCTAATAAAGGCACTTGTAACTTCCAATGTTCATAATGAAATCTCTTAGCCTTGTTTAAACTGCCACATGAGCAGTAAGATATCCTCATACCTGACATCTGTATTGGTATTCCAATTTACATGACCATCTCCACCACTCACAATCACAACAGACTTGGCTAGAGCTAGCTTTGACGATACACCCCCTGGCAGAATATCTCCCTTAACAGTTCTCCTACTGACAGAACGACTGATTGGTTTCTGCCCTGGAGTGTGTTCCTCCTCTTCCTGGCCTTCATATATTGGACACTCTTCCATAATTGAGGAATGTTTAGTGCTGCCACCTATTGTGGATTTATGTCCATCAAGCATGGTGCCACTAGGCCCTGTAGGGACAGAGTATCGTTGCATTGCATTTATTACAATGTCATTTTGCATTAGACAGCCATATAAGGTGCTAACTTCATCCTCCACATTAAGTAAGTGTGGCAAGGAACGGGACCTCACTGCGGCATGTGTGCTTATATCATTTGATAAATCTGTTCGTGAATCCAATATGGCATTGTCTGATAGTGTCAAACATCTTGTGTCCACATTGCTTACAGTTTCACATGGAGATTCATCAGGTCCTTTTTCATAAGAAATATCTTCCTCAAGATCCTCAACAGGTTCTTGTTTGAGCGGGAAATAATCATGAATTACACCACAATAAATTGGTGCTAAGAAAACTACACTACTGCAATGTCCATGAAGTGACACGTTTGGTCGTCCACTTATGAGAGGAACCCCCTCGAGACGGGGCAGGGGGAGGGTTAGGATGAGGCCACAACTGGTACCAATCCAAAGTAAACCACGACTAGAGAGTAATGATGTCACACCGAGATCTGTTGGCTCATTCCCCTGTTCTTGACCTACAAACAATAATGAGCAAGATTTCTATTACACAATCCTTGGCATAAAGTTACAATACATGTTTATCAGGTGATCAGTATCTTGATCAAGAGGCCATTAACAGAAACTTCTAAATTCCTGAAGTCCATTGTGACTTCATTATGTCCATGGTTACAACAATTGATTTGCGAATTCGTAACATTACGAAGTATCTGTTAATGACCCCCAGAATATGCTAGACCTACAAACTGAACCCATTGCCACGTTATTCTATCACAAATGCTGAAAAAATCAGATGGAACCCTTGACTGGAACTTATGTCACACTCTGATTCTGTATGTAAAAGAACGCAAAACTGTACATAAATATTACACAATTCGGCTATTAGCTCCTAACTGAGTATAACACCAATGTTGATGCCTACCTGAGATGACCCTGTGTACTGCAGATGCAATGTTAATATCCTGGAGATGCTGGAAAGTCTCCAGGTGGTAGAGACGTAGCACAGACTCTCCCTTCATGCTCACCCACAGACCTACACCAGCACGTACCATGTGACATACCTCACAGCTTGCACTGCCAACAGAGTGAGTCTCCTAAATATAGAAGACGATGCATGGTTTGGTAATTTTGAAAAGCTGGAGAGAGCTAAATAGTATACTTTTTTTATTGTATGATCTGTAAAACGAAGCCCTCTGATTTGTCAGTTCTTGTGCTGTACCAATCTGTATTGCTACTGAGATTGTCCCCATTGATCATCTCTGTCGCATTACAGAAAATATTGATACGAAAGGAACATCTCAGAAGCAATACAGAGAATACAAAATATTTCCTAGGGATTATCTCCTAAGTAAATGTATTGGCCTAAGATCACACGCTTAAAACATTATAGAATGATTTTAAGCGCAATACAGGATATATTCTACTCTCGATATTCTGTATTGGCACTCGACTTATAGGCGAGTGGGAGCAGGGTCAAATATGGAACTTTAATTAAGATTGACTGCAACCGCTCGAAACATGTTGTACTTTCATAATATTAATATGTAGATTCCAAATATGACAATGAAAAGTTTTGAAAAATGGCCGGTTGCCATGGAAACGGATGCAAAGTGCCACGCCCACTTTTCATAATCCATAAAGTATGATAAACACAATATTGGCCATAACTTTTTTAATTTTTAACTATTCTTAATGATATTGGTACCATATCGAAGGTAATAAAATATCCCGTCACCCTATGTACTATTAAGTCGGTTTCAATTGTTCACCCGGTAATTATGACGTCATAATATCCTCAAATTCCCATTTTAAGGTATATTTAGCGAATTGCTCCACATCAATATCAATTAAATACCTTAGTGAATATTCTTATCAAATAAAATGAGATTATTTTTGTTCATGTTAATGTGTTCTTTCCTGTGATACCTTTGATGTTACATAAAACGTATACACTTTTGTTCTAGAGCCTCTTAAACCCATGGCTACACTATCGTAAAATGCTGAATCCATAGTTAATCGCATCTTACTAAAATTTACTGATTCTCTGTCTATCTGTGTGTATATGTGTTTGGTGTTTGCTACCAAACCATTTAGACGTTGGAAAACAAAACGTGGCACATATGTCCAGTATAGTACCCCCATCGAATATAAAGTGGTTAAGAACTTGTGATGTCATCATGTTGCCTAGCAACCACTTAGGAATGGATTAAAATGCCCTATTATGGCCATTTTGCCCTAGTTTCATCATTGTATAGGCACTCAAACATCTAGATATGGAGAAAGAATCACTCCTCAGCATTGACCCTACAGTATATTACTGTCTTTGTACACTGGTTATTGTGATGTCATCTGTGTTGCCTAGAAACTACATAGCAATGTCCTAAAGTTTGCCAAAAATGAGATAGTTCAGCCAGTATTCTACCATTTACTCACAGGTTATGTCATCAAAACACTCATTTAAGATTAAAATATAATAATCTAAAAAATACCAATGTGTGTGTTCAAAACGGGCACTCTGCAAGACAATACCTGCCTAGGAACCGTCTAAAAACGGTCAAAAGCTGCCGAAAATGAGGTATTTTGCCGAATATTATGCTATTTACAATTTATGCAACCACAAAACACATCTGAGCTTCATAAATACAATGAACAGGGCATCAAATAAGTCTGTTCTCCCTCCCCCTTAACTTTTTTGATTTAGAAATAACATAGGGACATCAAAAATCATTTTAAAGGGAATTCAATTTGCTGATCACATACCAAATTTCTGAATGATAGGTTAAATTCCAAATTTTTAGAGCATTTTTAGTGATGTCCATATTTCACATTTTTAATAGTTTGTATGTTTCCCCCAAGCAGCTCAGGCAGTCTCATTTTACGAGGATACAATTCCAAAATGTTCAGAAACAGGAGTGTTGCACTTTCCAGGCTTCTGGGAGCCTTTTGATACATTTGAGCAATGTTTCATGGCTATAAAGTTTCTCCTCTTGTTAGTCTTCAATTAATGTTATGTCCCTGTCCTCCATAATTGCAGTATCATTAACTTTTTACCATCCATTCACTATTCTGGTAATTTAACTTCTTTTGACGTTATCAATGGTCAACTACAACTTTACAAGAAACATTGTAGCAATTTAGAAAGAGTTCATTTTTGATATTCTAAGGGTGAGCAGCATTTTACATAAGCTTTAAAATGATACATGGGAAAGTATGATAACTTCCAAAATAAAAAAGCTAAGATGAGAACAGACTTAGTTGACGACCTGTATGTTTACACAATAGGCATCGTGTAGTCATAACATATGCCTAGCAAACACATAGCAACGATTCCTAGTCAACTCGCACCCTAGTTAACATCGACCCTAGTCAACTTGTACCAATGTATTTCTAAATCTTTTTTCGATATTTTGAGCGTTAAAGTGAAAATTAATATATAAAACCAAAAGTGATCATATATAATTGCAAGAGTCAATCATAAATCATACATTCTAATTGTGAAATCAAATAGGATTAAATATGCCTAAAACATAGTCACCAATAGTATGATTTTACATGAAACTTTAATAATATGCCCAAAATGTATTACAAACAATAATGTTATTTTCAAGCTGTACTTTACAACAATAATGTATTGATATATTTCTTCATTCTGTATATTGGAAGTAATGTAGTACCTCTATATTTTGTTAACTTCAACACCCTGATTAAATGCTTATCGAAAAAGAATAGAAATAGAATAGAAATCATAGTAAGCATTAGAAAATCATTTTGAAGCATTCAAAATCAAATCCACAGCAAAATCTGAATAATTGGTTTGATCAATCAAAATTATCTTTATGGATGTGTCCTTTATGTGCTTAAATATGGCTTTGTATAAAAAACCTCCTACCTCATAATAAAAGCATATGGATGCATTTTAATGTGTAATGACCCGAGGTTGCCCCAGGGGAATAAATAACTAACGACCGCGAGCATAGGTCCAACAAGTCAGATAAAGAAATTGAAAGGAAGTGTGCTAAATTCGATGCCCCAAGTGGGAATCGAACCCAGCTGGGATGTATAGTAGCAACTTGCTATCAAGGGTCGTTACAAATGCATCTATAATTCATCATATAAACTAAGATTTAATAAACTAAGATCTTGAAAGTTGAACCCTTCAAAGACTGTATCATGTCCCACGTATAGTGGGTAGGTGAGTATAAGGTAGGAGGTTTTTTTTATACAAAGCCCTTAAATATGGTATGTATACTTGCGTTGATTGCTCAATTGCAAAATAGGTAGGGTTAAGAATATGTCAAAGTTGTTTGATCTCGTTCCAGAGGCAATATTTTGTCACTTGTATCTCCCAGAATACCTTTAGGTCTGAGTTAACTAGGTCCAAATTGACCAGATACACCTAGCAACGGTAAAACATTCACAAAAATGAGGTATTTTTGTCAGTATTATGCCATTTACTCACTAATTCACAAGGCATAGCTACATGTAGGGGGACCCATGACGTTAAAATGTTAACCTATCAACAACTTAGCAAAGTTAGGTTATGGACTAAAATGGTCAGTTAAGGGCAATACTGATGATACTCCCTGAGCCTGGACTCAGTTCAAGAGCAGAAACGTGATTTCCCGCAGGGACGAGACGACTCCTGGAGCTGAGATTACACTTTCAGAATCATGGTACTCCTGGAGTTCTAATTCCTCCCAAGTGAGATTACTCTGAGAGAGAGAGTGAATTGGTAATACTCAGAGAAGTTACGAGAGACTCTTGGAGCAGAGTTTACTCCTAGAGCCCAGACACTGCCCAAGACCAGATACATAGGGTGTCCAAAAAAAAACAGGACCGTAAGAAAGTTGAATAACTCGGTCAATTTTGCATATTTTGCCTTGAAATTTCAGAATTATTTAGTTCATTCAATGTGAATTTTGTTGTGAAAGTTTGATAATAATGTACCAATTGAGTCAAAAACTACAGCTCCTTACAAAACATGCCCCAAATGTGCACCTCTCATCTCTATGCACAATTCAATCGGGCGAACAAAGTTGTTGATGATCCTCCTACACACATGTCTTTCTGAATGGACAAGTTTGTTCCAAGAACAATTGCTACTGGGGCTTACATCCTCCTGATGAAGTGTTACAGCATCCATTGCATTCTGAACAATGCACTGCCTAGGTGGCAATGAGGAAACATGGAATCATCAGTCCCTTTTGGTTCGAAGATGACTGTGGACGTGCTATCACCATGAACAAGGACCAGTAAGTTCTCACCAAGTTTTGGAGGTCACTAAGCACCAGAAGGACATCTAAGGAGATAATTAAGCAGTGGTTTCAACAAGCCAATACCACCCCAACACTGCAAATGATATGCTGAAATGGTTTAGGCAATGCTTTGGTGGTCAACTCATCAGTTGCAGAACGCAAACCATATGGGCACCTCATTCGCCTGATCTAAATCCCCCAAATTTTTATCTTTGAGGATTTCTCAAAGCCAATGTGTATATGGACAGGCCCCTAACAATCTTAAGAGGGCAATAACTACCCCAATATTTACCATCCACATTAATGTGTAGATGTCAGGGTCATTAACAACTTTGTTCGCAGGATTCGTTTGTGCATAGAGAGGAGAAGTGCCCACTTTGAGCATGTTTTGTAAAGGACTGTAGTTTTTGACACAAAAAACAGATTATCATTAAACATTCAGAACAAAATTCACATTGAATGAACTACATAATTCTAAAATTTCAAGGCAAAATATGCAAAATTGACTGAGTTATTCAACTTTCTTACGGTCCTGTTTTTTTTGGACACCCTGTACAATACTTCCTATATAGACAAAGTGACTCCTATAGTCTACTAGAGCTGAACCCATTCCAAAAGCAGAGAAGATATTTCCCACAGAGATGTGCCGAAAAAGATCATAGTGACATTGTATATGGACATTGTATTTTTTTGTATCATCTATGTTGGAATAGATTAAAAATGTGTATGCAATTGTTTCGTGTGAAGCATCTTTAATTTAGGTACTACCAAACAAGGCAGGTGTAAAAGGGTAGGAGGTCCTATCAAATTATGGTCCTACTCTCCATTGATTTATATGGTGACCTAAATACAACTCTTTCCCTCATTATCTTATATGCAATTGGGGCCAGTAAGGGCCGTTAAGAAAGGGGACCATAATCCCTGGGGGACCATCATTTCTTTCACACCGGCACTCATAGAAAGACCTTTAAGATTCATTATTGATCGCTCCTGATCTTTTCTTTGATGAGCATTCAGGATACTCGGGAAAGGGCAAAGCGAGACATTGGTGGCAGTGATGGGTTCTGTTGCCCAAAGAGGATGATTGAGATGTCAAGTAAATTGGGGCTTAGTCAGAAATCTTAGATGAAGAGGATTCCGGAAGAAATGGTGGAATTGTAAAATTTGTTCCCTAGTTGAGATTGGAACAGCTTGAAACCCCTCCAAATGAAAGGTGTCAAGAAGAGCAGTCTTGTCTGGAGAGAAAAGTGAGATGCTACTGGTGTTTAAGTGGATGACACACTACCAGTGGGCCAAAATGTCTTGTTCCAAAATAGAATTTCTTGGGCAGAATATATATGTGTATTGCACTTCAAATCATTCAATAACTCATAAAGTTAAGTTCTTGAAAATTGAATACATATATTGATGCAAATACATTCCCCAAAGGACTAATTCAACCTTCAAATAAAAAAACAGCATCCTGTAATTTATATGAGGAAGTTAGTCATGCATCAAGTTATCCTTATTTTCTGACTCAATATTCAAGACAATGGACGACAAAATACATTGCTTCAAGACTAGTTAAATGCAGAATACACCTACATGTTTGGTAGAGGATGATATATCATAGATGGTGATGTTGTTGCCAACTGAGATATAAATGTAATCATCTATAGCCAGCAGGCAGGTTACTGGGGTAGAGCCCAACTCTAACAACTCAGGGGCATTATAATCCCAGACATCTTCTGAAATTATGAAACCATGGATTAAATAGACTAGTGTAATACATTTTATTGCCAAAAAAACTAAAGATTCAATTTGATCTGTTAAAACACATCGACTTATATTTTTTTGAAAAAGCTATTCTCCGTCAATGAACAATGTTAAGGTGAGTTAAGTGCATAAGTAAGTTATGAATATTTGAGAATGAATTATTTTCATGGAAGCCTGTACCTTTTGTCCTTCTATATACAGCTAAAGAACCATTGTCCATGCCAGCAAACAGAGTATCTCTCATATAAAGCATCTTCACCACAGGCGCCTGAGTAGGGAAGGTAAGTGTGGACTGATGGCGACCTTTTGACTCCACGTGGGAAATGCTCATCCTAGAAATAAAATTTTTTTAGAAAAAATGAGGTGAAAATCTTAATAATGTACAATAAAAAGCATGGTGGACAGAGGATGTCCAAAGTCAACTCAATTCCTGCGAAGGGTTAAATATTTTGGAAATTATAACACCCCTAACCATGTTTTAAATATTACAATTACACCGTAATAATCATATAATTTTAATGATCTTAATATGGATGTTCATGCAAGCACACCTCTCCTTCTATTCGTAAAGTAAAAAAAGGGGGGGGGTCCAGAGACTTGAGACAAGACTAAGATGTTCAATTAAAATTTAAAATCCTTTGACTGCAAATTTAAATAGCATATCTTTGACCCCAACTGTTAAGAACATACTTTGAGTCAGAAGTTGCCATCCAGATAGTATCTGAAGTGATGTCATGCCCAGGCACCAGCTCTGCACTGACTATCCTGCTATCTGTTACCTTGAATGATTCAACTATCCTTGGACAAGTTGTGTAGAAGGAAACTATACCTGTAAGCAAAAATATACAATGTAGTTCTGTATGAACATTTTTTTATATTTAAAATTCTTTTTATTTCAGATATTTTAAAAAGATTACATCAATTTAAAAATTTCATTACATAAGTTACCTGATGCATTACATAATAATATTTCTCTTGGAAAGCTCTATTTTAAAATTACAGAACAAGTCAATAGTATTATAAAAACCTATAGAGTATGTTTATGTATACACCACTTTGCAATGAGTATAATATAATTTAACTTTTTTGTTTGAACATCATCTTTAAAATGCCTTGTATTATTTGATCTTCTGACATGTCATACATAAAGTTTTGTTTTATAATACCCCATAAAGGTTGAATAGAAGTACATGATGCAAATCTGTGCTTCACAGTATCTAACACATTATCAGCACATTTTGTAGTTAGGGGTTCTGTATGAACATAGTACTTAAGTAATTGATGTGTGTCACATCCACAGAACCCTACTTGACTGAATTGGCACCCATAGTATGCCTTTTTTCAATAACATGTTTAGTTTTCTATGATTATACTCATCCACAGATAGATAAATGTTGTGTCCACTTGACAAGTTGTTGTCTGTACATTTGGGGCATATTGACTACTTTTCATGTTTACTCAAGAGGTACATTAGTTTATGTACATGTGTTCTCTAAAATGTGTACATACTGACTTGTCCACTGCTCTCATCTCCACTACAAACCCACATGTGTGGAACCCCCATTCCTTCACTATTCTCCATGGGGAGAATTAATGGCACAGCACATGATATCTGAAACATAATACAGGAAAGGGAAAGATCAGTGGTATAGTATATACAACATGGGGATAACATGTCTTATACCACTCTAAGTCCAATTACAGTTGTATAACATGGGTCTATAACAACGATACACAGTGGAGAGTGGTATATCGTCATCGTATACAACTCCTCCGTATACCACTGTAGAAGTGCATTCTGGGAACTAATGAATAAAAAAATCATGAAAATTTTCATGATTTCCTAGAATCAAGTGACGTCATAAATGGTTCGAGATCAATTGTTATGATTGTGTTCGAATCAACTGTAATTGAACTTAGAGTGGCGTGCATTTTATACTCTCGTGAGAATATAATATATTCACTCGTTCGCTACGCTCACTTGTGAATATATCATATACTCACTCGAGTATAAAAACGATATACAGAAAGAACCATTATATAACCTCATAATACGGCATGCTCTGAAATAGTACATGGCAAGGAAATCATTAGCATGTATCATCTTTACTCGGTTGACATGTGAAGATAAAGAATGAACAAACACTATATTTGTACTATTTTCAACGTACCTGGGTGTATTGTTCGGTGATATTCAGTGGAAGAGGGTTCATGAACAAAGGTAGACGTGCAAAACTGGTGACATTAGGTTCTGGTATACTCCATGCTGGCTTGTTGCTTGACCCTGTAAAACATAACTTCTTAAATACAGTCAGCTTAATATATATTGTACAAAGTTGATCAATAAGTTTGTGGTTATTGAAGAATTGAATTAAAACTCAAGGTAGGCTATGTCATGTTGAAATGCTGGAATTAGAAGTCAGAATGCACTCCAAACAATCTCAACAGTAGTTTTGGGGAGACTCTTATACCAGGGAGCATACTTGGACAGATGCTGTCATACCAGCACATACAAAACAATTGTTTAATAGACAGAGATAATATGGAGATGTTCTAATACCTAGTGCTAGTTTAGTGTAGTAGAAATCATCAATCCAAGCCTCTCTGCTCTTAGTCCCCACAGTCTGCATAGTCTGAATCACTCTACCTCCCCTACAACATACAGGTTAAATTCATACTTCAATACTTTACATGTACATTTATACTACAATACAATATACATTGAAATTACAATATATATACATTTAAACTACAATACAATATACATTGAAACTTATACTGTCTTATGTAATGTACATGACACTCAATCATGACAAATAATGCATATAGATGAATCAAATCATTTAAAAATAGGTCAAGCAATAATTGAGTTTATCAATCACCAAAATGATCAGATTTTCAGAAAAATGAAAGCCATTTTGAAAGGTGTGGCATTTTCAAGTGATAGCACATAACTAAATTCACATGTTTCCATGATTTAATTGTTATCGAACCATTGAGTGTTATTGTGTTTTTATATCCTTCAACCACATCTGGCACAGGATGCAACTAACAGGGGAAGATAAAACATCAACCTTTTCATTCTTTGCAAAAGTAATTTAAAGAAGGATTAGACCTGCTCTTAGCCAAGGCTTATCGATGTTGAAATAACATGTCATCCATATTAATTCCAATATTTTAACTTTAAAAATATAGGAATTTCCCCGCCCTTTAATAAAATTACTTTCATAACATAATATGGGAACATTCTAGCAAAAACACCAAGCATTAACATTGGTTAGTATGTGTATAAGTGTAGTCTCACTAACTACAGGTAAAATATATACTGTTTTAGAACATATAATGAGCAAAAAGCCAAGGTAGATTACTTATTCCCAAGCAATTTCATACATTTTATTACATAAATCTTAGATTAGTTTTTGTGGAAGCGGCATTCATGTGATGAGATTCAAATTTTCTGTAAATCTTGTATCATGTTCATTTATGATTACAAAGCAAGTTCAAGAAACAATTTGTCTCGTTTGAAATCCAATCACAAGGCTCCAATCATCATCAAAAAAGCCTACCTGTTTTAAAAAAAAATCATCAAAAAAGCCACATCATTTTGAACTGGAGAATAATGGCAAGAGCCCTGTGATTTGAGATGTGCCATATCTATTTGACAATCAAACTGTTTTAATTGAACTATCTTTAATATATAAGCATTATGTATGTTTTTCAATCGATATTATGTATCGCATATAATAGGCTACATGATGCATAGCACAGGATCTGCATGCAACATACATGGCATTTACCGATTCTTATTCTGTCTGAGAGTACTGTGTCGTTTTTGCAGAGAAAGTAGCCTAGAAGATAAATATTAAAACTATGATATAACTTAGTGCCTTTCTGACCTATTCAACACACTCACACTAGAATAGACTGATAAATCAAAATCGTTTATAATTTAATTTACCAATTTTTGGAAAACATTTAACCATCGAACTGCTCTTTGTGCATTTCAATATGTTCATCCTGCACATCTTCTCTTTTTTCTATTCCACATTCAGCATCATTACAAAGTAATTCAATTAACTTTCAAACAAAAACTCTTTGAGAAAATGTAGTTATAGTGAGAGCATATTAATTCAAGACTTTGAATCCATTGATCAATCATTTGGCAATCAATCATGTGCCAGTAATTTCGATATTTCTAGAAAGGAGCAGAAGCAAACTCCTCACACGTCATTATAACCCCGAAGTGCACCCTGAATTGTCAAAATATTTATATCGTATTTCAATATTCAAAACCTGAAGTATGTGTAAGATAATCGTATAATATATTCCTTCCTATGTATCTCAATACCCTGAACATAGTTTGTATTGAGAACATACCTGGCTGGCATAGAAAGTTGTATAGTCCTTGTGTCTAGCTTATCCTTCAGCGTAATTTGACCTTGAAGTTCCCGGACCTTTGAGTTGATGTTTTCCTGACTCAATCCCTGCATGACAAACATTTATACTTTTTATTTGTCTTATTTTTTCAATGTTCCACAATATGCCAATACAAGCCGTAAGCTCTTTCCACGGGGCAACATTTATTCATTTATTTATTACACATTCATTTTTCAAACAATACAATATTATGTTATATACATAGACCTGTACTCAAACATTTTTTAATTTTTACTTCTTATTTTCGCATGGCCTCTTTTGTATCAAAACTTTGAATGAACAGGCTTTACCATATTCAGGTTAACAGGGCATACAATTTACTGGCTCGTACTAACCTGAACAGGAAGACGTAGCTGACTTGCTAGTTGACCAATCTGTATGATAAGGGGGAGATCATGCATCATGTCATCTAGGTCACTGCTGCACTGGGATTCTACATCCTGGTCATGTTTCTTCAGAACTATAGTGGACCTATATAAGATATGGTACTTGATTATACATTCATACATATCTTTTCTCTTGTGTAACCAGCTCTTGGTAAGGGGGAAGGGGGGGGGAGGGCGCCTTGAACACTTAAAAATGTTTCTATGCTAAACCTACTACCTTTGTTATTCCAAGGGTATATTCTACCTCAAAATAGAAAGAAAATCCTTCAAGTAAGCAAAAAGGTAGATAAAGCAGGGGTTTCATTAGCAGCAGGCAACAGGCAATTTTCATCAGTTGTTTTCACAAAAGGACGATTCTCGGTTTGGAGAACAGTCTCCTGGGCTAATAATTGTTTTCATGAAAAATATAGAAATATTACCCAAATTAAACTATGAATATTCAAAAGAAGACATTTAAATCTACAAGATGTTAAAATAACAAATTGGTCTGAAGCAGGGATAACGCTCAATTAGACCGATTTAATAAAATACAAGTCTCGATTTGTGGAAAAAAGTTCATCAGTGTACTGCGCTAATATTCTTTTGCGAAAAATCTAGAAATATTACCCAAATTAAATTATGACTATTCAAAAGAAGACATTCAAATCTATATCATGTAAAAAAAATCAAATTTGTCCGAAGCAGGGATAATGCTCATTTAGATTGATGAACTTCGTTCTCCAAACCGAGAATCGTCCTTGCCTGTTGTTTTAGGGACTTTTCAACTTTTCCAGGTTAGATTGATGATTTCCATTAATTTTGCCTGTTGTTTTCATTTATTTAGCCTGTTGTGAGAAATTCTAGTGAAACCCCTAATAATGGATAATATACCCGTGACTGATGTGATTAATGCAATGGATGACTGAAATGTGGTATTGACTTGTAGTGGACACATGTGCCAAACTTAAGTTAGGGATATCTTAAGGTGTGGGTTGACTTGTGGGGCACATGACTGCATCTGACCAAGCCGAAGAACAGATGTTCTTTGTCAAGTAAACATACCTTCCAGGGGGACCCCTGTATGTGTACTCCATCTTGGATGTGAGGGTAGTGTTAATGACCTCTACATCCTTCAAGGTCACATTCCATTTGATACGTAACTTCTCCACTGGACCACTATCTGACTCCCTGCACAAGAAACAACACACTCTTATAACAATCTCTGTTAGTCTACAAGAGGATGCACCATGATCTTGGATGAACGTATCTGTCGAGGCCTCTAATTGGACACTTCTGTTGGCATTTCCACCAATCAAAGAACTTATCTATACTATGACTTGATCAGAAATGAAGACCTCTGATTCCAAGTACAAATACCAGTGGCGTAGGAACAATATACGCCAAAACGCCAATGCGTAGTGTTGAAAAGCTAGAATGAAATAGCTTAATAATTTCCTTATGTTCTTTAGTCATATTTCCTCATTGTTAATAAATTGTTTGTGATCTCGAGCACACTAAAGAAATGTTTTTGGAGACCATGTAATATGTTCGATTTTTTCAATAGTACTCTTTGCAAGGTTTTTGTTCCTCTGTTACTTTTTTCTAGCTTCGGCCACGATAAATGGCACTTTTTGGCGTAAAAATCAAGGTGATTTGGGGTAGAGGGTTATGATAGTTGGAAGTTTAAGCCAGTAAAAATGAAAGTACATTTCAACTTCAGTTCTAGGAAAGCAATTACCCTAATTTCTATTTTATTTGAAATATAATAGATTATTATTTTAGGAAATAAAGCATTTAGGCACCAATAATTATTTTGAAAGGAAAAAACAATTTACCACAAAATGTCACGTTGACTTTTGCATGGGCTTTATTTATCTTATAAAAAAAGTTGAAGACATTAGAGTTATGTTGTATCATTGATCACGGACATGTTTCTATTGATCATACTAGTTTCTTTAATCTGTATTGTTGAGATTTAAAAGATCGGCTTTCCATGGTGATTTTATATCATGAAAAACATTCGAACATTTTAAGCACAATTAGAAAGGTATTACCATAAAAATTACGTTTTACGAGCATAAAAGAGGCGTTTTGATTCGTTAAGATTTGACACAATTTTTTCATATTTTTGGCGTAGTGTTGAATTTACACCTTCCTACGCCCCTGAATACTACATACAATGGTAATTACAGTAATCAAAATATTTCACCTACTTTTGTATTACTGTTGCACAGATGAGCATATCATTTAAGAGAAACAATCTTCGTGACTTTGTCTTGACTGTGTCTGTTTGCTGGTTGTGTTCCTAAAAATGAAACAAATCAATATAGGCCAACACAAGGGACAAGAACTTAACAAAATGACATCACATTCACATCCTAATATACTTTTATCATTAAGATAAATATAAATCTAAAAATCAAATTAAAATGAATAAAACTAAATTAAATTGAATAAATACAGAAATGAATAAAACTATTTTTGTAGATGTGTCATCAGGAGCCTCAAGCAAACTGTCTAAACTTACTAGCTGCACAAGATCATCTTGTCTGACAAGGTACTGTCCTGCAGTCTCTGCCTTCTGACCAGTTCTGCCCATGTTAGCCAGCACCTAAAGGTGGAAAGCATGAAGTCAGGATGGAGTTTTGAGGTGTTCAATTTGGTATTCAAATAGCTTTAGAAATGTTGAAAAGATGGCTCTTGTTGTTAAAAAGCATGACACGTTTGGCAGGAAATATGGCCACAATAGCCCAATATGAGTAAACATACATTAAAGGTGCAACAAGTAGTGCAGAGGGGCCATTCAACGATCATGGACCAGTGTCAAAATATATTTAAGTTTGGATATTTCATCAAGACTAACATCTATTTTTATTTTCTACAAAGAAACCCCCTAGATAATCATTATTTCAGCTTATATTCCCCTTGAAACATGGTGGATCTTAAAAATATAAAAGTGGACGTCCCCTTTTTGAAGCTTTGAACTGAATTTACATTTTTTTAATGCCAAAATTGATAGTTTATCCATACATTTTAAGAAAATAGGTATGTCGAAGAAGATGTTAAGCCAACTGTTGCCTTGATAGCTCAGAAAAAGTTAAAATTTTCCTATTTTCTCCCTACAAGCCTTATTGCCCCTTTAATACTTGGTGAATAGAACATCTGTCTTTATTAATTGAACACTTCACAAGTTGAAGTCCATCTTTCCATTTGTTTCCATGACCACATCCAAAATTAAACATATTTAGCTGGTCATACAACTGTTCAAGTTCAAGAGACTTTTACTGTCTGTACTGCTAAGGATCAAGCATTAAAACACCAATAAATGAAAAACTTATGACAGATAATTAAAAGATAACAGCTATGGAGTTAAGCAATCAAACCCATGCTTATAGTTCATTAAGTGAATCCAGTTGACTGCATGTATCAAGAATTAATTCGTAAACATCAACTATTTATCACCAGTCCCTGTGGCCTGAGTAATTACGTCCCTAGAAAAACCAATTGAGAGACCAGGAACAGTAATCCCCGGAGGTCATAATACTCCACATTCACATCCAAATTCTCTTAACACATAGCTAAACCTCCCTATTGTCTGTACTCAGTGTGACATAGGTTACCTGTCTGGCTGCATGTCTTTGTTCACTCTCTCTTTTCTTTTCATTCAGTCTATGAGCAAGGTTCTCCAGCTCAGTGAGTGCCACCTGGAGGGGAAGTCTATCGTGGTGTTCACGAGGTGTGTACTTTAGTAGGTCCTGCAAACAGAAGTATTTTAGAAGATATGTCGATATGCAATTACAATGCCTAGCATATTTTTAATGTCAACTAATATTTATGTTATCTAATTGATTAGGAATTAACTTCAGAAATTCCTTCCTGTGTAAGATATTCATGCCCATAGAGCATCAGCTAATGAACTTTGGATCAAATTCTATAAATGTAAATGGTACCACAAATTATATTTCTTAAAAAATGCCGCCATTTTGAATTCAGCAGTCATCTTGAAAATTTACCCTTTATGAACTAAGTGGCCATATTGAAAATTCCTTCTTGAGCAGAAGCCCTATGCTTATAAGGCATCAGCCTATCTAGTAGAACTTGGTATTTGAGTTATTACCCAGACAGACCAATGAGCGAATGTATGAACAGATGGATGGATTACAAAAGCGAAATGTGGCTTCTTTCTATCTCTAATAACATTCTATCACAGTTTATTCATATTTGGGTGCTAAATATTTCTTAGGTTGATTCGCTGTACTGCCTTTTATATAACAACATGAAAGTGATTTACCTGAAGTAAAAGTATAAACTGAGGGAATCTCTGGACAGGTTTCACCATCAAACCAAATATGGACAGCTTATCAGGGCTGGCACGTTGCTTTTGCTGTAAGGATGTCAGTATGATTATATCTGATGGTGTATAAACATACATTACTGTTTTTAGTGTATGGACAATGTTTATAACTATGGTAAATTTGAATTTGAATAAAAATGGCATCATTTTGGTGATTCCTATACTCGTTATTCAAAAATAGGTCAAACTGTAAAAGTAGGTCAAATCAAAAACATATAATAGATAAGTATAACCAATAGAATACAGTAGGTTAATTGAATATGATCAATAGAATAAGCCCATCACTGTATGAGTAACATTAAAAAACACTTAGTTGTGAAACTATTAGCAACTGAAACAAATGTACGAGGGGTGATCCAAAAGTCTTGGACGCCCTGCTCTAATTTTGTTTGTTTTTGATAAAATTACTTTAAACTTTCCAATAATAAAGATCAACAACCTAACTACTTTGTGTATTAATTTCATGGAGAAATTATATATTTTATGTAGTTTTCTAGATAGTTTTTAATATAGGGACCCTGCCACCCGGAACGGTATTCGCACATGGCAACTTTCAGCCTTAAATGTTGCCGCCGTTTCACTTGTTTCGCAAGTCTTGACCACTATCTTTTTTGAATTTTGAATGTTAAACCATGCTAGTTTACTTCATTTGTTACTACTCAACCAATTAATTTTGTTTTAGTTATAATGTCACATATGACAATGGCCGTATATGTCAAATTCTAAGAAAATGACATCAGACAAGCAACCCTCATTCTGGTATCATTTTTGCTGCAAGATGGCTGCTGAAATGCAGAACATGAAAGAAATCAAAGTGGAACAAAGAATAGTTCAAGATATTTTCACTATTATTGACCTTGAGCAGCTACCATATGCACGATACAGTCTAGATATGGCTCCGTGTGATTTTCTTCCTTTTCTCCAGAAAAAAGGAGGGTTGAAAGAAATTTTTTATTGCTCATTGTATGAGGTTTAGAGTGGCACTCCAGCAGCATTTGTATCACATAAGCAATGGCGGTTTCATAAATGACTTCCATTCATTGGTAAAGCGGTATGAAAGATGAGTTCAAATTCGCGGAAAATATGTTGAAAAGTAGGTCTTAATATGTGAAGATGATGATGGCATATGGCACTCAGACTGAAAATCGGAAATTCTCTCATATCATGACTGGTGTTAGGTTGTGCACCTGCACCTAAAGTATTTGCCATATTATAACAGTTGTGACGTGATTTGCTATATTTAAATACCGTTCCGGGTGGCAGGGACCCGGTATTAAAAAACATTTAGAAAAGTAGCTGAAATATATTATTTTCTGTTGAAACTTATACAAAAAGTTGTTAAGATGTTGATCCTTACTCTCTGAAACTTTCATGTAATTATATAAGGAAATAGCAAAGTTAGAGCGAGGCGTCCAAGACTTTTGGATCACCCCTCGTATTTGATATGTATAGTTTTACTGAATTATTGAACCTACCAATTATTTTCATCAACTGAATTCTACTATCTAAATATATCAAGAGTAACTTGAGTATTTCCTTACATTAAGAAAGTCTGCAAACTGCTGCTTGTCTCTGGTTGATTTCTTAAGGGCTTCCCATGCTACAGAGAAGTTATTAACATAGGCACTATACACCTCAAACACCATGGACTTGGAGAACTGAAAATAGTTAAACATAATATCATATAGGGTGCCATCTCTGTGTGAATGGGGGAGGAAAAGAGTATTGGGGGATTGCATTTTTAATGTAATATCTTATATTGCATAAGGTATTTACTTATTTGTGAGCTATTTTAATGTAGGCTCCAATTATAAAGGCTATACTATACTATCGTACAGCATACTATAGATCTGCAATTCAGATATTGACTGTAATAGAAGCTGAGATTGCTGAATGAGGAATATAATAACAGTCAATTGTTTTGTTGTCAGAAGAAAATACAAGGCATTAATATGCAAAATGTCACTACATGCCATCTGTTACAGGCACCGACCGCCGAATGCCAAATGCTGACAGCCAAATGCTGAACAATGTCCACAAAAAGTTGGAGACTAAAAACAATATGGCACCACTTTTGGTGGTGACAAATTTTCCCTCTGATTCACCGTTGTGATGTTATGATGTGACATCATCCCCCAATACTATCAACCGGCAATACATTGCATAGTTGACCACTATTTGAATCAAGTATTTCAACTGAGGGGCTAAAATATATTTAGGAGAACTCACAGATGCAGTGAAGACATTCCCAATAGTTTCATCTTCATCCCATTTCTTGACAGTTTCTGCTAGCTCAATCTGGAACATATTGTGGCAATGGAGGACTCCTCTGATCTTGTAGAATATACATTTCAATGTATTGCTGCTCAGAATGGATGGTTTGGACTGCTCTAGTGGGGTCAGGTACTCCTGCAACAAGGGAAGAACACATTATTAATGGGATTTCATTCATAGACTATTTCTCTTGTGAACTTACTTGTCCACAATTATTTGTTAATGCTTTCATGGTCACTGAGTTTCCTATTGTAGGACTGGAGGAATACACTAGAGTAAAAGTATGTCAGTTTCTTATTAAGTGAACACAGATAGGTGTGAGGAGTATCAGAATACCAAGGTCAGATTTACTGCCATTTAATTGATCAACTTCTTACTTAGTATCTTTCCATCATTTTAAATGTCTGAGATAAGAATTGATATCTGCTAATGAGCCATTAGGATCCATTTTAAGTTTAAAAGCTTTCCTGTCATTCCTATTTAACTAGCTGTTAAACACATCATTTAAGATAACCTTTTAAGTGGTACATATTTGTACAGCAGAACTTTTTAGAAAGCAAAAGCTTATTATGATCATAAAATCATTAAATATTTCTTTCTCAATTTTGTGTCTCTACAGTCTTATAATCTCAACAAATAGCTTTTGAACATACTGCATTTAATTTCCGACTAATGGAACACTATTATTCGTGAGAGGTAAAAAATTAATGGATAAGTAACTATCGAACAGCAAGTTATTCTTTAAGTGCGTAATGTATAGCGATTATATATCAATTTCCATCAAGTCTGATTGACTTTCACAAACAATCAGGAACATGATTGCAAAGATCAAACAAGTAAACATTTTAACTAAAAGCTGGTTGAATGGATTCAAAGTAACAAGTAATGCTATTCAAATAAAAATATAGATCGAAAACAATAATTAGTTAATTGCGAGTGACATGTTTCTATCAAATAGCATTGAGTGATTCACAATAAACAACTCGGAGAGGTCTCGAAAAACAAATGACTCAACTATTTCGTAAATTGAGATAGAACTAGAGAATATCCAGATGTAATCAGAGGTGGAATGAATTCCATGTACACCATATCACCAGAATAAAATAAAATTATAAAAAAGTTGAATTAAAACAACTGATACAGAGTGAAATAATAAAAACAATAGGGATGATGAAAGCTCTTCATGGTATTCTAATATGCTGTGTTTTATGGGTACCTTCAATAGATGGGCAACTGACTATTCAGAGGGTGAACTTTACTGCTGGAGAGGATGAAATAAAGAACACAGAGAGAACTGAAACAGGAATACCTACATCAGTTACAGGTAAATTGTTAATAACATCAGATCCCAAGAATCAGTAAAGTTGATTATATCTTTATTCTAGGACTCAGGTGACTGTAAGTCAACCTATGTAAACCCTTTTATTGAGCACAAATACACCATCTCAGGAGAAACACTTCTTTTATGTTTTGATTTCATCATGCATTTTGTGTACATTTTGTTGTTATTTGAAACACAGAATTAAAATCTCTGTTAAGGGATGACCTGAGAAGGTCGGTCCACTCAGTGGGACAGATAGCAGGTGAAAAAATAAATATTACAATATTAAAACTCATTTCAGATACAACCACTCTGGAACCTGAAGTGGAAGGGCCGACAATCTTAGGGATCACACTGAAGGGATGTACGCAAAAATGTACGACATTTGATTTGAAGAATAACTGCAAATTACCAAGGTCAGAACAATCAAAAACCCGTGGATGCTTTTGTGATGCGTACTGTATTCAATACGGGGACTGTTGCTACAATTATGAAGAAATATGCATCATGCATGTTCCTACAACTGCAGGTGAAACGCCCGAAGAGCCCAGAGAGGAGCCAATTGAAATTCAACCATTCATAGGGTTTTCAGATCCAGTTGACAATGGCAACAACAATGAATTTGAAAATAACATCAAGACCAGAACTGGTAAATTGACTAACTTGGTAAAGTGCGTAAATGTTAAATGGAGGGGTTCATATGAGAAACTAATTTCTCCAAACATTTATGTAATATCTCACTGTCTTGGTGACCATCCTTTGAAAGACGATTGTGAGAATGATAACAAAACAGATATAAGCCATAGGATTTTAGTCTCAAACAGTGAAAAAACTCAGGTGTATAAGAACATGTTTTGTGCACAGTGTAATGACTTGGAAATTGCAGAAACAAACATCTGGCAGCCACATTTCAAATGTAAGGAAAATGTAGAAGCCAAACTGGATGAACTAATGAAAGAAAGAAGAGTTGTGGAATATTTCAATGTTCTTTCTGATAATTGCACAACAGAATATGATCCAATAGACCTTGATGCATTAGAGCAAAATCTATGTACAGAAGATGTTGAAGATTCATGTAGTGCAGATATAATTCAAACAGGGAATTATACAGTAAGACAATATGAGACACTGGAGCATGTATGCAGAAATTATAGGTCAGATGTCAAGAGAAAAATCTCTTTTGAAATGAGAGTTTACAAAAATGAACACTGTGCTTTGTGCAATGGTGAACTGCTATCTGAGTTAAACTGTAAGAGCACGGAAGAATTTGCCAACAATAAAGACGGACCGGGGATGGACCTTGCGAAGTTTACAAGTTTTGCGCTTCTTATCGACTTTAGCAGTGGAGGAATGCGAGTGATGACTGATGATAAAAATGTCATTCATGTTGAATGTCTTGATGAACTGAAATATCAACCAGATTCCACAGATTGCCTGAACTACACCAATAATGAGACAACACAGGGGAATTTCACCAAAAATGAAACGATGTCTGGAGACACACAAAATATTCTCATGCTAGTTGAACAGTACTTAACAGTGATAGGAACAAGCTTGTCAATAATTGCTCTGTTCATCACTATATGTGTATATATTGCTCTACCAGGTCTAAGAAACATCCCGGGATTGTGCACAATGAACCTTTCCATTGGTTTATTAATTGCCCAGTTGTTGTTTCTCATTAGTCCATATGGTGTTGAGATTGCCAGTCTTTGTAAGGCTCTGGCTGCCATTCAGCATTATGCTTGGTTGGCAGCTTTTTCCTGGATGAGCACTATGGCCTTCATTGTTTGTCGGACATTCAGCACTATGAGCAGAGTGGGAGCACCAGGTCAGGTCAAGTTTGCCCCATATCTCATATACAACTGGGGGATACCTGTGCTTGGGGTGTGCATTTGTCTTGTAATTGATTTAGTCACTGAGTTAGAGTTTCACTATGGAGGAACTTTCGCTTGTTGGATTGTTGGGGACAGGGCACTAATATACTCATTTGCTATCCCAATTGGTTGTGTCCTTGTAGCTAATATAATCCAGTTTGCAATCACTGTATATCATATACAAAAGGCAGCCAACGTGGCTAAACAAGCTACATCTTCAAATGGTGACAAGGCAAGATTTCTGGCTTATGTAAAGTTAACATCCATTATGGGGTTCACATGGATCTTTGGATTCTTGGGCAGTTTCCTCAAGTCTCAGGTCCTCTTTATTCTATTCATTGTGTGTAACACTCTTCAAGGGGTCTTCATCTTATTCTCCTTCATTTTATCAAGCAGAACTAAGAAATTGTGCATGAAGAGACTGAACAATGAGTCTGCTTCTGTGGTAACCAGGTCAAGTGACTATGAGAAATCAAGTACAAAACTATAGTCTAATGAAACGAATCTCTAATGATGCTTGAGTATTGCGACATAACAAATATTGTAACTAATTTTAAATTCTAAATTATTGTTAAAAATGCAGGCCTGTCAACTTGGGAACACCTAACATGAGTGACTTGGAAATGTTGAACACCTCCCCTCAAAATGTGGACACCTTGGTCCAAATCTGAACACCTTGATCCAAATTTTGAACACCTTGGTTTAAATTTCATTACATCTTGCGTACATTTTTTTCCGACGTTCGTATTTTTGCTGTGTAGACGATCTTTTTTAGACATTTTTCTTCAGAAATATTTTTGCTTGACAATTACCAGGTAAAATGCGTATTTGCGTGACATTTTCTGTCACGCAAAAGTAACTGGCGTGACTTCAAATTCTTCAGCAAATGCGTGACAAATACGCAAATTGCGGGACAGTTGACAGGCCTGAAAATGTATGTAAATATATAATATATTTCAATGAAAAACTCACATTGTGGTGAAATTTTGATTAAAAAATGTGCAATAATAAAAACCTTTTGGCAATGATGAATGTTATTATATGTGCATGTTTCTAATAATTGGAACTGTCAAAAACAGTGAGTAGCTACTGCTCATTAAAAAGTGATTGCATTTTTCTTAAATATTGAACAAATTGCCATGTTCATCTGATACAACTATTTATACCATCAGGCAATACATTTCAAATGAAACACGAATTTTGGAATTTCTTTGGAAATTCTGTGACCAAATAGTGTCCTTCAATTGCTGCTAAAACCCAGGGCTCTCACCAGGCTTTTAGACTGTGGCGCAGCACCACACTCTATTTAGCTCCCTCCACACCCTATTGGCAAATCATGACTGTTTCCAGTCTAAACTTGACTGAATATACAATAATAGCATGTAAAAAGGATAAAACATAACATAAATATGATTTATCACGATTGAATCGTTATTCTGAAGATGCTAGCACCACACCCTAAATATTTCCTGGTGAGAGCCCTGAAACCTCTTTCAAATAAAAGAAGATCATATCAAAAACCTCCCAAACATACTTATTTCAAAAAGCTAAAAATGATTTGAAAGGTCAGTTTTTGTGTAAATATGTTTTGGCTGAGAAATGCAGCAATGAAATTGATCAATTTCATTCAAAATTTTTAAATTGTCTTAGAGAGTGACCAGATCAGCTTGACCTAGACATTTAGTACAGGTTATCAATTTCATGCCAAATATGGAAGGTGCAACAATGGGGCTGTCAATCAAATCTTGTGTTGAAGAGAAAGTTATATTTAGCTTGGTTGTTTTATGTGCTGATCTAACCAATTTAAAAAAAAACTCTGTCAATTTGAACCCATAAAAACTATTTTATACACAAAAAGAAGTCACTGTGTAACATTTGTAAAGATTAGTGGAAGTATTCTATTTTATGACAATAAGGTTTTAAGCTGTTTGTAGATGCAAATGTAGATATGCAATATAAATGTTGAAAGCAAAAACAGTCAATTTAAAGTAAAACTCCTAGAAATTCTCTGACATTTTGGTTCTTGACCCTTGCTCACCTAGTCATGAAATATTTTCACCAGACTATGAAAGTATAACATGGAGGTGTTGTCAATCAATGATGATTTGATCAGCACAGCACATACAAGTTTAGGCCTTTTTGACGCTCAACTCAAATCTCACATTTTTTACATTTCCAGTTCAGGGAAAACAATTTTGCTTTTCTTTGCCTTTTCCCTGACTTACTGTATATATAGTAGTCTAATGATTCTTGTATAGTAGAACAGTCCAAATAATAGGAATCTTTTTGTAAATCAATGTTAGATTGACTACACCACCATCTATTGATTCAATGAACAAATATTTTTACATCCATCTTCATTAGCTCTGGATATAATTCAAATTAATTAAAAAAATTGGGGAACCAATAGTATGAATTTTGTCCTTAAACCTTCACGCTAGAAATGAACACTGGCTTTCAATGCATTAAACATGAATTAATTACATGAAATAAAAATTGTATGATTCATCATACAGCCATTTCAATCTTTTACCCCTTCTACTGAACTTTTCCAAGATGTGATATATAATTACACTATTTGGTATGTAGTATTAGGTCACGCTGCACCTGATTTGAAATTCTAGAATTAGATTCTTACTCAAAATTCTTACAGAAATGCCTTTAATAACTTGGAATATAAATCCCCTGCTTAAAGGTTTGAAACAAGTCTAGTGGTAGCAACTCAAGAATCATACCTTTCTGAATAATTAAGCAAAGATATTTGACAGAATAATTAATACCTAATTGCTATGATTTACTTTTTAAAGGAGTTAATAACACTGTCCTTACCTCAACCAACCTCCTCAGTGACGACACATAGGAATTCTCACTTTCCACAACTGATGCAACTATGTGTCTACGTTTTAACTGAAACAATGAAATGATTTAATGATAAAATAAATATGAATATGTACAGGAAATGTAATTCAAGTTAGTTCAGTGTAAGGTCTTAAAATGTTAAATACTGTATAAGTGGTAATTTTGCCTTATCATTTAATTTGCTTATTCCCTAATTTTTGCCAGGTTTGGAAAATTAAATGTTGGAAATATTATCTTCATAATGTTATCAAATGGGAAGTTTTTTTGTGGTTAAGAAAATTAAAACTAGGAAAATGATAAAATTTGACCATTCAGCAAATTAACCACTCGGATTAAATACCACTTTTACAGTATGGATGTCTTCTTATTTCAATTATGTTCAACACTTTGTGGGTGGGGGGGGGTTGCAGAGGGGCAGGACTTTTCTTACCTGTTGACTGTTGAGAGTGGGTGGGGGTGCAGGTAGCAGAGGGGGAGGATGTTTCTCTTGGTTCAACTTGACATGCATGTAGAGATTTTCGTCCTCCCCCTCTTCACTATCGTATGCCTCACGTTTACTGCCCTTATAGCCTGCCTTCAACTTCCCAAGCTGGTATAGTCTCTCAATCACATTCTGGAATATCAAATGATAATAAAACATTCTTGCATATGCTTTACACTCTGCTTGATGTAATATTGTGAAATATTGCACAACTGTTTTGTAATTTGATAGAATATTTATTGAGTACATTCACACCCCTGAGGGTCAGGTACAAGAAAGTGTAGTACACAAAAAGAATATATATGATTTAACACTAGACTACTATATACTACATATAATATATGCTTAACTGTAAAATGTAAAATATGTGTTACTACAAAATGTTTTTTGGGCAGCAGGAATTAGCCTTTCTAAATTAAGTATTGCTTTCTAAAATTCGGAAGGCATTTATATGATATATGTTTGTATGAAGGAAAAGACAACATTGAGTTTAATCTTCTGAGTTTTCTCAAACAAAAATATGTCAAATTGGTGGAGTGGGTAGAATGTGTAACTACACTAGTACTAAATTAAAGCATAGCTTCATTTCACCTTGACATTCAGCCATATTGCAGTAGCGATACATGTTTTTACATGTTAGATAGATGAACATAAACATTTCTTGGCAGTTACTATCATACCAAATCTAACTAATCATAAAAGCTGTATTCAATCTTGAAACATACCTGATTAGTGGTAGGGTCAGATGGTGCCCTGTCCCTTTTAACTCCCCCTGGCTTCACTCTGTGGCTTTCAATGGTATCTGTACTGATTGGAGATGTTGGACTCTTTATCGCATCATCCTCGTTTTCTGAATAAGACTCAAATTCTGATGACCCCCAACTTATGTCTGACTGGACCCTGTCTGTATCTTTATTCACGTCTTCATAAACTACTGTCTGGCTGGATTCAAAGTCTTCCTTCTTAGTCACTGTAAAAGTATTAAGATCGGTCATAAACATATAATGCCATTCAAAATAATTGGCAATAACTGATATATATCTTTTGAATTTAGCTCACAGTCAATTTGAACTGTATGTTATATTGATTCATCCTTTGATTTTCAGTAGTAAATATGTCTCTCAATATATCAGGTAATTTATAACTCTGCTATTTTTAATCAGCTGAATTCACCTTGTATTAGTTATCTAGTATATTGAGGACAATTTAATCAATATACTCATCATTGATTTTTTGAGTGAATATTTATGTTATTGTACTTGTTGCAGATGTGAGAACATTAGATCTGCATGGTGGGAAATTGAACATCATATTTGTTGCGCAGTTCACAAATGTTGTAATTGATTTAATAAATTGAAAGCTGTTGCGAATAACACATAGATAATCACCACATTAAACATATCAGGAATATTTCAACTTTTTAGGAAAACTGTAGTTTCCAGAGACCAAAACTATTTCAGTAAGTATCACATGTATCCATTAAGAATAAAAAGTGCCTAAAAACAAACTGACTTTATATCTGTGGAACTGATCTTAGATACCCTGAGGTATTTAAGAATAAAATTTATATGCAAAGATTCGGAATTCTCATTATTAACATCGATCATGAGAACTTGTTTACTTTCATGAATGTCGTAAACGTGTCATTTTATTTTAAAGTGAGAGAAAATTTTAATTCCTAGTTTTTTTATAGTCTATCAAAAATCATTTTTACTTTCATATGTAGCAAACATATAATTTTATTTCAAGGTGAAAGAAAATACTTTTATTTTTCATTGCATATCTGGCTGATGTCATTCATTTCATAACATTTGCATTCTTGCTCTGGCAAATCTTGAAAAAACTTTTTCATCAAACTAAATTTATGTTTTATTATTGATATATATGTATTTGCTAATTTTGTCACAATAATCAACATATATTTGAATTAAAAAATGTTCCTTGTGATGCTGTCCCCAGCTCCGATTTCGGTGATCGGCTAGTAAAAAAGGTTTGAGGGCATCATTTTGTTCCAGACACTCTCTAGAGTAAATTATCCTAACTTGAGTAAAAATGTGTGGTAAGTAAATTCGCTATGGGCAGTTAAAGAGGCGCCATCTATTCATTTTCAAACAGGGGGTAGGGGTATAAAATAATTTTTAACACATTTTAATAGTAAAATGACATTGAAATACTAATAAAATCTTATCAAAAACATTATTTACAATCAGTATGAATTTTCTTGAGTGAATTAGGGTGAAAATAAGGGCATATTTTGAAATTCACTACAGGGGCGCCACCTTTTTTCATACTTCTACCACGTGTAATAACTTATTTTAGATTCGTTAAGGTACAAAATGTACTGAAAAAATTCATTCTGAAGGATCTATATATGTTCATACCACATACTTAAAATTGGATCAATAGCTTTTGTACTGGCGGAGAAAAAAATTATTGAAATTTAAAATTGTGGCATCATGCAGGATAGGGGTGACCATATCTCACATGATTAACTTCCAAAATATGGAGCATATGTATCTCAAATGTACTCAAAATGGTGTATGTACTCTTGCTTTGTCATAATATTACTAATAAGAAGTAGAAAAATGATTGTACATTTTAAAAAATATTAATTCTCATTTTGGCTTCTGACGTCCCAGGGGTGACCATATCTCAGCTTAATAACTTCCAAAATATGGAGCATATGTATCTCAAATGTACTCAAAATGGTGTATGTACTCTTGCTTTGTCATAATATTACTAATAAGAAGTAGAAAAATGATTGTACATTTTAAAAAATATTGATTCTCATTTTGGCTTCTGACGTCCCAGGGATGACCATATCTCACCTTTATAACTTCCAAAATATGGAGCATATGTATCTCAAATGTACTCAAAATGGTGTATGTACTCTTGATTTGTCATAATATTACTAATAAGAAGTAGAAAAATGATTGTACATTTTAAAAAATATTGATTCTCATTTTGGCTTCTGACGTCCCAGGGGTGACCATATCTCACCTTTATAACTTCCAAAATATGGAGCATATGTATCTCAAATGTACTCAAAAGGTGTATGTACTCTTGCTTTTTCATAATATTACTAATAAGAAGTAGAAAACTGATTATACATTTCAAAAATTTTAATTTTAGCTTCTTACGTTCCTGGGTAATCATATCGCACCATATAATAATAATAATAACTTCTAAGATATGTAACATATAATCCTCAAATATTCTCAGAAAAGTCCTGTCTTTTTCATATTACTAATGAAATGTAGAAAAATGATTGCATTTTTTATAAATTTTAATTTTAGCCTCTGGTGTCCCAGGGGCTATCTCACCTTGATAACTCTCACGATATGCAACATACCGGTATGCATCTCAAATGTGTGCTCAAAATGGTATAAATATAGTCTTGTTTTGTCATATTTATTGAGAATCATAAAATCAACAGTTCAGAATCAATGGATTTTGACTGTCTCCTCTACAGCTACATATAATTCAGGGCAAATAATATCTGCTTTCAAATATTTGCATCTGCTCCCCAAACACCCTTTACAAGTACAATGGATGAGATTATTCCCTTGCATACCTTGGACCCAACATCTTTTGTAATCCATACAGGAATCCTTTTAGCCTGTCAATAGTGGGAGTACTTTACTCCATTCATGAAGTAATGGCAACTGCTAATGTAAGGTGTTAATATGTTATCCTGTGGCCTGCAATATATGCACCTTGGATTATACACTGAATTAAGGGATTTTGAGTATGTAAAATACGGGAAAAGGAGCTCTTTGTAATGATAAATCTTTCTAGCCACATTAACATTCTAGTTTGCATGTTTGTCATACAACATACATTGATTGTAATGAAATATTAATCTATGATTGTGATGTCCCAAACTTCTAGGGTCCCAAAGAAGAGCTTAGCTTTTGGAACAATTGCATTATTCTTGGCACAGTAGGCCATACAGTGAATACAATTGTTGAGATTGGGCAATAACAATATAGCACAACATGACAAACCATGCAAACTAGAGAATGTCAATCAGGATTAGAAGAGACTTATCGCCCTTGTAATTTAGCAGTGGGACAGTTTGGTATATGTTTGGGCATAAATGCGCCTTTTAGGCCTAATTTTTCAGGATATTTTCAAAATTTCGGGTCAGATTTGGGGTTAAGGGGCCAATTTTGGTAAATGAGGCTAGGCTACTCACACTACTGATAGGCTACCAGTATACAAAAGATGTTGCATCCAAGGCATGAAAAAGACTTATCGTCCATTGTTCCTGTAATATAAGGAGTGTTTGGGGAGAAGATCTTAATGTCTCTGGACTATATGTAGCTGAAGCCTGCAGGGGAGACAGTCCAATCCATAAATTCTGAACTTCTGATTTCATGAATCTCAATAAATATGACAAAACAAGACTATATTTATACCATTTTGGGCACGCATTTGAGATGCATATGTTGCATATCGTGAGAGTTATATCAAGGTGAGATATAGTTGCCCCTGGGATGTCAGATTCGGAAGCTAAAATGAAAATTTCAATTAAAAAAAGGTGTAATAATTTTTTCTACATCTCATGAATAATATTATGACAAAGCAAGACCATGTGCCCCATTTTTGGTATATTTGAGTTGTATATATTGATGTATTACATACCTAGCGAAGCATTTGTATGGAAGTCAATGGGAAAGTTAGCGAGCTATATTCACCGATATTGCCCGATTACCCCGATATAGCCCGCTTACCTCGTTTTGATATTAGATTTCTTTAATAACCATGATAATATCATGACGTCACGTCATTGATACAAAGTAACCATGGGAACAAAAGCATGTAATACATCAGTTATGTCACTATGACGTGAAATATGCCTTCGTTCTTGCCCAAATATAGAGCCTCCCAAGGTCGGCCTATATTGGGAGAACTCAGGCATATTTCACGTCATAGTGACATAACCTCTAAATATTATATATTGTGGTTGCCGGGTTGGCCTAGTGGTTAAGGCATTGGTCTGAAAAGCAGGAAGTCTGGCTTCAGGCTGAAAAAGTAGAGGTCTTGGGTTCAAACCCAGGTCACAGCACTTCTTGTGATTTGTCTTTGACCTATGACTGCTGACCTGTACCGGCGATTACTAGAGTGCTGCTAACTCGATAAAAGGCTGGCGCTGGCTAGAATTGTCTATGGTTCTAGCCAGGATAAAGATACCAGTTCTTCAACTCGACAATGGGAAGAACTGCTCTACCTTAGTGACTAATATGTCATTGATATGACATCTAAAGAGTCAATAAAAGATATATATATATGTTACATAATTTTACAAGTTATTGAGGGATGTCAGAAGCTAAAATTAAAATCTTTTAAATGTATAATCTTCTTATTATTATAATATTATGACAAAGCAAGAGTACATACACCATTTTGAGTACATTTGAGATACATATGCTCCATATTTTGGAAGTTATTAAGGTGAGATATGGTCACCCCTGGGACGTCAGAAGCCAAAATGAGAATTAATATTTTTAAAAATGTGCAATCATTTTCCTACATCTTATTAGTAATATTATGACAAGACAAGACTATATACACCACTTTGAGTACATTTGAGATACATATGTTCCATATTTTGGAAGTTATTAAGGTGAGATATGGTCAGTGGTCATCCCTGGAACGTCGGAAGCTAAAATGAAAATTAATATTTTTAAAATGTACAATCATTTCTCTACATCTTATTAGTAATATTATGACAAGGCAAGACTATATATACCATTTTGAGCATATTTGAGATACAAATGCTCCATATTTTGGAAGTTATTAAGGTGAGATATGGTCACCCCTGGAACGTCAGAAGCCAAAATAAGAATTAATATTTTTTAAATTGTACAATCATTTTTCTACTTCTTATTAGTAATATTATGACAAAGCAAGAGTACATACACCATTTTGAGCACATTTGAGATACAAATGCTCCATATTTTGGAAGATATTAAGGTGAGATATGGTCACCCCTGGAACTTCAGAAGCCAAAATGAGAATTAATATTTTTTTAAATGTACAATCATTTTTCTACTTCTTATTAGTAATATTATGACAAAGCAAGAGTACATACACCATTTTGAGCACATTTGAGATACATATGCTCCATATTTTGGAAGTTATTAAGGTGAGATATGGTCACCCCTGGGACGTCAGAAGCCAAAATGAGAATTTATATTTTTTTAAATTGTACAATCATTTTTCTACTTCTTATTAGTAATATTATGACAAAGCAAGAGTACATACACCATTTTGAGTACATTTGAGATACATATGCTCCATATTTTGGAAGTTAATCATGTGAGATATGGTCACCCCTATCCTGCATGATGCCACAATTTTAAATTTCAAGAATTTTTTTCTCCCCAGGTACAAAAGCTATTGATCAAATTTTAAGTATGTGGTATGAACATATATAGGTCCTTTAGAATGAATTTTTTCAGTACACTTCGTACCTTAACGAATCTAAAATAACTTATTACATGTGGTAGAAGTACGAAAATAGGTGGTGCCCCTGTAGTGAATTTCAAAATATGCCCTTATTTTCACCCTAATCCACACAAGAAAATTCATACTGATTGTAAATAATGTTTCTGATAAGATTTTATTAGTATTTCAATGTCATTTTACTATTAAAATGTGATAAAAAATTATTTTATACCCCTACCCCCTGTTTGAAAATGAATAGATGGCGCCTCTCTAACTGCCCATAGCGAATTCACTTACCACACATTTTTACTCAAGTTAGGATAATTTACTCTAGCGAGTGTCTAGAACAAAATGATGCCCTCAAACCTTTTTTACTAGCCGATCACCGAAATCGGAGCTGGGGACAGCATCATTGACATTAAAAACACTATCTGAACTTTCATGAAAAATGCTAAAAGTCCATTTCATATTTATTTCAAATCCATTCTTTTCAATATTTTGACAGGACAGAAATGATCATAGTGATAATAAATAAATAGCGCTAGGAAGTGATACGGAGACAGATACACAAGTGAACATCTTTTTATTTTGAGTTCACCGGTTACAGCAACCAATCTAAAATTGATCATTTAAATGTCATAGTGATTTCTCTATCTCATCCTCCAACTGAAAAATCTAGCCGAGCACAACAACTTATATTTTGTTCTTTTAAAATGATGTCAATGAGTTGTATGTGGTTAACTTGACTTTTACCATGCAAATGTATAAAAAACAATGTCAAATCACTTAAATCGAGAATATTCATTCCTTTTAAGAATTTGAAATATCTCAAAGTCTTCAAAATTTCAAAATACAAGACACTACACATTCCTCAGTTGTAAAAGTTGTTTCTGTCATCTTTGAAAAGTATGTTTCCAATTAGACTTAACGTTGGAAGAAAAAAGAGCAATCAAAAGAGCATTCTGAAGGGAAATAAGATGAATTTGACAACAATATCTATTCCTTCAGACCCATTTTATTGTCAAGTAAAACATGTTCACAGTTCTCTCTATTATGAGGGCCTAGTCAAAACTACAGCTGTACCAGGCCCGTAGCCAGGATTTGCAAAGGGGGGGGGGGGGGGGGGTTCAGTTTTCAAAAATTTCCAGGGTGGGGTTCACATTTTGGCCCAAATATGGCTAAAATCACTTGAGAAGTGCTCAAAATGGTGAAAACTGCATGATTTTTAAAGAATATTTGGCCAGGCTACGGGCCTGTGTACATGAACATTTGAATAAGATGAACTATGTTTTGGGTGACACTCACAACTTGTAAGCAACATTTTTCTTTTAAATGATGCAAGAGTTCAATTAGGTGGTTACTTACCTTTCTGCCGAACACTTGTAGTACTGTAGCCAACAGGTGCTCGTGTGACAGAATCATATAATGTCTCATAGTCTTTGATTTGATCACTGATAGGGCTCTCATCAACATATACAGTGCTCTTCTTCCTCCATTCATCATCATCCACCAGGTTCTCTGGTGTCTTCTCTTTACTGAACACTCCACTATCTGACACACCAGGGATGTACACATTGTCATAGATATCCTCATCAGCATCTCCTGCGTTTTTCTCTTTTTCAACTGAAGCATACAGAGGTTCATCAGTCTGAGCTTCATGGTTATCACGATTTAGAGTGCCCACTGGGGATTTTGAGTTTTCCTTTCCTCTTCTCCCTATTCGTTTATCCCTGGCTAGATTTGACATTTGATTGAAGGATTGTTCATCCAGAATAATTTCACTTTTGCTATGAGTAAGTTTATCCCCAGTGCTATCAGCCTCTGTGGATGGTACATGTTCAAGTGATTTACTCTTTTCAATGTTCCTTATTATATCCTTCACTCCCCTTTTAACAGGGCTTTCCATTGAACCTGGTCTTTCCCTTTGATTGGAATCTTCCCGTCCAGCGGTGTCATAAATCTCATATACAGGTTCATTCACACTTTGACTAGAACCATTCATTGGTGAATTAGGATTATCCTCTAAAGCCAAATCAACCCTTGCTTCATATATCCCCTTGTCCCCATTTTGTTCTGCAGCCCGAGCTTCAGCATGTTTAAACCTTTTAGCTATATCTCCTACAGGTAGCTTGGTATCATAAACTGGTTCTGACTTCTCAGGTTCATTGGAATTTTTGGGAGCAGCCAGGACAGAGAGTGGTGTAAGTTCTGGTTGTGCTTTAGCATTGTCACTTTTACCATGAGCTGTATCCTCTTTAGGTGATGGGGTTCCATTCTTTTCACCAACTGGTTTGTTCTCTTCGGGTGGTGGAGTTCCATTCTTTTCACCTTTCTTCCAGCCTGTGTGGAGAAAAGAGCTTGCCATCTTGTATGTTTCTCATGTGTGCTACCTGAAAATAGATTCAACTTGTCTGAATCACATTCCAAATATCTTATTTGTCCAGATATTGATATCCATGTTTTGAACTGCCCATTATTTGCATATTTTAGACACGATTGATACTGTACATAGTTATGTTAGGAAGTTCCTTATCAATATATGAATTTCAACTTAATCAAAAATCAAATTTAATGTATTTACATATAAGATACTTCTTCATCCACTAATATCCATGCCCATTTAAATGCACATTCTACATTTGTACTTCTCCGAGTATTTTCGACACTCTTTACTGATATTCCAAGAATATTACCTCCTTATTGATTCATTTGAATATACTTGATATGTACACTTATATTTCCCAGTTTAATGAATAGATTGTCTTTCTTTTGTTTGTATTCATCACTTGAATTTTGGACCTGAGTATAACTTGGCAAGATGGATCTTATAATACAGAGTACAGGAAATCCTGTAATTGTGAACATTTCCCTATCAATAACTCAATATTATCAATAGAAAAATTCTAAGTCTCTATCTCTTTAATAAAACAGAAAAGGCTTATAAAAAGTCAATTGATGAGTTTTTCCACATGTTTTTTCATATTTTATGATTAGAGTCCTTATTAGACTTTTAACAGGTCTCTGGATATCCTAGGTCATAAATACCTTTCTTGAGTTTTAATATCAATCTGATGAAATATAAACAATCCAAACAATAACATGATTTGTATGCATCATGCTACTGATCTGTTGATGTCTACAATGTTCACTAAATGAGGTCATGTTCCCACAAAAAATTAGTTTCAGTAGTTTGCAAATGTTCCATTTAGACAGGTTTTACTGTGTTTACAGTGTTTAAAAGTTTTAGTATACAGAAATCTACATTACTCTAGATAACACAAGCAAAGTAGCAAGATAACAGATTTATACCTGTAGCATTTCTATACTGAGAACTATGGTTAGAAAGGTGCCATTGAATGTTTGAGTGATAAAGTTTATCTTTTCTTAGTAATTACACGTCTACTCAGAAACAAAGATATCATCTGAGTTCCAATTCACTGCATGCAAATCATATGTTTTCAAAAATATAAACCTTTCATTCAGGGTAACCTTTTTAAAAACATTTCCAAAAAAGTTTTCTACATTATTGGTTGTACTTTATTATCGAAGAATCCAGACTTGTATTTATATCCTCCAAGCACTCAACAGTATTTTATCAGATAAACAAAGGGCAGTATCATTAAAAATATGGAGTGGAGAAAGTATATAATTGTAAAGCATGTCTAAGTCAGCTTTTGACTGACAAAGGAAGTTAGATCAAATACAATAAAACTACATGTACCATGGTGACTTCATAACACTGACTACTTGAACAGTGTAGTGCCTAAAAGATTGTGGTGAGCCAGGGGAGGGGTAGGATGGAGCTCTCCTCCCAGAATATTTTGATTATATAATTACATTGGTGCAACAGGGCATTTTCAACATAAATTCAGGCTCATTTAATTACTCGCCTTTGTCTGTTTTGATTTGAGCGAGAATATCACAATAAAAACAAACCAACAGACATCGACCACCGAACATCAAACGCTGAATGACGAGCACCCAATGCAGGATACAAAAAGTTGAAGGCTAACAATAGGTCACTTAAAAAACTTATGAAGCCATTCTTTCAGCTTAATCAAGCATCAGTGACAATCAGTATCTATAGCATGAGGGAATCATGTCAAGGGCAGCACCAAATCAAATGGAATTCCTGTAGAAAGCTGAAAGTACATGTAAATTCTATTAGGTTTATCAAGAGTAAACCTAAATGTTGCCGTTAGGATTTTACTGTAAAGTATACCATAAGCTCCGATGATGTATGATGATGTAAACAAGATCTTAAAGGTGTACCATAAGATTTTGCTAGGGCATCTTAACATTCTTAGTCTTACTATTTTTCTTTAAAACTGTCTCTCATATCAAAGCCACAAATGAGAATTTCTCAATTAAAATGCTTAGCTTTAAAATACAATTATTTTCAGACACATTAACTGAAATATCTTTCTCCCCTAAGCCTCAAATAATTTCCTTGAGTAACTCCCAAATCTAATGAGCAACCCTTAATTCTTAAGCTACAAATAGAAACCACCTTACCCTACTTGAAACGGCAGTGTATGGTTTGGTTTAATATTACAGTGCAAATATGTTTGATAGAGTTTATTTATCTGGCACACATTATACAGTTTACAGTTTATACAGTTTAGTATCACGAATCATAACCAAAACATAATACACTCTAAGATAAAATACCATTTGATTTGAATATAACTTGGAAAGTACTCAAATACTTGCTTTAGTCAGCCAACACTTGGTTAAAATAAAGGTTAGTTTCATATGTTCAGAAATTTCGATGCCTTCCTAATTAGAGTCCCATGTTATTTCAGGTAAACCCACAAATGCATTCATTTCTCTATGATTGACATACATGTACTTTTGATCCCCTGACATTTATTAACAGAATTAAATCAATTATAAGTTGATATAAATAAATAAATAAACTATAACTTTGTGTACCTATTTGCAGAATGTGATTTCATATCCCCATCTACATAAGTCATTATCTATTGTTTTAACGAAGACAGTTTTACTACCTATTACCTTTGTGATATATCCTGTTTCAATTACAATACAGGGTGAGCCAAAAAAGAATAACCCAAACAAATGTGAACGTTCAGTCATATAGCATAGGTTTAAAATCATATTTGAACCTTGTTCAATGTTTTTTCATTCTACCAAGTTTCATCGGTCTATCTCAAATGACCAATTTGAACACACAAGGTGACTAGATGCTCACAGATATCATGTATACTGGTCTAATCATTCTTCTTATCTCTTGTTTTAACTCTCTGATGCTTCTCGAAGGGAGAAGCCTTGATTTACAAAGTAGGGTTCAACTTTCCTCTGGCCTGGGGGTTCGGTTCATAACAAATTGGGGGGGGGGGGGGGGGGTTCGCAAGACAGAAACGGTTTTAACAAACCAATCAAATTACAGCATGGTATGCACACTTATCAAATAGCTAGTGTAGATGTGTGATTCATTGTTTGGGCAAAATAGTCATCTTTCTGAGAGGAGTTCGTTCCTGGCATTTGGCTTCTTGATCTTTCAGAAAAGGCGGTTGTTATCGGCCGGATGTTTGTTTTATAAAGAGAGGGGGGTTCAAGGCAAATAGGAGTTCACATGAGGCACACAAACACCCTCTCACGTTGCCCATACATCTAGAGTTTTAAATGTGGCCAATCTTTGAAATGGCTTGGGGATGAATGTTCCGCATTTGGAGCAAATTTTTTAAAATGGCCATAAAATCATGACCATTAAAAGTAGACCAATAATACACTAGTAGAATGAAAGAACATACAGAACAAGGTTAAAATGTGCCAAATATGAGTTCAAATCCATGTTAGAAGACGGGAGTTATTAACATTTATTTGGGTTATCTTTTTTGGCTCACCCTGTACAATTACCATTCTTGCAAATGTTATAATTATGTTTTAATAATATTTAAAATGAGTATTCATAGTGTGAGAGTAAACAAAGTAATTTTCAGACCTATGCAATGCAATGCAACTCTCTTTCAAAATTGTTAGACCTCAACACAACAAGGAAAAGCATCAAAACTCATTGTTGCTAGATCACCGAAATGTTACCTTGGCCTTTTAGCCTGACAATGATTTCCCTGTAATAGCCCTGTGAAATTCAGATTGAATTTGACATTTTTGCTTGTTTCTGATTTGAATACTGTAGATTGGGTTAATTTGGCACTACTTAATTTGGCGATTTTGCCATTTTGGGCATATTGACGGCTATTTAATTTGGTGGACACTAGGGCTTGGACATATTGCTCTGATGCCATAACATCCATATACACTGGAACAAAATTCAAATTGTTACACCCATTCCTTCAATTCAACTACTATATCTAGTAATTTATTATTGAAGCGATTCCCCTGAGCCAATTTAGAAGTAATGTGTTCTGATTATCACTCTTATCCATTTCAGATTTGCTAAAACTGACTAAAGGTGCAACAAAGGTCTGCAGAGGATGCAGAGAGAATTTTTGCAAAATTTTACCTTTTCTGAGCTATCGGCATGACATTCAGTTTAACATCTTCTTCCTACCTATTTTCTTGAAGTGTATGGATATGGCTAAATTTAACAACCATTTAACTTAGAAATATCAGAAATAAAAAACTGGAAAAGCAGATTGATTTCCTCTTTTTCATTTTTCTGAATTATGGAGGTGAGAATACCTGGTAGATATAATAGGGACTACACATTTATTTCGTTCAGTGTACCATAACTGAGGCACGATGGCACTGAATGAACTATAATACTTCCCATAGTTCAATCAGAGTTGCGCATGCGTATAGTGAGAATAAAAAGTGAATTGTCATTCGTGAAGAAGACAATGAATCTGGTCAATTTTCTCTCCCTGTTATCCATCGAAAGAAGGTGCGTGGAAAAGTTTTACTTGTTAGAATAAAAAATAGACAATTTTCAAAGTCCTTTTACGTGTTCAATATTTCATTCTACCGACATGCTGGGATCATTCAATAGGACTTGAGTGCACCATGTTGTCACTTTAAACACACCATGCATATAAAATTCCCGGGGACCCTTTTATAATTTTGGCGAAGATGTAAATTGGCATGTTTTCCTAGTTTGACAAATTCATCAAATTAAAGCGTGCAACAAATTAACCCAATCTACAGTAGATGACTAATAGAGATAATACATGTAATTCATATGTATTCTTTACATTTATGAAATGAAGATGGATGAAGAATTTAAATTAAAGGATGTAAATACTCCTATTAAGGCCAACCATCGTTTTTCTTCAACTTTTCTTAAACTGACAGTTTTGATATTAATAAAACATTTTATAATTGAAAGGACGATTCTCGGTTTGGAGAACGAAGTTCATCAATCTAAATGAGCATTATCCCTGCTTCGGACAAATTTGATTTTTTTTACATAATATAGATTTGAATGTCTTCTTTTGAATAGTCATAATTTAGTTTGGGTAATATTTCTAGATGTTTCACAAAAAAATATTAGCGCAGTACACTGATGACCTTTTTTCCCCAAATCGAGACTTGTATTTTATTGAATCGGCCTAATTGAGCGTTATCACTGCTTCAGACCAATTTGTTATCTTTACATCTTGTAGATTTAAATGTCCTCTTTTAAATATTCATAATTTAATTTGGGTAATATTTCTATATTTTTCATGAAAAAATTATTAACCCAGAAGACTGTTCTCCAAACCGAGAATCGTCCTTTGAAATTATTACATGCGCATTTCATATGTTTTTGCTTGCGAGCCTTCTTAATATTGAAGGACAAACCTCATGTACACACAATTTTGATGACTTGAGAGGGGTTCAACATTTTAAAAAGTTGTGGAAGGGGGACACCTCGTTCACATAAACCATCCAAACCTCCTCTCCCTACAGGCCTGATATAATTTCAAAAGTCAAATAATATTGGTGCTACATGTAGCGAAGCACATATTCAACTTCAGGAATTATTTCTGAGTATATTACGAGCATTATCGAGAGAGGTGAGGTTACCTCCGGTATCTTCATCTCAAAGAAACTCAATGTAATCTCATTTCAGTAATGCTCGCAATGTACTCAGCTACCGAAGAAACTGAATGTAACCTTACTTCGATAATGCGTGTACTCTATGAAAAATAATGTGTAAGGTCCTCTACTGAATGTCTACCAGAGCCTGAGATTGTCTTGCTACTATAGCCTTATACTATAGAGACTGAGGGAGAGAGCAACACAACAACAAAAATACATCAAGGTGGTATCAATTTTAAACAATCGATCTAAGTTTTTCATACTCACCACTATACTATGAAATGCTTTTCCATCAATGATAGTCCCTAGAGATTGGAATTTAACACTTTCAAGACTATTTTCTAAAGTTTTGAAAAGTTTATAAAGTAGCTCTTCAATTTGAAGGTAATTGATGCGAGTAAATATCGGATACAGAGAATTACAGAACACATACACATCAGTATAACCTCTAAATTGGCTCTAATTTAACGTAAATACGACAAAATAATATGCTGATGAATAAAATTGTATTATTATAAAGCATCTGATTGACTGAGTATATTGTTAACTCCATTAAGACCATTTTCATTTTTCAATAATAAATCGCAAAAGATATCCGTGAAATACACGACGTGGAAGGCGGAAGTGTTGAAAGAAAAACAATATTCATAGTGACCGGGTTTATCGACAATCCTAGCGGTAAGAATTTGATTTATGTCATAAATTTTGATATCATTTCAAACCTTGACAATATTTCAATTCGTTATTTAAGAAACTGAAGATCAATGATATCTCTAAATGTGTTATTTTTACACCAATTAATTTTTTGCCACGTCCAGCGTCGAAATAGCCAAGTTTAGGCTGTGAGGTGAGTGATGGTGACTGCCTGTGTGACTGGCGAGTGATTCAGTAATTTGGTAAAATATAGAGTTTATGTTATTGATAATATTAATAACTAATTGTTGATGAAAGCATGGGCTTTCAATTGGACACAGCCCCTGGAACATGTATAAAAAATCGAGTCGCGACGAATAAAGTACATATGTAAAGCTCTTTACTTGGTGTATTGGACACGGACATCTAATACGTTCTTCGAACTGCCCTGGAACTATATCTATACCAGGACTGGCATCCAGATCCAAGTATTTTTTAGACCGCCGACTCTCGTTGGGCTATTTATCCCTATTGACTCAGTTGTTCATATAAATTTACGTACCTTAGATGCTTTGTATCGACGTAGATAGAAAATATTGTTTCCTAAATTGTTCTGAAAAGCGATAATTATTACTAAATGTACTTTGAACAGGTCGACTGACCAAAAAGTCGGACTTCTGGCACAAGGTCACGTGACCAAATAGAATTTGTATAGATAAAATTGATGACGTCACCGCCATCGGTGTAGGTCAGGTCAAAAGTCATCCATCTTGCCATTTGCCCAGCGTATTCTTACCAGTCGACAAAAAACGATGAAATCACGTTGAAAATAAAATATACACTTTAAAATTGAGGCTGATTGAATATGACGAGACTCCATTGAATACAGCTGTGCAATTTACAGTCACCAAGATGAGCTAATTTCGGAGAGATTCGGTGAGATTCGGGAATTAAAAAAGGTAAGCCCTTCGGGTTTCCCAACTTCAAGTATTTAAAATCCCAGAATTTCGCCAGAAACATTCTCTCTGACTGTGGTATTGGACTTGTCTATATGACTGGGCCTATGACTGTATCCACATACCTCCATAAATGTGGGGTTGATTTTTCAAATGTGTTGGGTGTTTTGAAAAATCTTTCCCAACATTCATGGGGAATATTCACAGGAAGTTGTAGATATTTATCCGGTCCAGGACTATACACCGATACCCTGCGTGCAGAGTCTAGTTAAACTACACTCTGCCTAGTAGAGACCATATTACAGTTTAGTAGCCCCGCCCCCACGACGGGTACCGGTGACAGTTTGGGTAATAAATCACTTTTCTTCCACCAATCAGTGAGCTTGAAGAAACATACGCCAAATGCATTCTAATTATATATGCGCATATCATTGGTCAATTCCGGGCTCAAAGATGATACATAAAATGAATATCGGTCGTATCATTTTTTTACCGGAAGTCCCTTCTTACTTACCCAGAAGGGAGGGAAAAACTCAGAGCTTAGAGATGACAGACAGTCATAGTTACGTATCTTGCTTGCCACCTTCGTTTGCCCCGATAGTTCCCGAATACCACACGTCGTTAAGATGTTTTAATCGATGTTAGTATATTTTACACCTTTCTTTGTCGTGATGTGAAATAAACGTAATCTGGCTGAAGTACTCCTGGCTTTACAAGTTTGAAAAATTCGAATAAAGTTCAGTTTTACTTCAATTTACGCTGTATCATTGTATCGTATCGCGAGGTCAGTATCGTAGATACGTATCGATATTAAATTTATCGTATCGTGGTACCCCTAAAGGATACCCTTATATATTCTCATACATCAACATTGTAATAGGATAATTTAAACTTCACCCTTTTTTATCTAATCGAATATTTTTAGAATTATTGTACAGTAGTTTTGAAGAAAATCTGCATTTTTTATTTTTATTGATGGAGTAGATGCTAAAGATTTAACTGTTGAGACTGAGAGTCTAGAGTACACCCAAAGAACCGCAAAAAATATCCTCAATGACTTGGTACATCTTCCTATGACTGTATAGGTCCAGTATCAAATCTTGCCTACTTATCATTTGATGTCTATCTGAGAATACTACATGACTGGAATGAACATTTGTGTCATGTCATGTCTATTTTTTAAAGATGCAACAGTTCTGAGTTAAATATTGTTTTATTTGATCAGACAGTTTTCTTTTCAGAAAATAGAATTAGGATTGTAAGAGAAACATTGTCATGTTTTTTATGTTGCAAAAAATGCATTTAATTATTATACATGCACTCTATTATTCTTTTGTATTTGGTATATGTAACTAATGGCAGGTGGTGACATTTTGTATGTTAACGCCTAGTATATAAGATGTATTTGTTTTATTGCATTTAAGTTATCATACCATCATCGAACATTAACCTTAGTCGACAACTTACAATTTACTTACTTGACATCTTAAGTTATGTTACTGTTTGTTATATGTTGACCTTGTTTATTTAATACAATTCAAATTCAATTGTTTCGTCAGGAGAAATCGAACTGTGTTATCTCAATGTAGATAATGTTTATAAGATATTATGTTCATATGTGTTTTATGACTTGTGGTTGATGTTTCACATTGGCTGTCTGCGTCAGCTTTTGGTGTCTGTGACATATTGTTACATTTTTCTGATCATCTACAATAGCTTACAGGATGGTGACATTCTGTCATGTTAAATGCCTTGTTTGAGAATCGTTCTATACCTTTAGAAATAGATTTCATGTCTATAAATGACTTTGTGTTTCTGAAACCCCCTCCCCAAAATATTTATTTCCCTTATGCAAAGAGAGCATGTGTGAGGCGACTTGATTAATATCTCTTCACATTTTCCAGTATCGTATTTCAATAATTTGAGAACTTTATCATTAACAAAAATAATCAGTGCCCTGCAACATGTTGATAATTAATATTTTAATAATCACAACTACATAAATATACTGTACATGTTATATAAGAGTAACTTCATGTTTATAGAAATCACATGTGGCATTAGCTACAGACGGGGCAGACAGTTATCGTTTTAATGTCATTGCAAACATTACAAATTGAGAAAAAATTGATTATTTTGTAAGTTTTGAGGATTATTTGACTGATTGATAGTTCAGCCATTTTAAAGTAAGTACGGTAAATAACATTTAGTCTTGTATATACTTACTTAGGATACTCCATCACAGTCTTTATATTCTGGACAGGTTATGCACTACAGAGTTAGAAGGAGGGAGTCACAAAAACAAGAATGAAAGAATATGCAGTAAAGAAATGGTGATCAACAATTGATTCTGAGTATATCAAGTACTGTATGATAATGTGTATATTTATTATTAATTGTTCTTGCAGGGACCTATTTAACAGAAGAATGCTGGGTTGTATACTCGTGACGGGAGGTGGAGGGTATATAGGAAGTCACACTGTCATAGATATCATTGCGGCAGGCTACCAACCTGTCATTGTCGACAATCTAATCAATTGCAGTAGGGGTAAGATACCTGGTACAGGATATTATATACCTATACTTATTTTCTAACTTTTCTTGTTTTAACCATTTTATTGATATCAAGTAGGTAATATTAGTTAATTAAATCACTGCGCTAGTCTTAAATATTGATGTTTTCCTAAAATTCTACAAGTTTATTAATTTTTGATTCTAGAGACAATGAAAGATATTTCTCACTTAGTGTTTTGCTATTTCTTCTAGAGTATATAAAAAGTGCTGATATTTCTTGCAGAGTCTATTAAGCGTGTTGAGGAGATTACAGGTCAGAGCATTACATTCTACAGGGTGGACCTGCTGGACAGACCTTCACTGGAAGATGTATTCAATAATGTAAGTCGTAAATACAGAATTGAAGTTACATTGACCCACTCTGTATGGTGCCTAGCCTTAACCAAAGGTATTTATACAAAAATGGTTGCCCTAACGCTATAATTCCAACCCCAATCCTTCAGTGCCTATTAAAAAAATAATCTTTTGGTATGTTCAGTTAAGACATACAATATGCAGTGTTTCTCTCGTTTATTGATTTGAAATATTCTATCTGTTGTTCTAAGTGTGTGCTTACGTCAAGCTGTTTCATAAGTTTATTGATTTATCAAGAAAATATTTAAAAATTGTTTGAATAAAAAGTAGTGTTGTTAGATTCAACTGAATTGCTTTGAATTATAATAGGACTTAGGAGTGTCATAACTTGTCAGATTTGATAGAATTGCTTCATAAAAAGAGAATTGCCTGTCATTATAAAAAGAGTGTTGTCAGATTTGAAACAATTGAGTAAAACTTTAGTTTCATTTTAGGATATTATATAGTATGTAGGTTAGTTATGACAATAATAATTCGGGAAAATCTTCAAAATAAAACAAAATTACAACATTACAAATGAAATCTATACATGTGCAGTGTACATATTTAGAATAATGATATCTCATAGCAGAAATGTATGAATTCGTGCAGTGCATACCACTGTCATTACACATGGTTCGTCTAAGTACATGTACTAAATAATACCTCAAGGAAATTTTGTATATTCTATTCAAACATGACCGTGCTCGAATTGAATTTCTCAACCAATCAGAACACAGCATAACCAATATAGAACATTCTCTAATTCTCCATAGATGCACAACTGTGCTCTATTCAATCATCCGGGTATCTATCTATTCTGATGTCACACTTATGAATGGTGAAAATAACAACCTGTTTGTTCATTTTATGGACCCCAAATCCCAGATTCTCTGAACAATGTTTTCATTTTTATGTTTGAATCGGAATAATTAATGATAAGCCATTCAATATGGTGAAATTCTACACTCGTTGGACAGAAAGTCAGTACAAATGCACTCACCTTCGGTTCGTGCTTTGAACAACATTCTGTTCAACTTATGCTGAATTTCACCATATTGAATTGCCCATCATTATTTATTCCTTAAATCCAATCTGTATACAGTATATACAGTATATTATATGCTGTATAATATATTGTTACAGCACAACTTCAGCAGTGTGATCCATTTTGCTGGGCTGAAGGCAGTTGGGGAGTCCTGTGTTCTCCCACTTAGTTACTACAAGAACAACATTGAAGGAACAATTACATTATTAGAGGTATGCAAATATTAGAAAGGTTTTATGAGCTAATACCAGATTTAGTTTAAATTTTATAGATTCATACCTTATGGGTGTTGGATGCCTGGTCAAGAAGGACTTTCCAATATGGTCACTCAGTTCAAAATGGCTACCTTTTTCATACAAAATGTAATCTATCATAACTCAAAACCATTTATCAATTTTGCTTTAAATCTTATAGACTGGTGCATATGCATAAAGTATATTATGTGCTGTGTTCCAGATCATCATGACCTAGATTTGTATGACCTATACCAGTATTTTCCAGTGTTACAGATAATAATGACCTAAATTTTTATGACCTATCTGACCTATTTTTTACAGGCCATGGCCAGTTTGTATGCACTGTATATGTATATATGTCATATGTATTTCAGGTCATGAAGAAATTTGGAGTGAAGAACCTTGTTTTCTCAAGCTCAGCTACTGTATATGGGGAGCCCCAATATCTACCTTTAGACGAGAAACATCCTGTAGGGGGTGCCACTAATCCATATGGAAAAACAAAATACTTCATCGAAGAAATTATAAAAGATCTCTGTACTGCTGAACCTGTAAGTAGTAGACATACCAAAGTTTCAAAATTGTGTTGTTCTTATTGTTAAGAGAATTCAAAGGTATCTTGTTTTCATTATAGGTAGTTTATTCAACATATTTAGATCTATTGCATAAAAAGAGTGAAGAGAAATATGGTAAAGCACCCTAATTTTCTGTTTTCTTCCACATTTAGGAGTGGAATGCAGTGTTACTGCGTTACTTCAACCCAGTAGGTGCTCACAAGTCAGGGAAAATCGGGGAGGATCCACAGGGTCCCCCTAACAATCTGATGCCCTACATAGCTCAGGTAGCTGTGGGCCGCAGACCACAACTTAGTGTCTATGGCAACTGCTATGATACTAAGGATGGAACAGGTATGTTGTATTACAGTAAAACTTGTATATCCAAACACCTTTCTAATCCAAACACCTCTCAATATGAACACTTTGTCATCCATCTTTTAATCTGCTATACACTTCCATGTTGACAAACCTCAGAATGTGAACAGCTGCTCATGTACCTACACTAAGTTGGTCTTATTGACATTCAAGTTAGACAAGTTTGGCTGTAATTTTATGATAATTGACTAAAGCTCATTTCCTTATGGCATCATACATCACTTTCAATTTTATTGTTAGAGTACCAACAACAAAAGTAAAATGTACTCTTTCTTATTTTAGGAGTTCGAGATTACATTCATGTAGTAGATCTGTCCCTTGGACATGTGGCAGCTTTAAGAAAACTAGATGAGAAGTGTGGATGCAAGGTATCAGCTTACTTATTTCTAGAAATCAGTGGAAAGCATGCATACAAAATTACAATCATAAATTTTTGCTATGTCTATTCTGTCATTCTTAAGATGGAATAATCCCAGTGAATTTAGTTCTAGTACTGTACTGAGTCCCATTAGGAGAGACCTGTTTAGTCAGAAAATGGAACAAGATGAAATACTTATTCATGAAAAACTTGTTACTCCATAGATGTGATGTGAACATTTTGGTTATTATTTTTAGGTCTATAATTTGGGAACAGGTGTCGGTTACTCAGTGCTGGATATGGTGCAGGCATTTGAGAAGGCATCAGGGAAAGAGGTAGGGCTTATTATTTCATATCCAGTATTAGAATTTATCTAGCACTTAGTATGAGACTAGGTGAATAAAGCAGGTTTATAATATTAATATCTCAAAAATTGTGTATATCTCGCATCCCTCCTGTAGAAAACTCGCAAATATTGCTTATGAAAGTTATACTGGTATTATGAAATATAAAGATCAAATGCTGCTCCTTTGGTACTCTCATTCAAAATTATATCATCATTCGTGATAAGACCCATAAACAAGTCAATTCACCCCAGTAAGTAGCCTCTATTTCCCGACAGATTCCATACAAGATAACAGACCCCAGACCAGGAGATGTTGCAACAGTATATGCTTGTCCCAAGACTGCCTCAGAGGAACTACAATGGACTGCTACTAGAGGCCTTACTGAAATGTGTAAGTTCAGTCTAATGATCGACATTGCCTTTTTGTGATAAGTGATAAATCATCCACATTATCTCTATGTAGATGGCTATCATTGCTTAAGTGCATAATGCCTGTTTGCCAAATCTCCCAATATTCCTGATTTAATCTCCAACAAATTATCATGTACATGTGCTGTGTGCTTTGAAAAGGATAAAGGGTCTCATCCAAAGTAGTTTGACAATTCAGAATTTTTTTTTTGTCTTTTCTGTCAACAAACATATTCCAAAGATGGAAAATTCCCAAAGAAACAAAGCAAAGTTCTAGTACTGTACTGATTCCCATTAGGAGAGATCATTTCAAAGTCATGAACCACAACAAACATGAAATCACAGTTTAGGTTCAATTAATTTTTTGAACAAACCTTATTTGTTATTTACTTTCCCTACATTCAAAAAAACATCAATATTTTACATTCTCCATGTGCATCATTTTTGCTGATTTGTCATGTACATGTTACAGGTGAAGATGTTTGGAGATGGCAGTCTTCCAATCCAAGAGGCTTTGAGGGTGATAAGGAATAACATTGGAGAGCTTAGAAAATTATACATCAAACTACTATAGAGATGGAGCCATGCTTTGGGTCTTCAATAACATTATTGCGATAACATTTCGATGAGCCCTATCCCTCGTAAGATGGAGGGAACGTGCCATAATATTAGGCATATGAAGAAAAGTGCAATAAATGTGAAAAACTATACATACCAACACATGTACGAGCATTTTATTATGAAAATTAACTGGTAAATATTTCAAACAATTATGATTTAGGTTATTTTAGATTCTTGATCATGGATTCTGATCTCTGAAAGTTTAATTCTTCACATGTACAAAGTATATAGTATAGTCATAAATCAAAATTTCAGGGGTGATATTATTTAAGGTTTCTCATAGAAATATGTATTTTCTGCAGCAATGGGGGAATTCAAAGAATGTCCTGTCAAATAGACCAGGGCATAATTTATCTTATATTAAATACTTAATACTAGTTTAGTAAATCAGTATTGGAAATTCTAGTTGAAATTTGTGCTTAGTATACTGGATGTCCTAGACATAAATGTTAATGGAGATATGTTTAATTGGTATGTATTTCTCGGACATCCTTTAGTTTCTTGTTCATGTCTCACACCACTCAATATTAGAGACATATTTAAAAATTTCACTGTGATATTATGTTAGCAAAGGTTTGTCATGTGAGATCACACGATGTATGTACATGTAGTTATTGCTGGTAATTATGATGACATTTCACATGAATTATGAAGGCTGTAATAAGTCATCTGGGTGTGACTCGTTTGGGATCACTGAAGAACCCATTGAATACTCTTATGCTAGCCTTGCCCAAGTTTCTATAATAGAAATCAAGATAAGTAAAAGAGACCGACTTGGGCAAGGCTACTCTTATGCAGCATGTGTTCTTACTTAATTCTTCCTCAGTTATTTTATGAGATAAAATCAACTTCATAGATTGATACTAGATTACTACATGTAATTTGGAAATATATGCTGTAATACATGTACACTTGAAATACTTCAGAAGGGTCTGTTAATCTCATATTGAGATACATCCAGGGTGTGTCATAAAGGTTTGAATCTAATTGGTGAATATTGAACAATGGATTAATTGCAATATTTTCGATACATGATGAAATAATAAGTATGCCAATATCAAAAAACATACTGATTCTGAGCTGGGATTTATGTAACACCCTGGATATTGCTTTACACTGTACCGATGTGTCTTATGTTTCTGAATTTTAACTTACAGTCCTTGGCAGAGAAAATGGAAATCTGCCAGATCTAAAAATTAGCAAATGATCACAATGGATGATTATTTGGAAAAATATAAAATATGAGTGTAATTTTCCATATAATATTGATCTATCATCCTTTGATGGTTTAATTTCCATCTTGATAGACTTACACTTCACTGCCTCTTCTCAACTAAATCCTTGGGACCATTTGCTGATTACCTACTTAGCCACTTTGTGGATCTGTGTGTCAGACTGAATTATGTATGTATGAACTTGAGACTCATGTAAAGTATCACTTAAAGCTCTCAGGTTGCTATACTAAACAATGATAAATTGTGCATTTGATAACTCCATGTGAAATGACAAGATGCAAATATAGCCAGTAAAAATGTAAATTGCATGCAATTGGCATTTATTGAAATGCACAGATTGGCCCAACAAAGCCAACAAAGGTGAAAATAATTCTCTATTTTGAAGCAGCATTTAGGAGTGCTCCATTAATTATTTCAAAATAGCAAATTATCTTACTCACTTTAGGAATAATGCGTATTTCACAATCAAAGTTTTTGCTGAAAAGCTGTATTCTTTTGGAGAATGCTATTGTTTCTGCTTTTGTCTTGTCGTGGAGATATTTGCATAGTTTATAGTCATAGTTTATAGTCAAAGTACATGTACATCATGTAAATTGTGGACACATATTGTGTTAATACTGTAATCAGTGTATCAGCCAACAACACAAGTGAACAATTTGAAGAGTTCTCTTGGGGCTCTAGTCAAAATTTATTCTGGGTCTCTTACTTATAAAAAATATGTTTGTGTGTTGATTGATTCACTGAGAGTTGTTTAGTGATTGTTGTTGTTTTATGAATTATGTTTTTCTGTTTACATTGTGATGATACTCAGACAAGTTCAGAAACAAAGAAACTCAAGTTATTCATGAAATTTTAACATATTTTTGTTTTCTGAGTATATACATAACTTATTTTCATGAAAGGTGCCTTATTCTTAGTATTAAATTAATGCAATGCTATATGGGAGTATATAGGAGAATGGACTCGGGTAACATTCCAGTAAATTGTAATATTGTGTCTTGTATCAAGTGCCCCACTATAAATTTACTTAGATTAGAAAGGAAAGAATAAGGGGAGGAGGGAATAAAGGGCCCGATGCAAGACTCAAGGGCAATACATGTAGTTGAATGAATATGAGATGTATACATATTTTGATTTGAAGTTTCGAATATACATTTGAAACTCATTTTCAGCATCACACCGAGGGAATCAGACATAAAAAAATAAAAATTTTGCTCCTATCACTTTCAAGCCAATGACTGATTTCCCTTAAAATCAACACGTCATATTTTGTTTGCTAGACTGAAATATAGTTTTTATAGTGTAAAATCTTATAATAGAAATCCGGGGACTGTCATTTGTGATTTTAAAAATTAGAAAACTTGTTAAATGCATTCTGCTTCTTATAGCTGTGTGTCTCTAGTCACATGTCAGAATTGATTTTGGGTTTTAGACTAAAGTATTCATTCATAATAGTAATTAAATTTTTGATGGAATTTCATAGTCTATTAATTTAAAATCAGATGTTGATTTAATGATTTGTATTTCATTGAAACAAATCAACAATATACATGTTATGTATTCAAACTTTTGGAGTGATTACATATAAGCATGTAGCTATTATTCAATTTATAGAATATATGTGTGTATAAAAATAGTGTTTATGAACCATACAATGTTTGAATTAGAGCAGGGATGGTGTGGATGGGTTACACTTCTGTTATTTTTTTTCATATTACAATTAAGTTCTACCATGTGTGGTGCGGTGAATTTTAGGAAGAAATTATTGTTTTATGAACCATACAACGTTTGAATTAGAGCAGGGATGGTGTGGATGGGTTACACTTCTGTTATTTTTCATATTACAATTGAGTTCTTCCATGTGTGGTGCGGTGAATTTTAGGAAGAAATTATTGTATTATGTACATACATGTGCATGCAAATACAGAATTGACTGTTAATAAGTAATAGAAATGAAACTGTTGTGTTTTTGTTCAGTTTGGTATTTGATGGGAGTACAACCCCAAAAGTAATTATATATTTTATCATAAATTGTAGGCAACTTTGGTAAGCTCCTTAAGTAGAATATAAGTGGAGACATTTATGATACAGTCCGTGAGTATATTTCTTTTAGTAAGGTATTCAAATCCACGTACAAGGTAACATTGGTATTTGTATTTCTGTCCTAAAGGGCAATGATACCAGGTAACTTATATACACTCTTCATATGGACACATTACATGGTCTCTTGAATGCTACTTAAATCTATATTTCTGCATCGTCTTCATGATGCTGTTCAAAGTTTTGCCAGCCTGCTCAGCTCTTGATGGATTTAATGATGGAATCTCAACATTTTCACTGGTATCATCTTCTATTTGGGTTTCCTGAAAACAAACAAGTCCAGTACAATTATACAATTTCTGTAATGACATTGCTCTTTGCATGGTCTAATTTGTCTAATTGAATAAATGAAAATTAATTCAGTCAGTGAATATTCAGATATAACATTCCATCTAAGAATCCTCACAAGTATTGTGAACATAACATAAGATCATCTCTAATGGGCCAATGTTTTACCAAGTCTAACCAATATGTCATTGTTCATGAGATTTCAAATACTTTTGATATAATTAGTGCCCCATGTGACATATCACAGCCTTCTATCAGTGACTTTTTTAATGCTTGAAAGACAGAAAGATGTGATGAGTATCAGAATGTTTATGCCCCATCAAATATTGATTCAAACAATGTGAACGTATTTTACTTCCATGTAACATGATCTTAACTCCCTATCCCAAAACACTCAATAATCTGACTTACAATATGAAAGATGTTATGCTTGATGAATCAAAATTCTTTTTAATTCAGTTAATATTCATGATTTTAGATACTTAGTCTACTAACATTAACTGGTGGTTCAGGAGTTACTCTAGAGACAGCCTCTGGTGTTCCTGGAAGCCTTGCACTTTCATCATTGTCTATTGCAACATCCACATCAATATCATCCACCCTTTGTTCTTTAGATGACCCCACTGAATCTAAGTTCACAGCAGTGTCAGCTGCACTTATCATTGCAACATCTTTGTCATTTGACATTTCAATGTTTGTTTTAGTAGTTTCATTTGTCATTTCAGAAGTTTCATCATTGCTTTGTGGAGTTTCCTCTTTACTCTTGACAGTTTCTTCTTTGGTATTGGAAGTTTCATCTTTTGTTTCAGTCGTTTCATTTGTTGTTTCAGAAGTTTCATCCTTGCTTTGTGAAGTTTCCTCTTTACTCTTGACAGTTTCTTCTTTGGTTTCGGAAGTTTCATCTTTTGTTTCATTTGTTGTTTCAGCAGTTTCATCCTTGCTTTTTGTCATTTCATCTTTACTTTCCAATGTTTCATCTTTGTTTTCAGAAGTCTCACTTTTAGTTATAGAAGTTTCATCTTTTGTTTTAGAATCTTCATTCTCAGAAGTTTCATTTGTCGATTTAGAGGTTTCAGTTTTGATTTGTGGAGATTCTCTTTCAGTCTTCGTTTCTGTCCTATCTGAAGTATAAAATTGTATTTAATAAAGAGGAGAGATTTAAAAGCACGTTGGACACTGGAGTCTCATTATGTGTTGGGGTTGTGACTACAACTATGGAAACTCTGTAAGCACAATTAATTACTATATCTAGTAGTTGCTATGATTTTGAATGCTGCCTTTATGTTTTTAGATTATGAAACTAAAAAGGATTCTATTTGTGATTCAATGGATAACCCATCAGATATTATTTTAGCTTTATGATTTAGCACCTCTTTTGGAGATGTCTTGACCATGTTACCTTCATTGGAGGTGTCCTTGTTGATATGTTTTTCATTGTCCCTTTTCCCTTCATCAATAGCCACAGCTGCCCCGGCACCAATCACGACAGCATTAACGTCCAATTCTTTTTCATTCGAGTCATTTTTAGATATTGTATCTTTATGACCCTCATTAGGTTTGTCTTTGTTATTTGATGATTCTGTCTCGTCAGAGGTGGCTATTGTTTCTTTATCAATGCCATTTGTATTTTTATCTTCCACTTTTTTTATAGACTTTTGTTCATCATTGTTCTCATTCTTCTTGGCCACTCCAATGACTGCAGCAGCTGCAACTGGTGCATGGGATCGTGCTTGGGTGTCATTCTCCTCTTTTTCTATCTCTGTCTGTTTTTGCTGCATTTGTTGTTGTTGTAATTGTTGCTGTTGTTCCAATTGTTTCTGCATTTGTTGTAATTGTTCTTCCTGTTGTTTTTGCTGTTGTTGAAATTGTTCTTGTTGTTTCTGCCATTGTTCCTGTTGTTGCTCTTGTTGCTTTTGCCACTGTTCTCTCTCCCGTTGTTGTTCCTTCTCCCGTTCTCTCTCCCTTCTGCTGTCTCTTGTATTTGGTCGATTATCTCTTGAGTTTAAAAGTGCAAGTGCTGCCACTGGAGGAGGCGACCTTCCTCGGTTGTTTTGTTCATTTTGTTTTGCTGCTTCTAACTGTTGTTGTTGCATCTGATGCTGTTGTTCCATCTCCTTTTTCATTTGTTCCCATTGTTCCTTCTGCTGTTGTTGTTGCTGTTGCCATTGTTCCTGCTGTTGTTGCTGCCACTGTTTTTGTTGATCCTCCCATTGTTGCCTCAGCTGTTGTTCTTGTTGCTTCTCCCACTTTTCTCTCTCTAATCGCTGTTGCTCTTCCCATTTTTTTGTTTTTCTGTTGTCACTTGATTTTGGTCGATCATCTCGTGATTTCAAAAGTGCGACAGCTGCCATGGGTGGGTGTGATCTTGCTTGGTTGTCATCTGGTTCCGCCTGTTTTACAGTCTCCAACTTTTGCTGTTGCATTTGTTGCCATTGCTCCTGTTGCTGTTTTTGTTGTTGTAGCCACTGTTCCTGCTGTTGCTGCCATTGTTTCTGTTGCTGTTCCCATTGCTGTTGTTGCAGTTGTTGTTGCTGCGCCTGCTGTTTTTGCCACTGTTCTCGTTCCTGATGCTGTTGTTGTTCCAGTTGCTGCTGAGCATCTCTATTATCGTTTGGGCCTGATTGAGTATTCCTTGCAGCTACTACTGCAACTGCACCCAAAGAGGGATTTAGTCTTGCACCGTCGTCGTCTGCTTTTTGTTTTGCAGACTGCTGAAGTTGTCGTTGCATTTCCTGCCATTGGTCTTGCTGTTGTTTCAGCTGCTGTTGCCATTGTTCCTGTTGTTGTTTAAGCTGCTGTTGTTGCTCCTTCTGCCATTGCTCCTGTTGCTCTCTTTGTCTATCCAACTGTTCACGCTCCCGTTGTTGTTGTTGCTCCCATTGGAGCTGTTGCTGTTTCAGTTGCTGTTGCTGCCATTCTTGGTCTGTGGTGGGCTGTTGAGACTGCTGCAGTAATATTACCTGTGGTGCAGGCTGTTGTAGCTGTGTTTGCATCTCTTGATGTTGTTCCTGTGGTTGCTCTGGCTGTTTTTGTTGTTGCTCCTCTTGTTTGGCAAGGTCTTCATTTTTGGGATGTTCCTCATGTTGAACTATTTGTTGTTGATCGGGAACTTGTATTGGCTGAGGATCATGTGGATACTGCTGATGTTGTTGTTTATGGAGATGGTGCAGTGCCATCCACTTCCTTTGTTGCTCGTTATAATCATCGAGTTGACCAGGTAGATACGTTTGTGTAGGATATGGAGAGGACTTTGTTCCTCTCTTTGCGAGTGCAGCAACGTGTACAGGAGCAACATCGTAGTTCTTTTTCTCTTCTTCATTTTCCGTTGGATAGAAAGGTTCTTTACTTTGTTCCTGACGTGCGATGTTATCCAAGTTGTCCTGAGCTTCTTTGTTATCTTGGTTTTGCTGTTCCTGTTTCCTGGATTCATCTTCTCTGTTTTTCCTGGCTCTGTGGGTCGCCATGACTTTTCTGGTGAGAGTGTAGTAGTCATCGTTCGGTTCATACTTGATCTGATCTGGGTGGTATCCCACTTGTCTCTTCGTACATTTTAGGCGCTCGGTTGGTTTGTACGTTGTCGATGTATATCCCTGTGGTGTATAGCCGGAATAATTCCCATTAGTTGGTGTGTAACCAATTTGCCCTTTGTAAAACCCAGGACTACTACGTTTCATCTTATTAGCAGCTACCACTGCAGTTACAGGTGCCTTTTTAGAAGACTGTTTCTTGGATTTATTTGCATCTTTTTTGGAATAGCTATGTACTCCTGAAGGGTGTTCATCATTAAGAGTTTGTTTTTGTGGAGTGGCGTTCTCATGATCATTTCTAGACTGACCAACGGCAACTATTGCAACAGGATTAATTTGTGATGTTCGAGAGTCCTCATTGGTAATGTTCCCCTTATTAATATTCTTATCGTCTTTTTCATCAATACGTGTATCATCTTTTGATTTAGCTCCATTCTTATCGTCATTTTGACCACTGTATTTATCATCCTTGTTTTCCCCTTCATAATTCTTGTCCTTTTCACCACTATATTTGTCATCTTTGATTTTACTCTCACCATTCTTATCATCGCTTTCACCACTATATTTATCATCTTTGTATTTACTGTCATCGTTCTTAATGTCATTTTCTCCACTGTTTTTATCATCTTTTGTTTTACTCTCACCATTCTTATTGTCTTTCACTTCATGATTTTGTACTTGTTGATCGTTGTTTTTGTCCTCTTCTCCAATTTTATTTTCGTTTTCTTTGTTTTGATTTTCAGGCGGTGTGACTTCCTTGTGTTTATTTGGATTATTTTTACCATCTGATTTACGTTCATATGGTTTGTTATATGACGTCTCAACAGGTTTGTACGCCATCTTTGATTGATTTACACCATTATATAAACCAATCTCTGATTGCTTTTTAGTGTATCCCGTCTTATCTGGTTTATAGCCCATATCTGAATGTTTTACATTGTACCCCGTCTGTGCGGGTTTATACCCCATTTCAGATGGTTTCCCACCGTATCTCTTTTGAGTAGGTTTGTATCCCGTCGACATTGCATCAACAATCTGAAAATTATAACGTATGCTTATTGCAAATATACGATCTTGTCATATTGAGGTTAGCTTATTCTTTTATTTACTATATACAATTATAATATGCAATATGAACTTCTAGAATTGTTTATTAAAAACATTTAAAATGGTTATGAACATTTAAAAACGCTGTGTTGTAATCAGTTATCTCAACATTCATCTAACATACTATATCTGACATATTTATTAAGTTTACACGTTTTTGAAATGTATATTTTGTAGAACCCTAGAGGGTTATAATGGTACTTATTCACTGTTACCTTCTAGGTTAAATGAAATGATTAAAAAAACATTCTCTCAACATTGGAGTTGGAAGCAAGTCTTATATTAATATTGTGCGGCTGTCCTGTATTAGATAAACTTTTTCAAGTCCCAACTATAATTTTAATCGCAAGAATTGAAAATTAAAAAATAGAAAATTTAATGAAAAACGATTCTTACAACAATATATTAAATCACCACTGTAGTGCAGGTACTCACCTCTGTTTTGCCCCACCAAGTTACGTACGTATATAGTTGAATATTAAAATCACGTAAGTATTAGTCATGAATGATCACATATGGTAGCATTACGTCGTGTGATTTGTATTTTGGAGACGAAAAGGAGGCCATAGTTGCAAGGTGGGAGAATCAATCTTCATACCGGGTGTATAAAAAGTTTCTAAATCGTTCATTTATTGTACGCGTTTATTCTCCATCGTTTAGACTGAGATAAAAACCAGTAAAACATTGATTTATGTTAAATTTGTTCCGAGTAACCCTGTATGAAAAGAAGGTACACAAACAAAAAATGAAATGTCAATAAACATTGGGGATAGTCAAATAGGTTCTTTTTTATACGATTCATTTCAAATCGTGGTAGTGCTTTCAATTGTGCGCTATGTTTGCATTTATTTGAATTGTGATCGATTTCATATTCTGATAGGATCAATAATAGTATATAAGTTCTATCATAGTTTTTACACAAAAACACAACAATAACGTTTTCTTTATGAAAAAATGAGTAGTGTGATTCAACCAAATTAATTATCATTTTCATTAATAAATTGCATTATTTGCACCATCAACAGACTTTGGTGCAAACATTTTCTGAATTTAAACTTGACTTCACAGTGGATTTACCCTTTTGCAACGCCATTCAACTCTAGCAACTCTTACCTAGGTAAGGTTTGAGACTTTATATTTATCGGCCTAGGCTACTTGAAAGGCGTACCTTAAAAAAACAGAACACAAGCGTCACCTTTATTGGACCATAGTCAGTCTATTGACAGTCACGTGACCTTAAAAGGGTATGATATGAGCCTTATAGAATAATAAGACTTTGAAATTAATTATAACCATTCTTTTATTTGTGGTATTGTGAATCTTTTGTTCACAATTTGATGTCATTAAAATGACATATTAGAGGGTTCCAGCTGGTAAAATGTAACCCATAAACGTGGGGTTGAATTACGTTGTCAGTGGTTGACACAAAGCTGAATTTTATTTAATGCATGGCGTAGAATAATGGAAATAGCGTCATGAATCCCGGGACAATGAATCTTGGATCCAAGCACGTCATTAATGGTCGAAAATCAAAATATTGACAAATTTATAACCTAAAAGGCCGAAAGATTATGCGGCAAATATTGAAACGGGGGTTGTCAACATATTGTATTAGCTTTGATCTCTTAGAATCCGTTGAATCCTAAGCGATTGGAGTTGTTTAGATCACTTAACGAATGATATGAAATGATGAGGATTTGGGTTTTTTCAAAGTCTATAATGGCGGCCAATGGGGGATTTTAGCAAAATATCCCGAAAATTAAATCATTAAAAGGCCGAAAGATCTGTGGATGGGATTTTGCTGTTTTATATATCAAAATGAACACTTCGTTGGGACTAACAAGGATCCGTTGAATCCTAAGAAAATAAATAATTTGCTAAAAAGTTATTAAGATTTTAAATTTTGATGAAGACTGCTCTCCATTGAAATCTTTGGACCATGAAATGTCGATTTACGCGCATGCGTTGTGACGTTATTTCCATTATTCTACGCCATGCCCCAGTCATGTTTGATCTACGGCAACCGTAGGCCGTAGATTCCCAAAATCGAGAGAAATATGCAGAGGGATACGCAGTTCGATGTGCTATATTGATTTTGTGAAACTACGGTGGTCTTGCTACAAGCCCTTGTGTACCTCCTCTAACTACTGGGTTACTGTGTTGGGTTGGTCTAGTCCACAGTCTTGGAACAAGACTAGAGCTACGGCCGCCGTAGAGCAAATGCAATGAGCTTACCGTTAATCCAGTTTATTCCGCAACCGTAAGATTTCAATACACAAATAGTTGTGGGCCGTTAAACTAAATCAACCCAACATATATGGGGCTATGAAATATGAATACAACCTATACAACCTAGATCTAAGTCGCACATGAATGTTAAAAATAAAATAATTGTCCAGAAGGAAAATACACAAGTAAAAAAGATGTACCAAAATCCGATGGTGTTGTTTCTGTATTCCCTGACCAAAATGCCCAGTGAAGTCAAAAAATACTAGCAGTCTATGAATAGATGTCATTCTAAATCATAATTTTTAATCTCCCGAGGTTTCAGTTTAGAAATACGAAGCTGCACTAAACGAAATAAAAATTATTCATTTCTTAGGCTCTTTTAGGCAACTGATAAGACAGTTTTAAATTCAAATTGCCCAAATACAATTTCAATTGGAAAATAGTAAAAAAATGTTATTCAAATATTTTTTTTCGATGAAAATTGTTTTCTTATTTTGCCGGCAAAACTTCAGTCCTTGTCGAAAAGTGCATGCGTAAAATGGCGGAGTTTGATTTGACGACCCGTATGGGTCAGTTTTTGGACAGACATCTCGTGTTTCCCTTATTGGAATTCTTAACTGTTAAGGGGGTAGGTACCTTTGAATATATTCTTTGTTTTTGAAAAATTTAAACAATACCCTATGTTGTTTTCAGTAATAAATTCCTCTTCTTATCTCAAAATATTCTGAAAAATTCGTCCAATTTTTTCATTTTTGATTTCCGTAGTCGAACTCTCAATGTAGGAAGAATTTGAAGCACCATCTATATGGAAAACTTGTGACTACTGAACACTGTAACTACTGAACACTGTAACTCCTGAACTACTTACCTTGGTGTCCACACTAATTTCTCATTGACAATTTGTCAAATTCTTCGACCCACCTCATCGTTCTCCATGCTGGTTTGCTCCTAAAGCAGATTATCTCGTACCAAGACCATCTCTGCGTTTTGGTCTTGCAGGGATTCCATTAGTTCAACAAGTTAAACCTCCAGTGCTGGTATATATTAATTGATCAGTCAGTTTAATTGGCATATTTTCTTGAATTTTAACATTTAATGTCCCAAACTCCCACTAACTGCAGAAAAGTATACCCCATAAATCATATTTACCAAAATGAGTGTCTCCAAGGCTTCACACCAGCGTATGCATAATGCATTTTTCACGAGTTTGAGCTGAAATTTCGCCAAAATGAAGTAGGCTAAGGGTAGTCTCTGCCAGGTTTGTTTATTGTGGTAAGCTTGTAAGTGCTCGGAAGCAAATAATTCACGTGCGCAAAATAATCAAATAATCTAATTGGTCTAAACTTTGCTGCACATGCGCACAATGTGTGCCATGTTTTTTCTAGTGATTTCGTTTCGTTTCATGGAGTTTGCGTTTCAGTGTAACTTCCGCAAAAATGGCCGACCATGGACAGAATTAACAGGTAAAATCACATTGAAATTTCAAGAGAACTTTTTACCTATAATTGCAAAACTTTTGTTTTATTTGTGCATTCTATCTATCAGATAAGAGTTTCAGGAGTATGTATAGGCAAATTCATTTTGGTAGGAACACTTTTTTTAGTTTGAAAACGCACCCTATATTATTATATATCAGCACTTTAGTCTGGGCCTTATTTCTTATCTGACATTTCTTGTGGCCCGCCCTAGGTTTAACATCCGTGCCTCTTCAGCCCTTGATGCAAAAAATTTTAATGATGGCCTATGGCAGCGCATAGAATTCCATGCCGTTTTATTAATAACTGATAGTGAGAATTTGCAACCAATGAAAGCATAGCACGGAAGTTAAACCCAACCACGGCAACAAGAACATTCAGATTATAAATGAGAGCCGTGGTATTGGGTTTAACTTGTGAACTAGGATTCCATAGAAGCACACCTAATTTTTCAAGAGTAAAAAAACAGCCCTACAGTGCTCACCATAAAGAATTACAAAAGCTATGGAAATTACATGCTGTCGCACATGTAATAAATTCTTACCTCAGTGTATTCAGTGCTCTATTATCTCTGTCCTAGTAAGTCCAGATATAGTGGAATTCGTGTCCATAATGACAAATAAGAACTTAAAAATTTGAAGTGGAATTCACATGTTAATGCCGACTCTTCAAATGTTGAGGTGATTTTGGAGCAGGATTACGCGGCAATGTGGATTGGCTCCCAGAATGCAACATGACGGGTGTCCGCTTTCAGAATGTCGTTACGCCATTTTGAAATCTGTCACAAGTAAATAAGGTTACCTGATGTTGCATTCTGGGAGTCAATCCTCCTTGGATCACAAACATGGCGATTCATGAAAACATTCGTTCGATTTGGTAGGGATTTATCCATCATTTGCAGGTATGAAGCTTTGGATTCATTTATTGTGCTACTTAAAGTCAATGGGAATTATTTTTCTACCACTTGGGAGAGTTTGAGACACGAAATTTAGAATTTAGCTCATTGTGACAATTTTTGAGGGTTGAAATTTATTTTTGCACCCCACTTTACACTCATTTTTTATTCTGTGAACCAGTTCATATGGTTAAAATAACGAAATAATGAAATGTTACCATGTGTCTACTTAGCAGTTTGTTCTATGTCATCCATCCTGCTAGGTTACATTGTGGAACTCCGCCAAACACGATACTGAAGGCAACAGCATATCGATCTTGATCTCAGCTGAATTTTGGGAAATTTAGATCGTCCATTTTGCAAGCTCACTTGACTGATCATGTGTCACATGTCTGATCACGTGACATGTGTCTGATCACGTGACTGGTTACTGTATCGATCATGTAACTAAATGACGTGTCACCCAACCATGTCTTCAAGGAAAACGGTAGTAAATATTTTTGAAAATATTTTGCGAGCATTTGCTACTGATTATAGAAGGCCCAATTACTCAATGAACGAAACTGCTAAATTGTTTTTCGTGCCTAACAGGCCTAGTACGACACGAACAAAACTGCTAAATTTGAATTCTTAGTCTGCTTATTGATCTATTGATTCATAAAGACCTGAAATGATGCATTCAAACAAGACCGCCTCCTAAATGAAAACACTACACATAAAGTGGCTTTGTTCAATTCCAGAAATCTCCAAGGGGCTACAAATGGGAAATTATTTAGATTTAGATTTTATAACCTCAGAATACTGCCTTCAGTGTCGTGTTTGGATTTCATTGGATTTGAATTTTCAACCCTTTATGTAATAGGTGGCACTGCCTAGATGTCAGTGATATAGTTCATGTCAAATATATAATCTGTGCCCTGTTTTTCAGTTGTACGATGATCATGAGATGCTGAAGGGTAAACTGGAGCTACTGAAGCACACAAACATGGTAGATTTTGCCATGGATGTCCACAGAACTCTTTACCCAGATAAGGATGTACCTCAAAGTAAGATATCTGTTTGTTATCATGTGTATACTATTTAGATACACGTCAGGTGGTTTCATCAGAATGATGTATAACGGGATAAATGAATGAAAACATGAGGCAAAATTATTGGTAATTATGATTTTAACTTCCCAAAGCTCATGTTTTTATTATGATACTTTATGTGTACATGGCTTTCATTGGGATGTACAATGTACATCATTGTTCATCATCAACATTTTGTGCCAAATTTGATCAAGACCCTGTTGGGCGTGCAAAAACAGACATTCATGTTGTAGAGAAATTATGACCTCTTCAGTAGTATATTAGATCACTTCTTCAGTACTCTGGGCATTTTTTCAGATCAATCATTTATCTGCTGGGTTAGGCCAAATTGTAGAATTCAATTTTGTTGAACTGACTGAATATAGCCATCTCTTTGTATTTCTGTAGGTTTAAAAGATAAGCGTACATCTGTAGTTGCCCAATTAAAACAGCTGCAGACAGATGTTGAGCCAATTCACACAATATTTGAAGACCCAGAAGTGGCCAGAATGATCCAGTCCTCAAGAGATGGTAGACAGCTGTATGAATCCATGGTGAAAAGTTATGATGTAAGTTCACTTAGGAGATCATACATATCGGATATTTAATACCATTTGCATTATTGTAACATTTTACAATATTAGAATTGATAAAAGTGTTAATGAGCAACTAGTTCGGTCATTTCTCACAGGGTTTAGGAAACATGTCAAAAATCATTGATTTGAAGTCATTTCACTTCCCCCTGTTTCAATTTTGGCAGAGTGCAGACAGAATTTGTCTTAGTCCAGGATTTTGCAGAATCTTGAATTTGATCAATTTCCTGTAGTATTGACAAATTTTGCTCAAATTTTCTTTTGCCTTAGATTTAATGATTTTAGTAGCTCTGTTTCAGGTAAGGGCTTACCCCAAAAGTCCCAAATATATTTCATTTACTTTCTGTTGCTTTATTTATTAGGTATAATGACTGTATAGATAGCTTTCACAATATTTTTGTCATATCTCATTTTTCATCTAAAACTGCAGAATAAGATTTCAAAATTCACTTGAAATTAACCACCTTCGCTCTCAGAATTCACTATTTTCACTTGCAGATTTTATCATTTCAACTTGCAGAAAACTGGGCCGGGAGGAGTAATACTTTTGTTACTACATATTAGTGGTGTCAATTAACCGCTTGAGCATTAACCGGTTAACCGGGGGTTTTTACCGGTTAAAGTCGGTTAACCGGCGGGAAATTTGAACTGATAATTTCAAATGAAATCTTCATCTTCGATCTTGAAAGTTGAAAAAATTGGAAAAATGATATATCGGCGTTTATTTTTACGTTCGTCAAGCTTTACTCTATTCTATGTGAGTAAGCGCGGGAAAGCAATGTGGTAGGAATTAAAGTTGCTGATTGGATGTTTGTAAGGAATTATCGGACCTATCACATGTATGAGTAGCTCACATGAAACTGACGCTTGAAAAACAAACAGATTAAAATGCAAAGTAAGCGCGGGAAAGCAATGTGGCAGGGATTAAAGTTGCTGATTGGATGTTTGTAAGGAGTTATAGGACTTATGACATGTATGAGTAGCTTACGTGAAACTGACACCATAAAACCAAACGGATTAGCATGCAAAATAAGCGCGGGAAATAACAGAATTATACACGGTCAACTAACCGCCCATAAAAACACAGACCGGTCAAGGCATTATCGGCGGTTAACCGGTTAACCGGTTAATACTTGACACCTCTACTACATATATTTGCAAAATGTACCAGGTGGTCACACTTTGTCATGTTAATGCCTTGTGTTGTTAATGTAGTAAATGTAACAATAAATGATGTTTGTGTTTTAGTTTCAACCACACATGTTGGAGACCCTGTACAAATTTGCCAAGTTCCAGTTTGAGTGTGGCAACTATTCAGGTGCAGCAGAATACCTTTACTTTGTCAGAGTACTAGCTGTAAGTAATTAACATAGCTTTTTTCCCTGTATGTAGATTCATAATTTTAATTTAAATGAAGGGCAGTAAACAGATTAATTCCATGAAGTCACCCAAGAATGATATTTTTGTACTTGTAATCAGGTGTGATATTAACATTGGCCAAGAGGCCTTGAAATAGTTTGTCTCGATCTGGGCCAGCAGATTTTCAATTTTCTTGATGTGTAATAAAATAACACAACTAACTAATATCAATGACTCCATTAAAACCAGAATGGTTGAAGTTCTTATGACACACCCTGAATACAAGTTTGTAAATGTTGAAGTGCTCTCAAATGAAAAAAGTGCCTTAGTAGACACATTGTGTATTTATAATATTTGCCCTGTGCATTTATTGTAAATATGTATTATTTTTGCATGTATTATATTATCGCCATCTTTTGCTGATGGACAGGCGCTTGTTTTATGTATTTATTGTGTATTTAGGTGCCCCCACACGACAAGAATGCTTTAGATGCCCTATGGGGTAAGCTGGCCTCAGAAATCCTCATGCAGGATTGGGACACAGCAATGGAGGATCTGAACAGACTCAAGGAGGTCATAGACTCAAATGTAAGCTCATGTAGAACTTGGACTTATATATCATGTATATTCATGCCTTATTTTATGTGAGAAAATGTAAGAATGTAACACTTTCAATACAAGATCAACTATAGTTTAAAAGAAACTCACTTGTTTTTAGAAATGCATAAAAGTAAATAATCATGTGTGGAATTGGAAGATGTGTTTCCTTTTTTAGGATTAAGATCAATACATTAAGCTCATAGATTAATTGGACTTCAAATAAAAGTGTAGGTTCTCTTCAAATGATATATCCATTGCACGGAGTAGGTTAATACACTCTTGATTTCTGATTCTCCCTACATTGTTAAGGTTTAATATTTATACATTTTTGTTTCAGACTTTTGGATCTGCTCTGACATCCTTACAGCAAAGGACCTGGCTCATCCATTGGAGTCTGTTCGTTTATTTCAATCATCCCAAAGGCAGAGATAGCATCATTGATATGTTCCTTTATGAACCTCAGTAAGTAACCTTGGTGTAAATACGTAAAAGTTCAATTCCATGTTTTCATGCCATTCTTATGTGGATTTGGCGTAAATACATATTCAATTCCAAGTTTTCATGCCTGTCTTATGTGGATTTGGCATAAATATGTAAAGTTCAATTCCAAGTTTTCATGCCATTCTTATGTGGATTTGGAGTAAATTTGTTAAAGCTCAACTCCATGTTTTCATGTCATTCTTATGTGGATTCTCCTTGAATATTAAACATAGATCATTTCTAGGAATTTAGTGTGGCAAATAAGAACCCTGGAGCTTTTTATTGGGGATAGCAGTGAGCAATATCTAGTCAGTATTCTTCATTGATGGGTCAGCTTTATTTAAACAAACATTGATGTTTTATTTGTCCATACCTCTGGATATCATATTTCTCTTCTATTTGACAGGTACCTGAATGCAATCCAGACTATGTGTCCCCATATACTTCGCTACCTTACCACTGCAGTTATCACCAACAAACGAAGAAGGACTGTTCTCAAAGACTTAGTCAAAGTTATCCAGCAGGTAACCTTTTTGCTTGTTCTTGGATATTATCCAGAGGTTTTATTAACTCTCAGGGAGGAGAAAGATGAAAGTATCGCCAAAACAGCACAACTTTTGACGCTCTGAGTCTGAATGTACTTGTCAAAACGTGTAGGTTATTGAGAAATGCCAAAGAAATATTGGCCAGGCTGCCCAGAGTTAAATTATCTCAGAATTATTCATGTTATTTATGTTTTGTTGTAATGAATTATTGTTTGATTGCTCAGTTTTCTCTCTTTGAATTTTCAAAAAAATCTTGATGAAATCTGATGTTTTGGATTCCTTGTTGTCCCCTGAGAATAAAAAATAATTTGATGTTTGTTTTGTTTTAGGAATCTTACAAATATAGAGACCCGATCACAGAGTTCTTGGAGTGTCTTTATGTGAACTTTGACTTTGATGGTGCCCAGCAGAAACTGAGGGAGTGTGAAAAGGTGGGTGCTTAGTTAATGAGAAAAATTAAGCCTGTTTTAATTCAAATTTTAACTAAGGGATTTTGGCGAACATGAAAGGATACAGATCAAGAAGAGATATAAATTCTGAATCAATGTGTCAGAAACTCTTAACCGTAGCTATAAAAATTTCTTACTGTTTTGCATGTTAAAAGAATTGAACAACATCAGTTTTTTCCTTATTTTACATTCTTACATATGTATTTACATCATACATTTATCCTATTATAAATTAAGAAAACGAACCTCCTAAGTCTGATTTGAAAATCTATAGTTACAAAATTATACATTAAGCAATGTCAAAGCAACCTTTGAAATGAGTTGATTGATATTTTTTGTATTTATATTTCAGGTGTTAGTGAATGATTTCTTCTTGGTCGCCTGTTTGGATGATTTCATTGAGAATGCCAGACTTTTTATCTTCGAGACTTTCTGTAGGATACATCAGTGTATTAGCATTAAGTAAGTAGCATTTCATACAAAACTTCTTCATGGTTGATAATATTAATTTTTGGTCCCTAAATAGTATACTTGTGTGACACGATATAAATATTTTGAATAAAAGGCCCTTGTTTGCCTTTTATTGTTGATTTCATATCCTTGTAAAAATCTCTAAAATAACAAATTATTACTGCCTGGTTATTTGTCTCATTAAGTAATTCAAAATGACAAGTGATCTGATAGAATATGTTTTATTTTGTGTGATTTGCTACTCTGGGGGTCATTAACAGAAACTTCGTGAAGTTACGAGATCGTAAATCAATTGTTGTAACCATGGATATAATGACGTCACAGTTAGAGAACAATGAACTTAACGAAATCTTAACTTTAAGAAGGTTCTGTTAATGGGCCCCTGGAGAGTTGCTTGATGAATTCTGAAAGATAAATTCTTAAAGAAAGATGAATTTTTTTTTGTTGCAGCATGTTGGCTGAAAAGTTGAATATGCCATCAGAGGAGGCAGAGAGGTGGATTGTTAACCTCATCAGGAATGCCAGACTTGATGCAAAGATTGACTCAAAACTGGTAAGTAAATATGTACATGTTACAGAAGTTTGTAATGGCAGGCGACAAAGAACTGTATGACATAATATGGCATGATACTTAATTGAAGGGAATGGGATTTTATTTTGTGATGTCATATTTGGCCATACCCGAGATTTTGTTCAGTTTCTGTTTGTATCAACTATGTGATTCATTTTAAGGAACACATTTCTTTGTGTTTAGAATATTGTTGTGTTTATTCAACCAAAATCTGTTTAAACATCAGTCATATCCTGTTTCAATAGAATCATTTCCTCTTGTCATATCTTCAATGTCACATCACATGTATTTAATCAAAACATTTGCTTGTGTGTCTTCAGGGCCATGTTGTGATGGGGACCCAGAGTGTGTCTCCGTACCAGCAGGTGAAAGAGAAGAATCATTTTCTTCAATGTATTTCATATCACATGTATCTCATATCACATGTATTTAATCAAAACATTTGCTTGTGTTTCTTCAGGGCCATGTTGTGATGGGGACCCAGAGTGTGTCTCCGTACCAGCAGGTGAAAGAGAAGAATCATTTTCTTCAATGTATTTCATATCACATGTATCTCATATCACATGTATTTAATCAAAACATTTGCTTGTGTTTCTTCAGGGCCATGTTGTGATGGGCACCCAGAGTGTGTCTCCGTACCAGCAGGTGATAGAGAAGACCAAGGGACTAGCATTCAGGTCACAGATGCTCTCAATGAACATTGATAAGAAACTAGGTGCAAAACAACAAGAAGCTGTGAGTATATGCCTGAATATTATAAGTTTAAGAGTTGGCCCAAAGTTTCAAATTATGGTCTATAGCCTTGAGCGTTTCATTAGCGACCATTTGTCCATCCGGTAAACCCTTGAAGCTAACAAGACAGACATTATGAAAGTGTGAATTCTTTGTTGAAAAACAGAAATTATTACCACAGATCCACAAAAATAAAGCAATTGAGTGTGAAGATTAACTGCCAAATGCTCACCGTCTGCTAAGCAACAACTACCTGCTAAAAATGAACTCCCCTAATCATGATTTACAGGGCCAATAATGCATTTCCTTAGGCTCTGTCATTGTATTGTTTATTTCTCATATAAGAACTATAGAACCTGTCGATATGATGGCCTTTCACATGAGTTTGAATTTGAAAAAATGCTTGGTATTTATAAAATGTATTGGTACAAAATGTGATTGCAATTCTAATCGGGTAGCTTGGTTTCGATGGAAGTTTACTGATTAAGAAAGATAGATGAAAGAATTATATCTTAATTATTCAAAGTATGTTGCTGGAGTACCATTTCAATGAAATAAAATCAAAGTATTATTATAAAAAAGGGTTACCCTAGGACTAGCTGCCATAGCTCAATACAAGAAAGATTGTTGGAACCAGTATTGTTAAAGCATAGACATGGTAGATGTTGTTTAAATAAGTTGTTATAAGAGGAATTATAGATGTCAGTGCTTGGAGCCATTTGAAAGTAAACGTTTGTAGAATGACTGCCATCTTTTCTTTGTTGTGTCAGTTATAAAGGTTGGAGCAAACCAAGAAGAGATCTTCCAATTCTTAGAGTTAATTGTTCATATACTTCTTGTCATATTTTAAAGATATAGAGTACAAGCTTGAATATGAATTTGAGGTTTGAATTTCTGTTTTTTGAATAACTTTCTAAGGAGATCACGGTCTTGTGTATAATAATTCATTTATTGACTCATAAAAATGTAGATATGATATACAGTATTATTGAAAACATGTGTAAATAATGGTGAAAGACAAATAAAAAAAGCATGTTTGAATATTACCGTGAGGTTTTATATGAACATGCCTTAATTGCCTTATACAGAAAATCTTATTTCTCTAAATTATGCATGGTCATCATTAATGCTATCTGCATATATACGTAACTACTGTATGTATCTCAGTGCTTTACATAGGGAACACTTTACCTACAAAAAATTAAAGATGATTCCACCATAATTGAGAGCTGCTCCAAAATCAGTGGAATATATATAGTATAATCAAGACAAAAAAGTACAAAGAATTAATGGAAAAACAAAAACCTATGATTTAATGTTTTTTTCTTAAAACAGAGAAATGATAGATTGAGCATGTATGATGGAAAGCATTTAGTGTTGGTCTTCATATTTCTATCTTGTCTATCTTGTCTGTCTTTTAGACTCTCTAAAGATACATTAGTTTTCACTTTACCTCTATCAGGTACCCAAGCCTTTCATCCCATCCATACATTACACACTATTCCATGTATCTTCTCACATTTATATCACACAATTTCATATCACAACAGTAAACAGCAAGTGCAAATATGTCAATAACAGTACAGAAATGTATGGAAATGAACAGTATTTTGGTATAGTTGTAAAAAGTTTGATGTTATTTGTTATATTTTGTAGTGGTTCTCTCCCAGAGCTGATAATCTGCCTTATGATGAGGCCTGTATGTCAGGATTGTGGTGATACATGTCATTTTAAAAAACACTCTATGAGTGTACTAAGATCAGAGCCTTTGTAATTTAATTATTATTGCCAAGTAGACAGGAAGTTTGATAAGATAACTCGGGGTTCCATGTTTCATAAAACTTTTTATGTTTCGGTTTAGTCTCTCTGAGTGGGTGGTATACTGTGGTGTGTGGGGATAGAATTAAGTTGTAAAGAGTTCCATACCTCCATGTTTTACCAGTTACAGGGAGGGGGTTGTGTTTTAGCTAGGTGTTGAGAGTATCTGTAGGAGCCAGTGGTCTAGCCAGATTGCGAGGCTTATATTACAATGCTTTATCTTGTCTAATAGCTTCTTACCAGATTGATACAGAATATGAAAACATCTGTGAACCAGTGCACTGTTCTCTCATGTTACAGCACATTGTACAGAATTGCTCCTCTACTAGATAGTAGATATCACATCTTGCTTCATTGCATCAGTTTAATATATAACTCTAAGTAAATGTGGCAAATGTAAAAGAAGAAACAGTTCCTTTTTGCACTTTAAAAGGTTTGCTAATTAACTTAATAATAATTGACTATATTGACTATCGGTTTCAGTCCCCATTGCCCTGTGGTAGGCCCATAGAAAAAGTGAGTCCCAGGCTAATACAAATTGACTTATATGATCTTGCTTCCAGTCAGAGGCTTCAGGCCCATTTTGCCAAAAAATCTACAATATCTCACAGGATACATAATGACCTAGTATCTTTCAAGATTTGGATAAATGTATTGGAAAATAGTATTTCAAGCTCTTGTGAACGCCCCAAACACCCACCTGAGGAGTAAGTAATGCAGGGGGTGGGGGGTCTAGAGACATGCTGCAAGACTTACCAGTTTCAATCATAGGTGGTGGTGATATGTTTGGAAATATAGCAGGTTGATAGATTACCTTGATCACTGGCCACTGTTAATCTCATCAGCCAGAAGTGAATGATATGTGTCTATCTCTATTATTCACCCTAAAATCTCAAAACTTGGGAGGTTGAAGTCATGAAAAGACACATCTAGCAAGTTGAAAGATTACCTTGATCTTCGCAGTTTTTATCTCAGCAGTCTTTTGAATTCTAGGTAAATTGAGACAAAATGTTATAGATAGAATATATGCTTAATGATGGATTGGTTGATTTGTTGATTGAGGATGGAGTAATTGGTTGTTTAGTTGATTGTTCGACTTTGATTGATGCAGCATATTTTTTAATAATTGATAACCCTTTTTTATGAAAATGAATATGACTGAATGACTGGGAACTGATTTACAAAGAAGCAAAACTGGAAGTGATTGCTAAAAAGCTAAAAAGGTTTAAAACATTGATGAACAAATACAATAAAAAAATTAGGATTGTTTTGATATTTTTAAAATCACAAAAAGAAAGATCCTTATTCCTTTACTTAATTGGCAGTTTTAATCCTTGATACATAACTGATATGACAGTTTCTATATTCCTTGATTTCATGATTGTCAAAGCTTTGTATGATACCTCCAGCTCTGATTAGATTTCACCAGACTTCTAAAATATAACATTCCCTCTACAAAAATAGTTGAAGATGGTTTTAATTATGAGCATAACCACATCAGAGAGTGAAGAGCCATTCATCTGGCTACCCTCTTCTATATCATCTCTAATTGACAGTTGCACCATGCTTAAAATAGCATTTAAACTATTTAACAATGTCTGGAATTGGATTGAGAAACATTCACTTCTTTATCGATTTAAATATGATTCCATGCTGAGTAGTAATAATAACATGTTTTATACTTTTTAGACTTATTTATAAAATAGAGCTAAATGAACTCTACTAGTGTATGATCAAAAAAGGTCTATAAAATGGAAAACCAGAGTCAACCTGAAGCTCACTGCCTTTTTGAAAGATATTATTTTGGCTTATGTGCAGGACTAAATAATGCACCTTTAAGCAGCAGGGAAGGACTGATAAAAGATTGTTAGAATATTCTCTGTGTCAGTGGGAACAAAAGTCTGTAACTATGTATTTGTTCTGATAAATCAGTAATTTGGGGTTTGTTGAAAAAAATGAGGACCAAGTACTTGATCCTCCATGCAGGAGTCTGGAAAGTGTTAAAAAATTGGGCCCCTGAAAAAACTGGTAGGAAGTTTTTTACAAAGTGAGTCTTTTTAACAAGGAGAGATAAAACATCTTAACTTAAAATATGACGATGATATTTCATCTTGATACAAGATGTTTCACTACACTGTCACACCACTAGGTAGCTGCAATTGTCATTCCTAATGCCATTGTGATTTAAAAAAGCTAGCCACATTTTAGGCACATAATTATTGCCATTTTTTGTCATTTTTTTACCAGAATGAAAGTGGTTTTCAACAAATGATGAATCAAATATTACATATTATACTTTTAAAAAATCTTAAAGCAATTTTACTTAAGGATGACATTCCAGGCATTTTGTCCTTTTGAGTAAAAACTGTTGGGAAGCTATTATTGTTAACCTTGATGTTACGCTTACCTGAATGAAATTAGTCTTTTAACAACTGAGATACAGAGTATCAAACATTACTTTGAAACTGATTTATATGTTTTTTCATGTACTAAGTTTTTTCTACAGTTTTCAAGATCCCTGCATGGAGGATTTAGCAGGATTAAGTAACTGGTACCCAATTTTTTAGCAAACCCCTAAATTACTGACATGTGACAGAATGACTATTTAGATTCTAGATGTCAAAACAAAGATGTTCTCTCTGTGTTAAACATAGATTCTGACTGGACCAGCTGGAAAGCATTCAGATTTCCATGTGTAAAGATAGATAGGCAGATTAGATGAAATAAAACAATGTTTTATGTGCAAGATGGGGTGGGGGGCATAAATGAGAGTATTAAACATAGAATGATACATTCAAATGAACAAACCAGATTGATTTAATATTGCTTTTTTTGTTGGAGATGTTAGAAGCATTCTGAATGTTAAGAGCAGGCTGCTGTGAATTGTATTATAGACAGATACAGTGGCACAGCCAAAATAAACACCACTCATCACCCCAAGCCAATATAAATATGAGACATTTTCTAAATAAATCCAGGCAGGGGAGGCTGTGTGTTCATACATGTTAGAGTGTATGGGGGAAAATGCAGGAATCTAACCACACTTCTGATATCAATATCATAATAAACAAACAGTAAAGTGCTATTTACCAAAAGGCTAACATATGAGAGCACATTGTGTTCTCTCTGCCTGCATTTCCAGGTTAGCTTTAGAAAATATTTGGAGATCTCTTTTATTTTATATCTAGTATATATGTTGATTGGAGGTAGGTTTGCTTGACTGCCCTTGGGTCTTTCATGGCTCTTTCACTCTGTCACTCAGAATTAGGATCAGTTTTAGGAACATGTATTGTTTGTGTAAGAGGATTTCATTCATAATATGGTATGGTCCATTTCTCTAATTTTTATTTGCTTGACATGAGCTGTTCAAGCATTGTTGTAATTTATATTGGCCAGGTCCAGGGTAAGATAAACCCAAAACTCATCTTTCCTGACTTTGTTTATCTCATTTAATCTTGTCATACGTTTAGTGATTGTTATTCATTGATTTAATAGATTTGTATCAACTGTTGTTTATTTTTTCTCATCTTTGTTATCTTTTTAACCCTCTGGGATAATCTGTTTTTGTGTGCCATTTTACCTATGATTAGTGTTACAAGCCAGTAAAGTCCTTTTCTTGAACAAGTTACATAAAGTATAAATAGCATTGAATTTACAATTGCATCTCACAAGTTAATAAAGTTCTAAAAAACATAAGGAAAAGTATTTAACATACAGGTTACCATCAATACTTTCAAATATTTCGAGGATATTAGGATATTGGTATATATTTTAAGGATGAGCTAAGATATCATTATTTCTATTTTACGCATCAGCTCCAAACAAAACAGAATTTGTGATAAAATTCAGCCAGATAAATGTACATGTATTATCATTACTACCCAAGATTAAGGATTATAAACCAATATCCAAACATATGTCAAATCACATTACATCAGGGAATTATAGCGGGCCCCTTTCCTGAAAAGTCCTAATATAGGCCTATTTACCTACAGTGTACTTTTGATAAATGCACTACCTATGTATTTGTACTTTGGAATTTAAGGAAATATACACACAGATATTTTTATAGATCTGTTCTTTGGCCACACATGTTACCCACATATTAGACCACATGATTTGGAATGTCAGGTTATGAACATGCTCAGCAAGTGGGTATTTATAGGGCCTTATATGGTGATAAAACATAGACATGCTCATTTTAAAGTTATAATAGCACAGTTTAACTAAAATGATTTATGTTTTCATTTTCTACAATATACTTTGAATTTTGTATTGTTATTTTTGGCTGTATGTCTACTCAGTCTACAGTAAATTGTTAATTGTTAACAGTTGTTCAACAAACAAATGGCATTAACTCAAACAAATTATGCTTAACTCCTTATATAATATTAAAATAAGATTTTAATATCTGTACCCCTTAAAATCAATTTTTAATACCCAAGTTCACTTTTGAGACATATTATGCTTTACTTGTATTTTTAAGTCCCCCAGATTATTTTTTAAGAAATTTTACTCTTAACAGAATTTCAAAAAGTACAGCAAAAACATGTATTTACAATGAACAGAATTGTAAGCAGGAATGTTCTGTTGATTTGTAATTGAATCCATGTTTGTCCATGCTGTGTACCAACAAGACAGTTTCATGAGCATTTAACTAGCAACTAAATAAAACAGGTCCCAATTAACTTAACTCTGGGAACACACAGGATTTATCTGAATAATACAGAGGTAGAGCTGTGAAAGTACTCTAATGAACACTTATAAAAATAAAAAAGAATACTTTTATCCTATTTGAAATTAAATGTGTTCCATCTATAGAAAGCGACGATAATGTTAGGCCAATCAAATAAAAGTAACGTAGCTTAGGTAATCATTATTGTAGTTATTGTAAAATCTAATCTCTAGACCTAGTGAATGTATGAACTCTATAAAGATATGCTTCCCCTGTTTTGACCTCACTTGTTCTCTCATGTGTTAAACCAGGCCCAGGATTCCTTGCAATTAAGTCATCATGAAACTGTCAGTGGGGCTGTCTAGGGCCATATAACTTTCACATGGCATAAATTTTACAAACTTTTCCATTTTATGTGCAGTGTTCACTGGGATAACATTAACAAGAGCTCAACTTTGTCTAGTCTTTAAATTAGTCAGGAAATCACTAAACTATTACACTTTTCCTACTTTTAGTATGTGATATTCGTTTCAGATTCAAACTCACATAATTGGCCATGAAATCTGCAATGATATTTTCTTAATCTATATTATAAAATACATTTTGTATTAGTATGTCTATCATACATTACAGTGATCTCCCCAGTATTTTTTCTCAGGTGGGTGCAAAATTCTCATTTTCACAATATAGACCATAATTGGTCAAAATATGCCAATTTTTCTTGATTTTTCACATTTTCAAGTGGGTGCAAATAGATTTTCAGGTGGGTGCAAGCCTATTTTCAAAATCTCGGGTGGGTTTTGCGCCCACTTGCTTTAATGCCGGGGAGATCACTGCATTAGAGATAACAATGTTATTGATTGTATGAGGATTCAGTGTTTGTCTACAATATCCTAGAGATCAACATTGTTGATTGTGTGAACTTACTGCTTTATTGTTTTATACATGTATTTCATGAAGTTCATGTCCATTTACTGCTTTATTGTTTTATACATGTATTTCATGAAGTTCATGTCCATTTACTGCTTTATTGTTTTATACATGTATTTCATGAACTTCATGTCCATTCATTCTCTAATTTCAGACACCCCAGTGGGGTGCGCAAGAGTAACCATAACAACAACCAACGACGCAAATCCGCCATTTGCATCACTTCTGGTGACTCAAGACTTCAAACAGACTACACTGAAAGAAAATATAGTGAAAATGAGAACATTGCGAAAAGCCAAAAAACAGAAGATAAAGATTTCAGATTGGTTTGTAGAAAACCAAACTTTGAATGGGTGTTTATCATGTTTATAAATAATTAAATTATATATGAATATTTTAGTTTATTTATAAATTATTATAAAAGTGCTAAATTATGATGATGAACATTAAACTTTGAATATCCATTAAACATAATTGTAAGATCTAAACATTTGAACATAACATGTAACAAATTAAAATAACTGAGATGGTCATGCAATCATGCCATTTTCCTATTCAAACCACAAGAAATAAAACTGGAATTTTATCTTCTGACATATTTGTTCATGTTATGTACTCCATAAGCTTCTATGCCTTAAGATTAATATATTTTAAAGTGTTAACCCTAAAGTCTGATGTTGATTAGGCAGAATTTGGAAGAAAAATTATATTTCTATTGCTTGTAAGTTTATTCATCCTTCCAGAGTATCTGTGAAGTATCAACATGTTCAGAGAAACACATATTTCTTCAATTAATAGCTCTAGAGTTAACCTGGCAAATATTTCATAGCAAATTTCGTCAACACAATGACAGGTAATAGGGGCATAATGATAAAGGGGCGATAATCAGGGTAGAATAGTTGAACACAGCTTGCCTCAGTGGCAGATTCACAAGTTTATGACACAAACGAGAGCATAAACAGTGTTTTGATTAAGTGGATGGTTTATTGCAATGCTATCCTATGAGGCACTCTTCTTCAAACCACAATTTTCACTATCACTATCTTCATTTGTTTCATATCTTCTAAAGTTAAGCATTTCCTCAATATTTACATTTGCTACATTGGGTTGATCTTTGACCACATATTGGAAATGAAGCTCAAGTTTTCGAGATTTCCATGTTTTATTGGGATATTTTCGATAAAACAGGATGGAATTTTTATTTTATTAATTTAAATGAAATGATTCTTTTTGCAAGTCTTTACAAACATTTAATTTTGGCCTCTTGTTTTCTGCCATTACCCATTGTTTATTGTTCTTCTAACTATTTACGGATGTTTAGTTTTCCTTTTGCCCATTTTGACCTGTCAAATACATTCTGTCTGTGGGAATATCACTATAAAACGAAAACCAGTTTCCCAGTTTGTATTTCACATACTATCATAGTGTGACTTATTAGGTTTATTGAAAGTAACATCATCAGATTCGCAGATTCAAGGGGCCATAGATAGATTAAAGTAAATGGGGTGAAACGCTCTGGTTGAAGCATCTCTCTCTAGTGCATAGTGTATATCATATAGTGTATGTCTCTATACATCTGTCTTTGCTGGAACCTCAAGTGAGATGCTTGAAGACTCCTGAGACCCTTTGCAAGAGAACAGCAATTTTATCCCCACATTTTATTCGTAAACATGTAGATACTCAGAGCCAACCAGAGCCAGTGTTGCATAGCTACAATTTTAAATAATGCAGACTTTTTTTGATCCAATCTTTGATGTTTTCTGATTGGTATAACACTAAACTGAAAATCATTGGCATTAGTCGGAGGGCTGGGTAGGCAGGTCAAGCATGAAACATGGTACCCCTATCTTAAACCTATAAATGCCTCAGTCGTATTCTTCCACGTTATAATCTCTGCCCAAAGTTGCATGTTCATGGCTCTTTTTTGGAGACTTCACAAAATATCAGTATGAAACTCCTATTTGCTCTTTCAATGATTGAATGCCATTCCACTGGTCACTCCTTGATTTTCCATTGTATACAAGCATGATGTCCAATTGAGTGGATTGAGCATATGCATGAAGATTATCTTAAAGGTGGATTAGTTTGATTTAGCTGGGTCATTTTGATATGGAATGGGAGATAATCCTCATATCTGAGCAAAGATTTCTGATGTATGGTCCAGTTAAGATACAACATAAGTGAATGATTATCAAGCAGCGATTTGCCTAAAGAGACGCTTCATACAAGATTGTAAACCATGATACTCCCTGTGTCTTTTCAAGCACTCTTGAAGAACATAGGCTTTGATGAGAACTATGGGTGTTTGATCTCGCTAGACTACATTGAATGAGGGACCTTTTAGCTTATGGACCACACAATGATTTTCAATTCAGAGGTTATGTAACTTCCCGGGTGTAACTTGATTAAGTCATGCAGATCCAGTAGGTTTGGGTTCAGTAAAATTATTGGACTGATTAGTAGTTATTAACTAATTGTACTGACTCAGACAAATTATTGTGTTGATGTAGAATGACACTGTTTACACATCTGATTGTGCTGATTCAATTGATTGTGCTGATGAAGTAAAATATTTGTACATTCTATTATCCAGTAAAATAATTCTTCAGAGAAGCACAATGATTTGGGAACATACAATGCTATAACTGGGACCTCATGAAGGATTTGTACTTTCTATACCATACTTTTCACTTGTTCCAAAATAACACAACATAATTGATTATTAATTTGTTATTAATGATAAAATCTGGCAATAAAAAATTGTGTTCATCCAGTAAATGATTGTCCTGAAGTGAAACTATTGTTATGATAATAATAATGAATTGTTCTGATTTGTCATTTTGATTTTATGTGTTATAATAAGTGAAATCGTCATCGTATTTCTAATCAGATTATTTTCAAAGATATGGTTTCTGGTTTTCGTTGAGTTAGTAGAACTGGAAAACAATACACAATCTGATCTTCATAAAAATCTGAAGGAATTTGACCTGCTGGAGTTGTGTGTGATATGTTGAAACGTTACAACTACTTACACGTCTAGTTGTCTTCACTTACAAGCTCGTCTTTCAATTTACTGTTTATTTGCATTAATTGAAAGTTCATTTTTCTTTGAGTGAAACAGTTTTGAGCTTGCGCTATGTGAAGTCAATCAACGGCCGGCAGCGTTTGCTCGTAAAACCTGCTAGGGGTTTCCCTGTGTGGTATTTTGAATTTCGGAATTGTTTGTAATTCTGAGATTTTTCTGCTTTTTGGAGTTTCTTTTGTTTCGTTAAGTGGCCTCTAATGGATGTCAATAGCACTTTGAATAAAGAGTTATGACAAAAAATCTCACGCACAATTGAATCGCTCCAAATGGACTATTTCGCCTCGGGGCAAATCTTTGGGGCATTTATGTTATAGAGACGAAGTGTGAATGTTTATTTTAATGTCGCAACGGAATCAACTCAAATGTACCTCATTCACGCCAACAGTGTCTATGTTTTTCTAACTAGTTATATTTACACCTTCCTCGTAACCCAAGGCGGATAAAATAAAAATTCCATAATAATTCTGTTTGCGTTTTTCAAGGTGACATCATGCTGTTGATCAGGCGTTTAAACCCTATGCAGTTGTCATTCGCAAATGTAGGAACACTTTCTAATTTTCGTGTCACTAGATGGTTACTTATCTAAAGCGAGCTTCTGATGGCCACTTTAAGTGTCCTTTGCAATTGTTCTTAAATCAGTATATCTGTTTCGAAACCAGCAGAGGGGTAATTTGTTGGGAACTTAAATGCTACTCTGGCTTTTACCCCATTTCATCGTTCCCCCCGAAAATTAAATTTGAAACAGCGTCTGATCTTTAGTACCCTGTGTGCAGAGTCTAGTTAAAGTACAAGACGAAGCTCTCTTTTAAGAAATGAAGTCAAACTAATGCAAAGGGTAGGTCTTTAGTCGAATCACGTCAGTCATCGTTAGAAATTAAAAAGAAAATAGAAGTTTTGAATCAAGGTAATTAACAAATATTTGCAATTCACAAATACTTGGGATACATTAGGCGTGCTTTTCAGTGATCGTTTTACTTTTGTTGAACTTTGCTAAATTGATTATATGTAAACTGAGAAGTTGCTTTCAAATCAAATTCTAAGATAACAACCCGTATCCATAGATTCAATCTCTTGAAATTGTTTCCAAATGTTTTCAAACAACTTTTTAATTCAGCGAAAGTTGCAATAAAATAAATTAATTGGGTGTTGCTCAAAGGTTGGTTGTTTTTGGCATTTGATTGAACATGCAAAATTAAAAAATCGACATGGTATCTTTTCAAATCATTTCCCGTCTGTCAATCACAAGGCTTTCAAGTATTGTGCCCTATTAAACGGCAGTTACAACAAATAGAGAACTAAACGCTTTCTTCACTATCAGACTCTTTAAAAAACATTTATTAGCCTACATTCGAGAAAAAATCCGTCCAAAGATCCGTAAATCTTATTTTGTCTGACTTAAAAACACACACTTGGATCTTATCTCTTGAGCAAAAATGTACATTCAACGCAACTTAACTCCGGACTGCTTTTAGGATAAATGAAATGAAATGCTTGATTTTGAAAATTCATCATCAGCCAAAGGAATTTTTGCCACGAGAGACACGAATAAAGGTACTATATTTATCCTTTTATTAACCATTTGATTGTGTAAGATCGCTTTGAGGCCAGTTGGCTGCACATCAATGGTTACAGTAACACCGCGTTAAAGTTATTTCAGATAAACGCCCATGGGCTTATGTACACATGGGGTGATAACTTATCATAATTTTATTTCATGATATCATCTGTTTAATCTGAATTCATCCGTTAAAGATTAAACTCATCTTCTTGTTATTAGGGAGTGAGAATAGACGAGAGAACAGCTTTACCTAAGCATTGGTTGGTCCGTCTGGTTTGGTTACAATCATTCGCATGGCCTAGCATCAACGGAGTATTTGTTGAGTACTATCAGTAAGCTGCCTGACTCTCATTGTGCGAACTCCATCAAATGGAAGAACATTTATTGAAACTTCAACAAAGATCTAAATGCGAATCAGCGGTATGACTAAAGTAAAACAGAGTGAGATTTTATTCGGTCAAGAACAATCAAGATTTTTCTAAAAATGTTCGCAATCGAAATTTCACTGATAAGTTCTAGAGGTTTAGGTTTCTGAAGATCAATGGTAGCGCAGGTAAAAACTAGTAGCAAAGTTTCGAAGTAAACTTCTCTAGGCTTTTTAAACATTTACGTCTGACCAAGTGGATGTATTTAACAGTTTATAATTGAATCAATTGATTGTTGAGTCGTTGAGAATCCCATATGTACACAGCGCAAGAGCATTTTGGTGTCGTAGCTTGTAATGCAAAGCTAAGACTCCTGGTTTTGCCTGTAAGAGGAGACCCGCAATAAAACATCAAATTAAAGGAATCTCGGAAAAAATACACTAACAATGGAAACTTCAACATTAAACTTATCAATGTGGATTAACAAACAATGTCTGACAATATAAGGGAGAACAATGGAAGACCCCGGGTGTGAACGATAGAGCTAGTCTATAAATAATGAATTGGTTGCAGTGGTTATCTGTACCATTGTTTTTGGCTTACATGGGGTGGCAGACGAATGCTGAGGGTGAACAGATGAATGCTCAAGGAGCGAATGCTGAAGGAGATGTGGCTGTTGAAGGAGATAGAACGAAACGAGGTAAGTGATGGAAGTAGACAAACACTCCGACCAATTCAGGAGTATATACTTCATTTCTGTTTTGTGACACAACCAGATTAAGTTTTTGTCATTATGGTGACCATACAATAGAATTGTGACACATACAATGAAATGGTGACACATACATTTTGTGCGATAAATATCAAAATATGGTTACATCAAATTACGATATTAGAAATTATTTCAATAACTATAAGTGAATGAATTTGCACATTTTATAAAAAAAATAACGTCAATATTACGACCTTGCCCATTCTTATCTATATAAGCTTCCATTTGGGTTATTTAATCAATTAACATTTAATTATTCTTGTTCCATTAATTATTGACCTACAAATTTTAGTGTAAATACCTAATTTTGCTCAAAATCAGACGGGGAGGAATTTTGTTATGCAGGTAATGATCCACATAGCACGACTGTATTGACGAGATCTTGAATCAACTTGGGTAATCCCTTCACACAATTAGAACTGAAACATTCTCGTGTAATTCCAGATACAACGATTATGTCACTGATCTTTTAGAACTATTAACCATCAATTACTCATTTGTGTTGATTGAATGCTTAATTCATTGATTGATTTCTGTTACGACTTACTTAAATCTATTTGTTAATAAAAATCAATTAAAGTGTTGTATTCTTAAAAATAAAAATAAAATACAAAATGAATAATCCAGATTGAATATTATGGATATACTCGCTCTACTCGTCTGCCACTACCAGAGCTACCCACATATTCTTGGAATATTTGAACAGTTTAGCATTGTTATTATAGTTTAATTAAACGGGCCTGTATTCGAATGTGAATTTACGTAATCCAAGAAGCAAATTTGATTACGTGACTTAAGGACTTACTCAGAAGAATAAACTTTTATTGTATTGGTGGTATAGATTTGGATAAAGTTTCAAATGCTCCCATTGTGATGTATCGAGATTTATAATTGATACTTGCAATGTTTTGATATACAGATTTGTGGATAGGATTCACATTGTTTGAAACTTCATATTGAATCGCAAGGTATTTTATCGTTTATATTTTGTATTATGCATTTAGTTTTGTAATTCACCTGTGCATAAACCTAAACTTAAGTTTTGAATAATTTGTGAATTGTAATAGTTGTAATGGGTTTGAAAAATTACTAGGATGAATCAAACAAATATGAAACTCGGACGTATGAATAAGAAAAAACTGATGGTTTTAGATTTTAAAAAAATCATACAGAATGTTCTTATCTTAAGTAGGGAACATCTTTCGACCCCAATTGTCTTATCAAAAACATTCCTTATCATAAACTGGTAGGCGAAAGTTCAACTTCGTCGTGTTTGACAAGTTCTCAATTTCACTTTCAATCATATTTGACAATAGGACTTGTAATGTGTATTCCTTATACACCCTTACTATATGTATGGGGTATTTCAGCTCACTAATAAACATAAGTTATATTAAAAAATTGAGCTTTTTATAATCGCAATTACGGATAGAAATGAATAAAGCTTTAATATAAAATCATTAATGCTAACTTTAAAGGTTTTAAAGGAAAAAAGAAACAGTTATATGTTCAATGACGAGTAACATGCCTTCTAGTTTTTTTGCATTTTTAAAGTGGTTTCATATTTTTCTAGTTCTATTTTATTAGTTGGTGTGATTTGAGGTTAATTATAACTTTAAATTTCAATTTAAAGAAATCGATTTCAAATATAATTTTCTAATTTTATAATTCTTGTTTTAATTAATTTTCATTTATCCAAATACAGCAAGCGTCAAGTTTATTCTGGTGGATTTCCAATTTGGAATATTTATGTTCATTTTCCAAATTTGACAGGCATATAATTTCCAACCCATTTTAATAGCAATAGAATATGGAATTAATATCAGTGAATGCCGTTCCTCAACATTGTGATTTTCATTTAGATTACAATAATATACTGGGAACGTTTCATCCTACTGGAAAATTTGATTTTAATAGTGATCAAAATAGAAATGTAATGAAGTTGAAACTCGGAATATAATTGGATATTCCCGAACAAATGTGGAATAATCTACGAAATATAACTTCAAAGGGAACATTTTCTTTCTGACATCATGAATCAGATCACAGATCAAAATTACGATTTTCTAGGCAGGTCATTTTTCAAGATTTTTAGCCAATAAAAATAAATTTAATCTTTATTGTGTGTTGAGATTTTTCTGGGGTCAAACGGAGTGATCTTGTCTGTCCTCGGGGTGTTTAACATAGCAGGTTGTAACGGCAATAAACATTGAGAAGGTGGGACCTGTTCAGAACCCACAAGGCTTGAAGCTAAAACAAAACCTTCTTGAAGCGTACTCAGATTTCTTAGGTTTCGTTACATCTTTAGCTTTTCATCTTGCATTTCATTAAGAGCTGTGTTCATCTCTGAACAGTAGCTTTGTTGAGCGGTTGATATCGGGGAGTTAATTAATAGCCAAACTAGTAACATTGTTTCACCTGTTTCTCTCGGGAGAGTTAGATGCGGCGGAAAGTTAAGAGATGACTCGTCACTAATTAGACACGTGTCGTATGTTCAATTAAGAGATAAATCGCTTAAGGTTATTTTCGATATTTTCTGTTAACATTGCGCATAGGCATTTTTGCTATATTTTTGATTTTTCCAAATGAAACTATTGATAAAGGTAAATATAGAATGGACTTATAAAGCTAATTTTCAGGCAGTTTGGAAATTGTGAGAAACAATCATTAAATTATGTTCAAAATACCACCATCGCCTATAACATAGGTTAAGACGATTTTTGCGGTTTCACCAGTTTCGCGTATTGTTTTAGGATAGTTATTATTCTATTGTATCCTCATTTTGGATTATTTGTATGGATTAGCATTGATTACAATCATTACTTTAGTCAATCCCATATGCGTAAAGTTATTTATGGATTTATTAAAAAACAACTTTGAAGTTGCGTCTTCAGGGGGAACCATCGAACTCAAGGGAACTAGCAAACTCGGGAGAGAAATTATATAACCGTTTCTTCACATCCCTCACGCGCAATAAAGAACATTTTATGGTATCTGGGTAGTGTATTAGAATTCCCCTATCGAAAATAATAAATTTAAAAGATTTTTGATCAAGATATTATTTGTCAAAATCAACATCAAAGAATCTTCGGAATGAGACGAATCTAGTGGGTTGACCTCGCTTCCTGATACAATAATTCAGCATTATAGATTAGGATGTATCTTGATAAATGACATGGTATAGTTAACTTTTAACTTGATAAATGAGTTTACATATTTCAGTTTACTTTACTCGGAATAAGACATATAAACGAAACGTACTCAATGACAACTCATTAACACGGGTAATCCATTTTCAATTTTACTTCTAATGATGTCGATGTTGTGTATGGTGATGTATATTCCGGAACATAAAAACCTCAAAACATAATTTCTCACCACATTTACACCCAATATAGATCAAAAGGATTACCCTAATCATGTCCACCACAAACTACAATTGTGTATTTTGTTAAACAAATCTTAATCCATGTCCACCTACCATTATCGTAAGCGTCACAGTCAGCCATTTTAATACACCGTTTAGATAATGAATTAGTGAATATGTTTCCTCACTAAAAATTGAAATTATGAAATAATTATGCTGAAATCATTATAAATTCAAGTGTTTCGAAGTGGATTTCAGTAACTAACAAGCGCTGGGCCTCATATTACACTTATGTTTATCAAGACAAGGTCAAGGCTTAGACGTGCTTGGCTTCATCTTACACTAGTGTTTGTCATGGCTTAGACGTGCTGAACCTCACCTTCCACTAATGTGTGTCAAGACTTAGACGTGCAGGATCTCATCTTACACTAGTGTTTGTCAAGACTTAGAGGTGCTGATCCTCACCTTCCACTAATGTTTGTCAATGCTTAGACGTTCTGATCCTCACCATCCACTAATGTTTGTCAAGGCTTAGTCGAACAGGACCTCATCTTACACTAGTGATTGTCAAGGCTTAGATGTGCTGATCCTCACCTTCCACTAATGTTTGTCAAGGCTTAGACGTTCTGATCCTCACCTTCCACTAATGTTTGTCAAGGCTTAGACGTGCTGAACCTTATCCTACAGTAAGTGTTTGTCAAGGCTTAGACGTGCTGATCCTCACCTTCCACTAATGTTTTTCAAGTCTTAGACGTGTTGATCCTAATCTTACACTAGTGTTTGTCAAGTCTTAGACCTGCTGATCCTCATATTACACTAGTGTTTGTCAAGTCTTAGACGTGCTGATCCTCACCTTCCACTAATGTTTGTCAAGGCTTAGTCGAACAGGACCTCATCTTACACTAGTGGTTGTCAAGGCTTAGACGTGCTGATCCTCACCTTCCACTAATGTTTGTCAAGGCTTAGTCGAACAGGACCTCATCTTACACTAGTGATTGTCAAGGCTTAGACGTGCTGATCCTCACCTTCCACTAATGTTTGTCAAGGCTTAGATGTGCTGATCCTCACTTTCCACTAATGTTTGTCAATGCTTAGACGTGCTGATCCTCATCTTACACTAGTGTTTGTCAAGGCTTAGTCGTGCTGATCCTCATCTTACACTAGTGTTTGTCAAGGCTTAGTCGTGCTGATCCTCATCTTACACTAGTGTTTGTCAAGGCTTAATCGTGCTGATCCTCATCTTATACTAGTGTGTGTCAAGGCTTAGATGTGCTGATCCTCATCTTACACTAGTGTTTGTCAAGGCATAGTCGTGCTGATCCTCATCTTACACTAGTGTTTGTCAAGGCTTAGTCGTGCTGATCCTCATCTTACATTAGTGTTTGTCAAGGCTTAGATGTGCTGATCCTCATCTTACACTAATGTTTGACAAGGCTTAGTCGTGTTTATCCTCATCTTACACTAGTGTGTGTCAAGGCTTAGATGTGCTGATCCTCATCTAATCTTACACTAGTGTTTGTCAAGGCTTAGTCGTGCTGATCCTCATCTTACACTAGTGTTT